CTGTTAATAACTTAAATTACAATTATTATAATTCTATTTTGAGGTCATTAATTATGATTCGATTGTTCGACCATCTACTACTGTAATATAAACTGTAATTAAAAATTATTTTCTACTTTTTAGTCCGGTTTGCTATAAAAGCGTTTTTTTCTAAGTTTTTTTAAACTATTATTTATTAACAAACAAATATCTAATGCTATGCATGAACTATCAACTTTCCGTTTTATGGTGGAGTTTAAAGACTATCTTTTAAATAAAAATCTTCACATTTGACAAATGCTAGTTTGCTTATGTATTATTTTGCAAATGTATACTAAGTGACATATAAATCCGAACACCCAGTTTAAATGGTTTTATTTTAATAACAGTTGATGAATGTATTTATCTTACTGTAAATAACAAGTGAAAAAATTTTCAGCCTTATCAGTTGGACATTCCGGTTTTTATACTGCTTTTTTTTAATTCACTAACGCTCTAAAAATGAATATTTCAGCTGCAGTAAAGAAAACGTTGGCGGATTTTGGTTCTTGACATCCTTTACAATCGGTTACGATGCCTAGAGTACGGAGACCTGTACGATTTCGTCAACTTAGTGAGTTTGATATTGGCCGTATAGTGGGACTTCGGGAAGCTGGACTTTCTTTTCGGGCAATTGCAGTTAGAGTGCAAAGAAGTGTAGACACTGTGGTTAGGTGTTGTCAGGCATGGCTTCGAGAAGGCCGTACGCAAAGAGCAAGGGGCACTGGACGCCGCCGTAGAACAATAGACCGTGAAGATCGCCGCCTAAGATTATTGGCCTTAAGGGACCGTTTCTCCACTACCAGGTCCATTGCAAATGAATGGTTTGCAGAACACGGAAGACCTATTGGCATGCGAAGTGTTTACCGACGAATGAGAAGTTTTGGCTTGTTTTCATACCGGCCACACTGGGTCCTCCCTTTAACTCGAGAACACCGACGTAATCGCCTTGAGTGGTGCAGACAACGGTCACTCTGGGATCAGGAATGGAACAGTATTGTCTTTAGTGACGAGTCTCGATTTTGTTTAGGCATGCACGATGGTCGTGCCAGGGTCAGAAGGCGACGTGGTAAAAGGAGGAATCCACAATTTTTTGTTGAAAGACATGTTCATCACACTGTTGGAGTTATGGTTTGGGGTGCTATAGCTTATGGTTCCAGGTCACCTTTAATCTTCATCAGAGGTAACATGAACGCGCAGCGTTATATCCACGAAGTTCTAGAACCCCATCTTTTACCCTATCTTGACACCCTGGCAGATACAGCTTTCCAACAAGATAATGCCCGACCACATGTTGCAAGAGTCACAATAGACTTCTTTCAACATAATGATGTCACATTGTTACCATGGCCACCAAGATCTCCCGACTTATCCCCAATTGAGCACGTGTGGGATATGATGGGTAGGAGATTGCTCAATTTGCAACGTCCTCCTCAGACTCTAGAAGCACTTCGAGAGGAGTTGGTGGTTGCCTGGAATGAGATACCACAGGAGGACATTGACCACCTGATCAGAAGCATGCCTAGGCGCGTTGGAGAATGCGTAGCACATCAGGGTGCATCCACACATTATTAAAGGTCAAAGGGCTTTAAAGCAGTGTAATCATTTTGAAATTTTTATCATTTACTTATTATGCTTCATTAAGTACTTATACAAAATTAGTATATGTTATTCTATCGGATATTTTTATAAATCAATGTAACTAATTTATTGAACAAGATGCATTCGTCTGTCCAACCAAAAAGACAGCCAACCATGGACAGCTGTTTCGTGCTTTTTGGCTGCTCATCAGAATGGTATAGGCTTGGTCTGTTATCTCTGGACGAACGAACGAATTCAATTTATTCATTGACAAGTAGCGGCACGGCTATTAAACGCGAACTGAGATCCATAATAGTTTCAACTAATAGCAGCAAAGCGCGTTTCACAGTGGTCGATTCTGGTGCGATAGATGGCGCTTTGCGCTATTTTATTCTGTATCTAATTTATGTTTAATTATTCACTTTCTGTATATTTTTTCAAATTGATTAATATTTTTTAATTGTACATGCTCAGTTTTGTTCACCTTCACTGAGTGAAAAATAAAGGTGTTCTATTATTATTATTATTTTTAATGTCAACGATTTGTATGGGGTAAATATCTAATGAGGTTAAGTTCTTCCTCCTTAGATTTTTTTTTTTTTATATCGAAACAGCCGCGCAGGCAGAAGCCTAAATGCCGGAACACCGCGGCTGCTATGATGATCCCAAAGAAATTTTGTTAATACGATTTTTGAACTGCCTAAGGTTAGTAGAACTGGGAAAAGCTTCCTCCCGTAGTTTGTTCCACAATCTAGACACCCTCGGGACAAATGAGCGGTCGTATCGGCCAGTTCTGGATGTACGAAGTTTGACACGGTTAGGATGGGACGCCGAAGTCAGGCGGGTCTGTCTGGCAGGCACATCGCGCGGCGGCATCATGGAAGAGAGCTCTGAGGAGCAAAGCCCGTTGGTGTAGCGATAGAAAAGAGCTAGATCGCCGACGGCCCGCCGGTGCGAAAGAGTCCCGAGACTGTCTGTTAGAGAAGAGTCATCGATCAGTCGGACCGCCCTCCTCTGGACAGCATCGAGCATGGACAATGTAGTCGGGGCGGCAGCACCCCAAATGTGTGAGCAATACTCGAGGCTAGGCCTTGTCTGGGCCTTGTATAGAGTGAGAAGGTCATGCGGAGAAAAGTACTTCTTAGCCCTAAACAAATAGCCTAGCTTTTTCCCAGCAGCTGCAGCTATTGAAGAGATGTGTTCGTGCCAGATCAGGTCCTCGGTGATCTGGACTCCGACCAGCCGAAATGAATGGCTCTTTGGTAGAACTTGACCATCCATCGAAACTGTATGAGCGCTAGGACGCTTTTTGTTCGTCAAAGTACAGTACTGTGTTTTGGAAGCATTGAACTGTACAAGATTGTTGCGTCCCCAAGCAGTGATTGCCTCCAGGTCTCTTGTCAGAGAAGAAGTCGTCGCTAGTCTTCTTTTTTCCAGCTCAGCGGCAGAGATCGGCTTGTCACTCTGAATTCCTGCATGTAGAGTGCTGTCATCAGCGAAGCTGTGGATTGGGTTGATCGTGCAGGAAAGGAGGTCGTTGATATGTAAGAGAAACAGTGTTGGAGCCAAGACCGATCCCTGGGGAACACCCGCGTTGACGTTGTGGGATGAAGAGGAGAATCCGTCAGTTACGACGGATATCTTGCGGCCAGAGATAAAGTCAGCCACCCATCTGCAAAGCTTTTCTGGGAGGCCGTAGGATGGAAGTTTGCTCAAGAGGGCAGCGTGCCACAGCTGATCGAACGCTTTCGTGATGTCAAGAGCAACGACATGAGCCTCACCATGAGACTGGATGAGTTTACTCCACAGTTGCGTGACGTAAGCTAGGAGGTCCCCTGTGGATCGTTGGTGCCGGAAACCGTACTGCCTGTCGCTAATCAAGCTGTGACGTTCGAGGTAGTCCAGAAGCTCGCGATTTATGCACCTCTCCATCACTTTACTTATAACGGAAAGCAGAGCTATAGGCCTGTAGTTGTAAGGGTCGGTTTTAGATCCTTTTTTTGGGATGGGCTGTACATGAGCAAATTTCCAGTTTTCTGGGAAGGTGCCGGATTCATAAGATATCTGGAAGAGACGCGAAAGAACTGGAGCAAGCTCAGCTGCACATCTCTTCAGTACAATGGCAGGAATCGAGTCCGGACCAGAAGCTTTGTTGATGTCGAGCGACAAGAGCACTCGTCTTACGGTCTTATGCCTGAATGTTACCTCCCGCATAGTGTGGGGAACCATTTGAATTGACGGCACTTGGGCGTTGGTGGGGACGTCCATGGTGGAGTTGGCAGCAAAGATCTTGGCTAGCACTTCCGCCTTGGCCTTTGAGTCGAATACAATAGTTCCATCCTGACACGTAAGTGGTGGAAGGCTACTGTGTGAGAAGTTCTTTTCAATCTGCTTGGCCAGCGTCCAGAAAGACCGACTGCCATTGCGCTGCGACATTACCCTGTGCCTAACTTTTATATCATGCTGGGTTTTGGCATTGCGAACCGCTTCGTTATATTTGTTTCTGGACTCGACGTCGGCTTGTCTGTTCTCTACAGTGGGGTTTTGTAAGTAGGTTCTGTGGGCCTTGATCTTCTGCTGGCGACCAGTGTCACACGATTTGTTGAACCAGCCGTTGGACCCTGGTTTAGGAACTTTCACTGTGTGAGGGATGTATTCCTCCATTCCGACGTGGATAATTTCGGTTATTGAAGAACAGACAGTCGACGCATCCGCGTCAGTGAAACAGACATCTCTCCAAGGAAAGCTAGAGAAGAAGTCTCTGAGCCCCTCCCAGTCGGCATGTCCGTAATGCCAAGTTTTGCGGCCTGTGCGAGTTTCTGCGGCCACAGCGGCGTCTGACCGAAACCTAACCTCCACGACACCGTGATCTGAGTTACCCAGGGGGGACAGGACGGCAGTGCTGTAAGTGGCAGGGTGCGTGGTCAGAAAGAGGTCCAGCAGGCTACTGGCGTGTGACGAGACGCGGGGGAAAAAAGTAGGGCTCGTCACCAACTGGGTCAGCCCTTGAGTAAGAGCGAAGGCTTCGACTGCACGACCTGCTGCATCGGTCTTATTTGAGCCCAACCAAAGCTCATTATGGGCATTGAAATCACCGAGAAGAACTACCTCTGAAGCGGGGTGATTGATGTTATAGATGGTTATAAAGGTAGTAAACAGCTTATGCTGTTGGCCAATACATTCGGGAATGTATACACGATACGTTTTGTCTAGCTTAAACCCATGTGTATGACAAATTTACACTTGAATAATATTTAAGAAGCAATGGTACTAAAACACTTAAACATTTATCGATTACATAATGGTAGGTACAAAAATTATGAATTATAGAACTGGTTATACAAGTGAGTATCCCACACCTACTGGATTATGAACTCAAATATTTTCTTACCTTATTACTTATTAGACACATAAAGGAATAGTAATAATAATAGATAATTGAAACAGATGTACTAATGAAAAAATTTAATTATAAGAATAGCCTAATAATAAAATACAGGTAAATAACCATCAATATCCATTTAACAATCACCCAGACATATTAAAAATAATTACAACTGTACAAATAACGTAACTTTTCAAAACTATATATTCACTTTAATATTTATTTGTAGCAATGTTTATAATCATAGCATTTTATTCATTTTGTCTATTATTATGCAAGTATGTCGATATATTTGATTCTGTGTAGTCTAAAATTTTCCTCTGACATTGCCTAATGTATTGTTGCTGTTTGTGGTAAATTTTTAAACATCCTTTTATAGCAATAAACGTAAGCCCTCCTAAAATTGTTCGGTGAAAGTTAGATTTCACAGAGTCAAAGAAAAATTTGCCAAACATGTTAGCGATTGTAGGCATGAGTAAAGCTCCGCATAGCACTCTGGTCGCAGAAACTGGATTTGACATTGACGGTATTTCTTCATTGCTTGCATCTGTGTTTGTGCCTGCATCAACTCTGTAAACACAGGGGCTGTCAAAAAAACCGATATATTTGGGATGCCACATATCTTCACTATGAGATGGACATTATTTATTGCATATTATTGCAGTATTAGAATAACCATAGGAGCCATTCTCACCGAAAGCAATGCAACTGCAACCCGACCGAAACTCGACGGCATCCCGACTCAGCACACAATTTCTTTTAGAATTAAGCGAGTGTTTACAGTAATGGATAAAAGTATACAGACAAATTAATATTGTGCTGTATTTCTTTTTTAACTTGTTTTATTAATACACCACTTATACATAAATAAATTCTTTAGACTCCCTTCAATAAAAAAATAATTGAAAAAACCTGGAACTATGAAGGACAAAAATATATAGACAAAGCAAAACAATTATAGAAAAAAGAAGCAAAGTTCATTGAATTGAATTGAAAACCAACCATGTTTGTGTTAATATTTTGTAGCATAACCATTATTATCAATCACCGCCTGGCATCGTCTCGGCATATATTGTAGAAGTTTCTTGATATAAGATTCATCAATCTGTCTCCACTTTTGCTCTAAAGCGGTAAAAGTTCATCCTTGTTTGAATAAATTTTTATCTCGTATTTGCTTATCTAAGTATTCCCATAGATTTTCAATGGGGTTTAATCGGGAGACCCTGTGAAGGCCATTTGAGAACTAGTATTTTTTCATCCAGAAAGAATTTCTTTGCGAGATTTGAAGTGTGCTTAGGGTCATTATCTTGCTGGAAGATTGATCTTAAGGGCATATTGCCTTCCATATAGGGTAACATGACATGCTTTAGTATGTCTCTGTATACAAACTTATCGATAATGCCATCTATTCTATGTAAAGGTCCCATCCCAAACCCCGAAAAGCACCCCCAAACCATAACAGACCCGCCTCCATGTTTGACAGTGGGCAAAGTGTACTTGGGGTTCAATCTTTGTCCACTAGGACATCTAACGTAATGAACACCATCTGATCCAAACATATTGAACTTGGATTCGTCACTGAAACATACCCTCTTCCAGTCACAGATGCTCCAATCAAGATGCAACCGTGCAAATTGTAATCGGTCCTTACGGTTTTTCCTCGAGATTAGCGGCTTCTTACTCGTGCGACGTGCAAATAATTTCAAATCATTTAATCTTCTACTTATATTTTTCGTAGAAACACTGACAATTCCTTTTGTCTCGATTTCGGCTTTTATTTGTCTTGGGGTTTTAAACGGATCTTTGGACGAAATTACTTTTATTAATCTAACTGATCTAGCATTTAGTTTTCTAGGCCGACCACTTCTCTTAGAGGCTTCCAAGATACCTTTTTGTTTATATTTGTTCAATATTGCCCAAACTGCTTTACGCTTCAGCTTCAAATTTTTGGCAATGTCGACTTGACGCTGACCATCTTTGTATAACTCAATGATCATAGTTTTCACATCGAAAGAAATTTCTGGGCCACGCGGCATGGTCTAAAAATCACTCAACTGATTCCACAATACTTGATGAACACAAACTAATCCTCTTCTGATACGAAACTGTACTAAACTAATGTTGAAAAGAATTTGTCTACATATTTTTGTCCCTCATAAAAAAGTGCTTGTATTCAGATTTGTATTGTGTTCATTGCAGATAATGTAAAAACAAGGAATTTAGTTCTTCTACTAATAACGCATTTGTTTATGGACCAATGAAGTATGAATTCGTTTTCTAAGGTATTTAGGTAAATATTCATATTTGTCTATATACTTTTGTCCATTATTGTATATTTCAACATGAAGAGGAATAGTTGCGATTGAAAATGAAATAGGACATCCGGTAAATGGCCATCACGAAACCTCTGGCACAGGGTCAGCCTTGAAATTCTGGATAACATTTTCGCACCACTGTGGCTCTATTTCGTCGATAACGCGCCGTATCTCTTTGTTAAGGCGTTCAACTGTTTGTGGCTTGTTCGCACCATTTTCTTCACATAGCCCCAGAGGAAGAAGTCCATTGGCGTTAGATCGCATCTTGGTGGCCAATTTTGATCGCCAAACCGAGAGATGACACTGGAAAGTTGGTCCGCAGTAACGTCATTGTTTCGCGTGATGAGTGGCAGTTTCCGCGTAATTTTTTCCATTTTTGTAGTGAGTTTTCACAATAATTAAACGTTGCTCGTTTGAATACTGCTCCATAAAGTCTAATCGCGCGGTCTGGATAAGACAGCTGTCATCAAGTAAACACCATACCATTTGTACAAAAAAAATTGCTGGCAAATTCAAATCTGGTGCTTTTATTGAAACACCCTATTAATACAAGCGTTCACAACAAAAACGGCAGCGCGACCGGTTGCTGGCACTGCTGTCGATAGTCAGTCTACAGTTTCCCACCAGTTAAAGAAAGATATCTGTGGATATCATTGTGACACTTCAGCTCTAGGTACTTAGGAGTACTTTCATCTGATTACAAATGGAGAGATCCATCATGTTTTCATTCCTTTTGATGTGATCCAGTTAGTGCAGCAGTATTCAATTCCTTCTATGGGAGCCACAGATTAAAGCACGAGTGTGACAAGTTATTAGCGTAGTGATCATCAAACTCAAGAAATTTGTTTGCATACAAAGTGTTACTTTCCTTCTTACGTGCAGTGCTTTCCCAAAACGCTTATTTTTTGAACGGCAGGGTTATTATAGATAGGTGACCATCCATCATTCATATAATGCCTAGTGACTGGCTGCATGAACACCTAGTCCTAATGCCGAGAAAAAAGATAGGCTAGTGTGCAAATAGTTCATTCCGCGCTTGATACAAGTGAGCATGAAGTGAACGACCGCTAGTTCCAAGTTGACGTCATGTAGGGAAACCTATACAGGGTGACTTCGAAGTTGAGTCATTTATTTTAACAGTGAGTGGATCTGATCAAAAGAAATGTTTTTTTCCTTTACCATTTTTCTGGTAAAATTAAAATAACAAAGTTATAGCCCTTTGGAAGTTTGAGTACCGCCCTGTCTCAATAATAATATCATGTGCTCGTGTTTGGCAACAACGGATATAATCCGCCTTATCGGTTCATCGCATCGGAAACAAACAAGCGAAAGAATTTGGAACGATGTTTTTACAATTATTTTATTCAGTTCAGTTATACATACAGTCAGTGTCAGTCGGTAACGCGTGTGAATAGTGTCTGTTGCGTGGCTCAAACGAAATAAAAAATGGCACATGTTTATGCGGATCGGTTTCCCAATCGAGTGCAACCAACCCCTCGTGCCTTTGTTAATGTAGTACAACGGGCTCGTGAATCAGGTGACTTAAGACCTCACAGGGGACCTCACGATCAAATACAGGTCCGCACTGAAATACTTGTCGGGAGGATACTTTATAAAACAAGGTAAAATTTTTTTTTTATTTTTACACACATATTTTGGTTTATCTTCCTTCTACAATCATTATCTGAAAATTAATGACTCAACTTCAAAGTATAATGTAAAAAACGACATAATGCCACTTTTCAAGTTACGTAATACCCCTGCCGGTCAAGTTTGCAAGTTGAAAATAGAATTGTTGCATGGCTATTATATGTTAGCGTAAAAGCGAGGAGTAGAATGTAAAAACCTTTCAAAACGGGGATCTGGCAGGCTGTCAAAATTGAGCGTTTTTGTACATTGATCGCTTATAACTCAAGAACCGATTATCAAAAAGCTGTAGTATTTTATTCAATCTTCTTCTCTTGGAAGGGTCTATCTAAATATCTAATAAAATATGAACAGATATGACAGATAGTGATTTTAGGGTTATAAAGTAATCATAAGGAGCTTCAAAATAAGGTATCATACCATTCTTTTTAAATATGGTTACAAAATGACGCCCCGCCGCCATCTTGAAATTTTAATTTTAAATTTTTACGCTAAAATATAGTATCTAGTATAGTATATAGTATTTCAGCTAGCTAACTTAACTCGTTCAAAAATTAGGTGAGGGACTTTTTTGAAAAGCACTGTATATTTTTATATATTGGGAGTTTTTTGATAAATAAAAATATATTATATAACGCTGGTTGATTGATCTGACCAAATTCTAATTGTAAAATTCGATAGTTAGTAATTTTCATTCAACGAGGGCTTTTAAGAACCAAAATATTCTCTTATTATTTAGTATATATACACAGTATTATAAAAGTTGAGATGTTCCGTTTCAGGAACAACTACAGCTAATATATGGTAAATCAGCAATGAAAAAGTGAAAGGAAAGCTTGAAGAAAAATAAGAAATTTCAAGTGCATGCTGTCCTGTCACACTGTTAGAATTTTCCGCTAGCCTATTCCAAAAACACAATTTGGTACTTGATTATTACCAATATTCGGTATTATCTAGGTCTTCCACTGATCACCTTGAAATGGTCTGTAACCCTGAATTTTTCTACGAGCAAAACCGAGAGGGCGTGCAATGTAACTGTCCAGGGTCGTTATCCAAACGTGCTTGGGTAGCCTCACCACCAACTTGAAGACACCATATTGACAAATTCGATATTGCTATAGGAACCAGCCATTTCCGTCGGATTTGTAAATAAACAGCATATGACTCTATGCTTAAATTCTGATGCTCATTGTATCTATTCAGCAAGCAATTGTGAAGAAGTCCCAGATTTAATCCCAATAGATTTTTTCGGAACCTAATATTTTGGTTAGCTCAAGCACTATACGCTGTGAAACTTCTAAGTTTGAGAAAACCCTGTATAGTCACAACCTCGAAACAAGATCGCGGGATGCCGTCTGGTTGCTTTTGGTAAGAAAAGTGCATTAGTTGTCTTAAAAGATTCAAGTGATATGGACGAGCGTCATGTTTCCATATTTTTAACTATTCTAACCATGTAGTATTGTTGAACTTGAACGCTGCTACTCAGTTTTAAGGTGAATTCACACTCATATCAAACGGGGCAAACAATACATTGTATACTTATGCAACATATACTATAACTGTATATAGTTAGGGTAATTTCAAATCTGGAAGGTCGATAATGTACAAGTGCAAAAAACAGCTGGTAAGTTTTACAGTAGAGAACTTACTACATCCTTTATTGTATTTAGATATTTTTCTTAAATTAGCATTATATTGTGTTATGTCGTTTATCAAACCAAGACTATTCAGTATCAAAATTTCCTAACGAATTTCAAATGGGATAATGACAGGCCTGGGAGAGGGATACTCAGCCAGCCTTAGCGCCAAATTGATATAGCATCTGTAGATCAGATTTATGCAGGAGGCCAAATACAAAAAATGAATACATACCTGAATGGAAATAAATTGCGAATTACTGGAATTTTTGACACATTCTTCCTCATAAAACTCAATAGAGCATCTTCCCATGTGATCATCTTCCCCAAACAAAGAGCTACAGGAATAGCTGGTAGTCCTATCAGTAAAACTAAGGGATCTGATTGCTCCATTATAGCCAATCCTTCTTTCTGACCTATTACCTTTAGAAAATAATCTAATTACTTTCTGACCAAGTAAACATAATAGGAGCAATTGCAAAAAGAAATCAATAAATTATCATTATGAATGAGTCTTGAAGTGCAAAGTGTTCTTAAAGTGTTGTACAAATGTACACATGGCTGATTTTCCAATTTATGGGTGATGGCTTTTAGCTAATTTGTTTAAGAATTTACTATGAGAGACAAAAGCGTCCATAGGCCTAAAGTTTTTCCACAAATAGATTCCAAAGTAAGCCTCCAATTTGGAAAGTCAATTCTCTATTATAGTGCAGTTTGGATTCAGTAAACAATATGTAAGAGTTGATAATTATTCATGTTCTTAACGTCATTCCTACTGACCAGTTTACCAATATTGTAATTCTATCACATGTACTGGGTGGCCCAACCTTGCCTGAATGGAGGATTGGTTTGAGAAAAAAACTTATTCAAAGACTGTTCAGGATTATCCTGCAGTGGAAATAAATTTTAAAAACGTTCAGGATTATATAGGGTGTTCTATTACTGAACTGATTAGCAGGGTTACTTACATATCCATATGTTTAATAACATACATATATTTGGATAGACATAAGCACCTCTGTATTTAGTTAGTAGACTATCATTCACAATTGTCTTACAGAAAATTCGACAGTCTATTAAAAGGAACAAGGTACTGGTTGCAATACTTTTAAACAAAATACGTGATTACTATCTCAACAACTACTAGACAAAATGCAGAAATATGTAGGTCTATCCAAATAAATAATATAAGCATAAGTTTCTATTAAAAGAACAACTTTGTTATCCACGTCATTAGTCAAGCACCCTGCATACCTTGGAATATTTTTGCAATGTATTCTAACAGGGATGGTTCAGGATAATCCTGAACAGATTTTGAAAAAGTTTGCATCCAGAAGCAATACTTCATCCATGCAAGTTTGGGCCACCCTATACATGCAATAAAAGTGCAACTTTGAGTAACCACCCAGTAAGGATGGTGACAAGAACATAAATGAATACTTAACAACCATTACATTTTGTTTACCAGACCCACAATGCACTGTAGTATGGTATGGAAAACTACTCATAGAAAAACATTGTGCCAAAGCACTACATGTTACACATGATCTACAACATACCAGATTTTAAAAACAATTAGCCAAAAGCATTATCAGTGAGGCTTATGTGGGGTCTTTTGAAGAAGGAAAAGTTAATTTTTACATTGCATACAAATGAATATTGTTAGACATTTTATAAAAAAATTCAACACTAACCGTATCAAATGAGTTTTGGAAATATTAACTAACTATAAATACAAATATTTGTCGGATTAGAATTATTCTACTGGGAGATTCAAATAAAATAAATTTTAAATATAATATCATGTGTAAACATTCATTTTAATATGTTGGCTCATTGCCTGGAAGTACATTTAACAAAAACTTGAGAATTTTTGTTCAATTGGCTTCTAGATATAATAATGATGATAATAATAGTAAGCCTTTATTGCCCAACTGCTTACCGCCAATAACAGAGCAATTTATAAAAATAAAAGTTAGACTAGAGGTATTTCCATGCGAACAAAGTTTTAACTTAGAAAACGTGTCCTATTCTTTATCTCATTATAATTGCAACCAAAAATGCCACAGTCGTGCAATTTTATTGGTATTGTTACTCATCATATTAAATGGTGCTTTTGATAATAAGTTAGTCTGTGCTCTTTGACATAAAAAACGAACACTAGCTCGTGAAGCTAACCGTGGCACCAGAAACTGTAACTGCGAGAGAATTTGGGACAGTCTACTTGACCATGCAACAACTTATATAAAATCAGTACAGAAAATTGATTCTGTCGCTGCTTTAAAGATTAAAAATCAAACTTTTGTAATCGCAACCTCTTGCAGGGTATATTCCATCAGGTTTGAAACTGAGGAACTTAAAAAATTTCTTCTGAATTTATCAACAGCATCAAAGTATTGTTTATAAATAGGGCTCCATATAAGACGTTTTGACCTTATCAGGCTGAAAAATTAAGATCTCAATGTACAGATATTGTCAAAGTTCCTACAGTTTCTGATTATTTTAAGATGCATTAGAAATTATTTGGTTGATATGATAATTGAAGGTGAGTTGTAAAATATAGGATTTGTCTGTCTAGAAAAAGTGAGTACCTTACATTTAGAAATATTTAGAAAAAGGTGATTATTTTCACACCATCTTACTACAATGTTGATCTGTTCTTGTAACACAACACAATCCTCTGTTGAGGAAATAGTACAAAAAAACTTCAAATCGTCAGCAAACAACAACTGCAGAAATTCCAAAGAGACACATAAATCATTGACAAAAAGAATGAACAGTAGTATATGTCAATTGCTATTAGCAGCCATCTAAGCAAAAATAATATATTTACCTGCATCACTGTGATAGCTCCAAATGTCACACCACACCAATAGATTGCCCCAACAACAACCCCAGCAGCCAAAAAGGGACACCCTTTATAAATAAAGCTATCTACAGTATCTAGGATGAGCACCAGAACACCCATGTTTGGAAAGACTATGATATATTCTGTTTGACATTGGGGACATATTACCTTGCCCATATTGCCACCTTTCTGTTTCTCATCCACCCATCGCTGCAAACATGTTTGGTGGACCTAGAAAGAAGTGTTCTAAAAACTAGGAAATAGTTATGGGAGAACTCATAGCGTAAAACAGTAGCTTTCTCTATTCATATATAAATATAAATATGTAGTGGCATCATAACGCATTTATTTTTTGAGATACAAACAAAAAAATTATGCATATAAAGCACAAGGGCTTAGTGCCTTAATAAAGACAAATACTTTGGATTTTTCATTTGTAAAAAATTTTTCAAGGGCAAATGTGACAGATCCATGTTAGCTTATTTGTTTTATGAGATACAAATGTGAAGTTAATCCATGAAAATGTTTGATAAAATTTCTGCAAATGGTGCTTTTGTCAACTATTGTCTTGAAATCAAGTTTTTTAGGCATACTCATTTATTTGAAAGATTCGTAAAACAGTTCTTAGAACATTATTTATTGTTTTTCCATTTTTTATATACATATATACAGTAGAACCCCGATTATCAGAAATAAGGTGGACAAAAGTGCTTTTGGATAAAATGGAAATACATATTTAGACTCATTTTATTGAAAAAAGTAAAGTGAGTATACTGGGTGGTCCATTTAATTTTTTTTTTTATTTGAAAGTACAATCCTTCCGATTAAGTATGGAATACAACTTCATTTAAATGACTGCCGCGGCTGGCTTTGCAGTAGCCCATACGGTCAGTCCAATTTTTGACCACATTTTCAATCATATGTGGCTGTATTTCAGCAATGGCAGCGCGTATGTTCTCTTTTATTTCGCCAGTTGTTGCTGGTTTGTTGGCATAACACTGGTCTTTAATGGCACCCCATAAATAATAATCTAATGGGGTCAAATCACAGCTCCGAGGCGGCCAAACAACATCAGAATTTCGGCTGATAATGCGATCACCGATAACGCTTCGCAGAAGAGCAATCGTAGCGTTTGCTGTGTGACACGGAGCACCGTCTTGTTGAAACCAGATGTTACCGACATCAATATCTTGAATTTGTGGAAAGAACAATTCATTTATCATGGCACGGTAACGCTCACCATTCACAGTAACTGCTGCTCCGGCTTCATTTTCAAAGAAAAATGGGCCAATGATGCCACCAGCCCAAAATCCGCACCAAACAGTCACTCGTTCTGGATGCATTGGCTTTTCTTCGATTGCGTGTGGGTTCTCTGAACCCCAAATGCGGCAGTTTTGCTTATTAACATAGCCGCCAAGATGAAAATGCGCTTCATCTGAAAAGATGATTTTTCGACCAAAATCAGCATCTTCATCAAGTTGATTGCAGGCCCATGAAGCGAAGCGAAAACGCATTGGATGGTCAGTTGGCTTCAATTGCTGAACCAATTGAACTTTGTACGCCTTCATACCAAGGTCTTTATGCAAAATTCGACCTAATGATGTGCGTGCGCCACACTCTCAGCTACAGCATCGATATTCTCGGGTGTACGCACCGTTTTCGGTCTTTCACGTGTTGGTTTGTCAATAAGAAGACCAGTTTCACGAACTTTTTGCATAAAATACCTCACATACGGTGCTCACGGTGCTTCATTTCTTCCCATTTTTGCACGTAATTTTCTGACACAATCTGCAACATTACCACCACTTTCGAAATATTGTTTTAATATTTCCCAGCGTTGTTCAAGCGAATACACAACCATTTTCGTTAATCGGAATGATATGACTGATGTTCTGTCAAATTAGATGCGAGTCTTGACATATCCCAAAAAACCAGTAACTAAAAAAAAAACGATAGATGGACCACCCGATATACCTATATAAAGTTATGTAAAATATAAACATGTGGATACAAACATACAGATTTACGAGTATTAACTAACAATGAAAGTCATATTTAACTGTACATGTTTTCCATTGTTCCTATTTTTTGCAGCAATATCCCTCCAACATTTGATAAGTAGCACATCAGCTGCTGCCGCATTTTCTTGTTGTTCGACGCCTTTTGTAGTGCTTCTAATCCTGCAGAATGTGATATTTTGGCAGAGATTTCTGTCTCATTGTCACTAGCATCACTTGAAACTGTCTCATCGCCATTGTTACAAACAATTTTTTTTAGTTCTGTATCAGTTAATTCTTCCACCAAATCATCACCATTAATCCACTCGCCAATATCTGCTTGGGTAAGATTTTCACACCCTCCTATTTTTACGACGAGCTCATGTAAATTTTTGTTGTTATTATCATAGTATTGTCAACCAAGATTACTGTAAAGTAGAATTTTTCACTTAGCTCCATGCTTCTGTTATCCAATATGCCAAATTCTTGAAGTTAACCTCTTTTAAACAACCAACGAGGTTAAAACCATTATCAACTTGATCTAAAATTTGCTCTAATAACAAACGTCTGTAACTGCGTTTTAAATTTTCTAAAACTCCTTCATCCATTGGCTGAATCAGTGACGTTACATTAGGAGGCAAAAACATCACTCATATTTCTCCACTTTTAAGTAGCTCCTCACTTGGGTGGCTCAGAGCATTGCCTAATAGCAAAATACATTTTCTCGGATATCCGCGTTTTATACCACACTGGAAGAGGGTTGGGACGGACTTGTTTAAATGCTCTTGGTTTAGCTGATTTTCCAATCAACAACAAAGGAAGTTTGTGTGTACCGGAAGCATTGCTACAAGCGAGGATAGTTACACGTACTTTACTGCATTTGTAACCAGGAGCACCAGATGTTTGTTTAGAAGCTAAACTTTTCGCCGATAACATTTTATAGTTTAGGTCCGTTTCGTCGCAGTTGTAAATTTGTTCTGGATTTAAGCCATACTGCTTCATTAATTCTTTAAAATGTTCTCCAAATTTTAATGCAGTAGACTTTTCTCTGCAAACTTTTAATTCTCGCATACCATGTTTTTTTCATCTATGCAGCCAACCATCACTGGCTTTAAAGTTATCAGATGACTCAATAACTGGCAATTCTTCACTTAAGTGCCTTTTGCTTTAGAATTGGAAATTGGTATTCCACGTTCTCGATTCTTTGTGAACCACAGATATAAAGCATCATCCACTTTTTGATATTCCCCTTTTTCATAGTTTTCCGTGACGGCTGCCATGTCAGCACACTAGACCACTTTTCAATTTTCTCGCGTTGTTTTTTCCATTCTGAAATGGTACTCACGCCCACACCCAAATCACTTGCCACATTTTCAAGCAAATCACCTCTATCTAAACGTCTGAATGCCTCAAGTTTCTGTTCTATGGTAATAACAACGTGTTTACGTTTATTTCTATGCTGCTCTATCTTAGCGATTATGAACCTGACTGAAACAAACATACACGCTCACATACCAGTGAATTCCGCAATCGCGCTTGGGGAATCACCGGCAGCGAATCTAATGACGCAAACGCCGAAAGGGAAACTACGGGCAGCTATTTCGGATCATGCGCGGATTTCCCGAACAACTTCGGTTAAAACAGAAATTATTGTATGCGATCTGTTTCGGATAAAGCTGATTTCGGATAATCGCGATTCGGATAATCCTACTGTATCACAAAAAACATCATAGAATAGAAAATTTACCATAAACCATTTTGTTACTCTAAAAGATTCTTATTTTAAATCTTAAAAATAAATGAACTATTTTCGAACTTTGGATATAAGTGAAGAGCAATTCATCAATACTTGCCTAAAATGATACATTTCCTATGAGCAACAATGCCATTAAATAACTAGGTTAGTAAAGTAGCTTCTGGTAAGCATTTGTAGTTTAATGATCATTCAAATATTCTTATAATTTATTACCAGAGGTTTTAATGAGAGTTACATGATAATATGAGCCCCTTCCCACTTCAGTTGGCCCAACTATTGAAATCTTAGTTTTTTTCTTATCAAACACAAATAATAAAAATGTAGCAGGGTGTTATAGGTTTAAAATATTAACAATGAATATTTTGATAATATATAGTAGAAAACACCAACTTTATCACTCCATAATCAAATTTGCAGCATAAAAATAACACATGTTGCAATTACAGCATATCAACCTATTTTAATTTCAATGCAAAATAAGTCTATAACGCATAGGTGTCTGTGAAAAATAAAAGCCATGACAATTGTTTTTATCAATCACAGCTGTCAGAATACGTTTAAAATAGTTTTGGGTAGTTAAGGTTTTCAAAATGGGTAGAGGAAAGGTTATTAGTGAGAAAATTCGGTTAGTGATAATTAAATTTTTTAATTCTGGGAAATCAAACTCAGAAATTGCAACTTTGTTTGACTTATCGCGGTACAGTGTGAGAAATATTATTAGAAGTTAATATTAAGCCATGATATGTGAAAAAAAGTAATATCACAAATGCCGACCGACGAGCAATAAGAAGAATAATCGTGAAAAACAGGCGTGCCAATTATTTACAATTAAGTGCTCTGTGGAGTGACGCTTTTGGAAGGAGAATTTCGAGGTCCACAAACTGGGATTTAGCACTTGCAAAGTAAAAATCGAAAGTTGCACAACTTGTTTATAGGCCAAAAAAAAGCCACTATTAACTCCACTGCAAAAGAAAAATCGGCTTAGATGGTCTAAAGAACATAGACAATGGACATCTCAAGAATGGTGTGCCATACAATGGAGTGATGAGGCCCGATTCGAAGTTTATGTTGGTGACAGTCGCAGTAGAGTTATTCCCCAGATAAATGAAGCATTCCATATTGACTGTCTGAAGAGAAAAGTTAAATTTCCAGCATCCATTATGGTCTGGGGCAGTGTGTCATCAAAAGGAGTAGGAAAACTTCATTTTATTGATGGAAATGTCAATACAAACAAATATTTGGCAATTTTAGAAGAATCGCTTTTACCAGTGATGGAAGAATGTTTGACATCTGGCCAAGATTTTGTGTTTCAGCAAGATGGTGCAGCGTGCCATACCTCAAAAAAGTCTATAAAATGGATGGAAGAAAATAATGTACCACTTTTGGAATGGGTTTCTAGCAGTCCAGATCTGTCACCTATTAAAACTTTGTGGCACGAGATGAAAAAGGTTCTACGACAACATCCTGCTCATACAATCACCGAACTGAGACAAAAGCTTCAAGAACTATGGGATTGTTTTGCCAAAAGTTGGTTAACACTATGCCTGTAATAAAAAATAAAGGTGATGTTACCCAATGGTAATCTTTCAATTGTTGCTTTGTTAACTTTGCGCATTGTTTATTTGTTTAGATGTTCTATTAGTTGTCTAAGTGATTTCAAATATGTAGTTTTTACGACTAGAGTGTATCTAAAATGTTTTTGAGAAAATAAATTGTTTTAGAAGTAAATAGTTTTGTCATGTTTAGTTTATAAAGCCATATTTTGGTACAAATCTTGAAGTGGGCCAACTGAAAGGGGAAGGGGATCGTAGTTTTGTTCATTCCTGTGAATTTTAAAAAAGGGGAGTACTACTTGTACCTACTCTGAAATGAAATAGTGTGAACAATAAATTGCTTTCTACATTTGCACAAATTATGTGTGGCAGCAGAGCAATTCTGAAAACAATGTGTGTGACCTAACATTTACATAGTTTCGAGGTGTGCTTGGTTAACATACGTACAATTCAATTTCTTTCTCTTACCCATTTCGTGGTTCCTCTGCAGTTGCACGGTTGCACCCATGCAGCTTCTCTGTCTTCCTCATCTGTTGCAAAGCACACCCAACAATATCGGGCGGATTCTTTGCTTTGTACAGCAGCGGCAGGTCTTTGCTCAGGAATTTTGCTTTGGTTAGGGCTCGATGTCACTCGGGAGGCAGTTGGTGCCTGGTTAGGATTTGTGCTCATTCTATGAGGTTCAGTGATATTTCATAGTAACAAACAATTTGGTGGGTATGTTTGATGATAGTTCCGCCTTACGTATGGTACTTCGAAAGCGTATATTATAACATTTTTGTCAGAGTAGATATATTTGCAAGAATTTTCAATAGTATTTTCCCCAAATAAAAACGCAAATGGGTGACAAATGACAGTTGTCAAAATTTTCCAGTAGGAATAAAGCAGTGCTGCCACTGTAGGATAAGAAACATACAATACCAAAATACACACATATATCTGTAACCTCTGCATATCAGTTATAGCATTACATAATAGATGTCGCTATACAACCATTATATAAATGAAAAAGACACGTTCATAAAAGATGGTATTAATGGAAGTAGATCTGTGCCTCAAACTGACTATTATGTGATCGCTACGTACTTGAAATGTTTTGTAGCTGACAGATACTCGTTCGAATCCAACTCGACTTCCACTGTGCTCATTTAATAATTATGTCCCATCTCTACCTTTTGGTTGCATATATTACCAATCTCATTATTTAGGGATTTTAATAAGATTTACTGGTGATTCTAGTGATTTTTGCTTGTCTTTTCGGTCTTATGCTTTTTTGACACGTTTATCTGGCAGGCGTTTTCTGAAATTATCGAAAACCAACAAGCTTTTTTAAAAAACATACCACCTGAAATGTGCTCGCTGTTTGCATAATAGATGAAAAAGTAAGCGTGGCTAATCAAGGTACAAAAAGAAAAATGAGCAGTTCGGAGGAAGTTTCGTGGATTTCATGGTTTTGCGGGCTCAGGGGCAATGAGTTCTTTTGTGAGGTAGATGAGGACTATATTCAAGACAAATTCAACTTGACTGGCTTGAACGAACAAGTTCCACATTACAGGTAACCGTAGCTTTTCATGAAGCCATATAATGGTTGAAATACCTGATTCTATTATTAGCTTTTAGATAGTAGTAAGGGGCATCTGGCATCAATAAGGGCCCATGAAGCTCATGTCTTGAGTCGTAGGGCATAATTTTATACAAGAATGATATGTAGACTTTCAAAGCATTTTTAAATTATAAATCCATAAATGAAATCCATGTATCTAGGAATATGATCAATATTTTGAAACCATACCACATAATAGAATCCAAAAAGTACTGCAAATAGCTATTGTTTTCTTTTTATTCAGAGTAAAATGCCCAATTATTGTTTATTTTGATATTGCAAATAATATATGTATTATGCATGCTTCAAAATTGATTTTGCTGATATAAACAGTACCTTTGGCTTACACTTATGTATATATCTTGTATTTTTTAGTATATTTTAGGTAATATTTTTGTTTTGATACTCAATGAAATGTGTAATCTCCTACATAGTGCCCTCAAAGAGGAGAATTTAGAGATTTTATGATTAACTTGTTTTAATAAAGTTATATGCAAAACATGTATGTTATCTCACAGCTGATTAGCTTTTAGAGCATTAGGTCAGTTTCAAATTTAAGTTTTACCTAACTTCAAATACCCTGTGAACTCTACCTTAACCTACTTGCATCAGAAAAATCTTTACTGTATTTATTTTTGCAATTCATGCTATTATTTCATATTGATATCATTAAAATGAAGAAAATTGTAGTCTATATATAATAGTAATTGCCTTCATTTATAATTAATACAAAGACTAGCAGAAAAACTAGATACTCTGTACCATAATTCACTAAATCATGTTTATCATTATCATTTTGAGTATTTACAACTACTACATTGTTGAACAATTGTTACAGACAAGCCTTAGACATGATCCTTGATTTAGAGCCAGATGATGAGCTAGATGATAATCCAAACCAGTCAGATTTGATAGAGCAGGCAGCGGAGATGTTATATGGATTGATACATGCCAGATATATATTAACAAATCGAGGAATTGCCCAAATGATAGAAAAGTACCAATCTGGAGATTTTGGATTCTGTCCTAGAGTTTACTGTGAATCACAGCCTATGTTACCATTAGGACTATCTGATGTGCCTGGTAATACTTTTAGTTATATATTAACATAATACTAGAAAATTCAGTCAAAAACAGCTCCTAATAACATTTATTGTCAATATGGAAACAAATGAAATATTAGTAATAACTTTGTCAAAAGATTTGTAAACCAGCACTACCGAGTCATATAATGAATAAGGATATTGTATAATGAAACTGAAAGCTTGGCATCAACACCCTTTTAAATATCAGCAGTAGCTGAGAAAATACTAGTTCTCCATACCACCCTATCTTTATACAGATAAAATCTGGTATGAGATACTGGTACTTAATTAGGATCCCCATTCTATTCGTGAATATGGGGGAGTAGAATCACTGAGAGAAAGTGGGCGTAGTTATCTACCTTTTGGGAAATTGTATTCCTGAACACTTAAAATAGTTACTCCAGGAATCACTCCCAGGAAAAAGTGCAGTAGTATTAGTCATCCACCAGCTTCATCTCTAAGGGCGAAGTTAGGTTTGTGATAAACAATTTAATGTTATGAAAAACCTAGAACCACATAATTTTGCCAAAAATAAATACATTGACAAATTGATTTGATATACATCAAAACATGCCAAAAGCTGCCAGAAAAGGTAATAGAACACTATTCTATTACCTCATTTCAAGAATTGCATCCCTGATGAGAGTAGTTTCACTTGTTCAGTGAAGCTCCAGTTTTTTTTGTGACATATAGCCAGTGAGTATAATTTTTCTACCACTATCTTTACTGAACTTTTGTGATTGTGCTATCCCTAACAACTGATTTCATGGCAAATAAATACTTCTTATAGACAAAACCAATCGACAATCTTTATACTGTATAGTGTGTTTTGAAACAGCATAAAAAAAGAAACATGCTGACATATAGCATATTGCTTTCACTATTAAATGGGGAAGAGGTTAATAAGGCCAATGGGCAACCTAAATTTAATTTGGATGAAAATATTAAAAATTAGATCATGTAGTAGCTCCTCAAAAAACTAAGTTGATCCGACCATAAATGGACCAACCTCACCACTCCTAGTTCCCTCTAACTACTCGTTAATTAGAGAAAACACCATCACCTAATAATAGCATTATAGGAAACATTTTTCACTGGCCAACTAATATTTTCTTAATAACAGACTACTTCATCAGTTTTTTTTTAGTAGATTCTACAGGAACTGATTTTGAATAAATTTAGGTGGAAAACTGGCCTTATTATATTAAAAAACAAAATACTTGTTTTTAACCTAAAATAAATATTTGTTTCAGGTGAAGCCATGGTGAAATCATACTGCCCAAAATGCATGGACGTATATACGCCAAAGTCTTCTCGGCATCATCACACTGATGGGGCCTATTTTGGTACAGGGTTCCCCCACATGCTCTTCATGGTACACCCGGAGTACAGGCCGAAACGCCCGACGAATCAATTTGTACCCCGACTGTTTGGCTTCAAAATCCACCCATTGGCTTATCAGCTACAGCAGCAAGCAGCTTCAACCTTCAAAACTCCTTTGAGGAGCTTGAATTTCAATAATGGTAAACGTTAGTTAACTGGGATACAAATAGAGAGATGATCATCATTTTTTCTGGAAGTAATTTTAGCGTATTTTATTTCTTGTAGGTAAGGTATTCTGAATTGTATACATTTGAATTTAAACATAGATAAAAATTTCATTTGTATGTATGGTAATTCTGAAATATTGTGGTTAATTTAAATAAAGCAATGTTTACATATGATTCAGGTTTTCTTTCATGCAAAGGGTAGCTATTTGAGCAAATCACTATTGAGAATTAAAAACAAAGTGGCCCTAATGCAGAACGTTGTGGTACGCCACTTTATGGGAGGAAGATTTTGATTTGTCCACTCTAAAAGAAAATCATCGATTTTTAACCCCTTCACATCCAGTACTCCACATATGGATATTTTGAATATGCTCTCTGGATATCATTGTTAATGGCTTATGTTAATGGAGCAGGGAACTGGTATGGCGAGCTGCTATCAATTTGACCGACTGGTATGGCATACAAGCCATCCTCACCCAAATTTCTTCAATATCCAAAATATTTCCACAGAAATATTTTTACTGTTAGTACATAAGTAGTCACGCTGGTACGCGGTCGTGTACGCCTCTAAATTACGTTTTGGCGGGAAAGTCTGTTTTATCGTGTTTCTCAGTGTTGTTTGGATGTAAAAGTTTTATTTATCAAAAATGAATGTCCAGGACTATTATACAGATAGTGATGACGATTCGGAGTATGAGTTAAGTGATAATTCGGATATGAGTGACTCTGACGAAACATATTCGGAGACCGATGACGATGAACTTGTCGAAAACGTGACCATGGACGAATGGCAAGTTTTAAGTGATCCTTTTTCCGATCAGGTTCCTAGAGCTACGCAAAATTTTTCTTCTGAATATACTTTTCACCCCGCCATTGATATGGAAGAGTGCAGAGATCCAGTCAATTGTTTCGAATGTTTTTTAAGCCCAAATATCGTAGCGAAATTAAGTGAGTGGACGAACAGAAGAGCTGAAATGTACTTTGAACAAAATACAAATACAAGGACAGTTTATGGCGTTCAGTGGAAGAAACTAGAAAAAGAAGAGATGTACGTTTTCATCGCGCTTCATATTCTTACTGCATTAGTAAAGTGCCCTCGCATAACAGATTACTGGAGTAATAACATTTTGTGTGCTGGTCCAAAAGTTTTCAATAAGTCTATTATGAGTCGAAACAGGTATCTTTCTATACTCAAGTTTATTCGGTTTTCGCCAACCGAAGCAGCAAGACAACTGCTAGACGTTGGTTGACCCTGGACCAGTGTTTGCAATAGATGAACATTTGATGCTTTATAAAGGCAGATTGCACTTTCGTCAATATATTAAAACAAAAAGAAATCGATTTGGCATAAAACTTTTTGCAATGTGCCCAAGCGCTCCACATTTGCGCGGATATACTTGGAACTTTTGTTTGTACGTAGGGAAAGACAATTTCGATGTATCCCATATTCCAGGCACCGGAAACCTCACTGTTTCTGAAAGAATTGTCGTGCATTTAGCTCAAAATATACTGAACAGTGGCCGAGAAGTTATTCTAGACAATTGGTATACATCCGTGCGGCTTTCGCAATTTTTACTTACCCAAGGAACCTATTTGACTGGAACTATAAGAAGCAATCGTGGAGTTCCCGCTCAGTTAACTAGAATTCCACTAGAAAGGTACCAATCCTGCTTCGTACGGAAAGACATGCAACTGCTTGTACGATATAAGGACAAGAAGGATGTTTACTTGTTGACAAGTAAGCATAGTGCAGGGTTTTTTGAAAAATCTCGCTATATGGTAGGCGGTAAACAAGTGCATTTTAAAAAACCTGCCCACATTGAATTTTATAATCAAAATATGGGCTCTGTTGACGCTGTCGATTAAGATCTGGAACCTTACAATTCTTTACGAAAAAGCTATACTTGGTTTACAAAAGTGGGCTTTCAATTAATGCTTCAGATGCTTCTAAATTCTAAGGTTTTATTCTGTAACGCTAAAGATGATTTCAACATTTCGATGTATGACTATATAAAACTGTGCTGTAATGGTATTTTGCACAAATACAGTGAAGGATATCGCTGCATGACGGATGCTTCTTCATGTTATAATCAACCTTCAACTTCAAAAAAAACACAAAAAGAACACGTTATGGTTAATTTACCAAAGGAAGATGGAAAAAAACGGGCATTGCGAAAGATCTGCGTTATTTGCCGAAAACACAACCAAAGGAAACTAACACGAAATATTTGCATTGAGTGTCCAAATAAGCCAGGGCTTTGTTGTCCGGAACATTTTCAAGAATACCACAAATGAACTTTATATTTTAAGCGGTTTACCAATGTTACGTTCTACTAGTTTATTTTATGTAAAAAATATGAATAAAGCACTTATGTTCAAAAAATGTGACTTTGATTTATTTTTACATGGATATCCAAATATGGATATTATGGTATGCCACTATTATCCAAATGGTGGATATACTGGTATAGTCATAAAATATGAATCACTGTCGCCATGTTGTTTTTGACTTTCATGAAATATTTTAACTGTGGTTAAAGATGTATGTCATTATGTAATCTTAATATTTCATTTTCGATTTTTTTTTCATCTGGTATGTGAAAGTGCCTTTTTAAATTGCACCTGGATGTGAAGGGGTTAAAGAATTACACTAGGGCTGGTACTAGAGGTTCTCTAACCTTCCAAATGGTACTTTATTAAATGCTTTATCAAAATCTGAAAAGAAAACATCGATTGGTTCATCTTGATCATCTGAAATATTCCAATCTTGTTAATAGTAAATGTAGATTGACCTGGCAAAAATCCATGCTGAGAAAATTTAAGTACTTGGTTTTCAAGTAGAAAAGATGTTATCTCTTCAGGTAGTTTTACACAGCATGCTCGTGAGATTAATTGGACTGAAGTTGGATGGTGATTACTTGTCTACTTTCTTGTAGGATGTGGCATGAATAGCAGTTCTGAAGTATGCCCAGATACTAGCAATTCAGATCTCGAATTGTCATACCTATTCGTTGGGTGCGCGATGACAGCACCATCTAGCGAATGTTGGACAGAAACATTTGTGCCTGCTACGTGCAGTATAAAAACAAACGGATATCAATGAAAATGCCTGACATTTGGTCGAATTGAGGTTTGGAACAATTCAAATTTTAAACTGACAATTATCTTTTGATACGACAACAAATCATCATTTACAACTCTGCTAGGCCTCAATTGATCCCGTATCACGGATTTCACCATAGAGGCCACGCGTATATTCCACTATTTTCCTTTTTGTCCACCGCGTGCGTGACGATGTCATTGGTGGCGATCAACGAATTCGAATAGATTAGGAGTCAAGCCAACACTGAATTGTTTGTCGTCAAAATTGCGTAGTTTCAGTGTATACTGTAGAACTGTAGACTCATTTGACTACCAATGCATACCAAAGTGACAACGTTGTATCAACATAATAATACCCGCGGAGAAATTTAGCTTTATTAGGCTTGTGCGCTGTTTGCAAAGTATGCAAGAAGTATTACATATATCCTGCAATCTAACACCAGTCGCACTTTCAAAATATAACACTAAAAATACAAATTTAAGAACTGTCAAAAATATCTAGTGCCAAGTTCACTTGTATAGTTCGAATATCCAAAGGTTATGCCCGCTACATCATAACTTTACCCTCTCTGTACTCTGGCGAGATTTATGGACAGCTGTTAACGCCCTCGTAATGTGGTCCAGTTCTAAGCGTGGCGTATATTTATAACGTAGAAAGCTTAAAAATTTATATAGTCTTCAATGTCCAGACATTACATTGCTGTTGACGCTGTCAAGAGAATTACTACGTTTGTTCGATTTATTTTAACCATAGCATATTTTGTATTAGATTGTGTTTGTATTAATAGTTTTAATCGAGTGATCTAAACAATGTCCGCGAAAGAGGTTGGTGTGAGAGGAAATGCAATTGTGAGTCAAGGACAGGAAATTATTCACAACGTCACTAACTTCATGATAGAGGAAAGTGTAGAGGAATTGAAGTTTTCACTTCAACAATACCGGTATGTATACAATGTAAAAGATTTTTATAATTATTGTCAATTAAAACTGATTTACCCATTTAGAAAACGTGAGTTAGCTGCCACGGGGATAAGTAAGTGCACTTATCAAAAATAGCTGAATAGAGCAGAAAATGATTATATTCAAGTAACTTTTCATTTTTATCTCCATCTGAAAAGCACTAAAATCACATGTTCTGGATAAAATGACTGCAGGACAAATTGAAGAAATTAAAGCAATCATATATGATTTTCATATTTCACAAAAACGTTTAGTCAAATTTTCTAGCAAACTTTGCTGTAAATTTTCTAGTCCAGAAATCTTAATTTCCATTAAAAACATTCTTAATGACAAACTGTAGGAATCACTTCTGATATTATACATAATTCTCTGCTAAAATGTTTGGTAGTTTGCTCAAATGGTTGTAAAAGTCGTAAAAGCTTTTCCAACGAATCCCACTGACTTGGTGTCAAAGAGGGAACCGCATCAACTTCCGTGGCAAGCAAGTTAATGGCCCTTCGCTGCTCGACAAGTCTTTCTAATAGATAATACGTGGAATTCCAACGTCTTTGAACATCTTGAACCATTTTTTTGATAGGTAGGTTGACGTCTTTCTGGATTTCTTCTAATTTTGTTCGAGATGGAGAGGAATGGTTTATATGAGTCACTATTTTTCTTGCAATGGGTACAATTTCCATAAGGGATGTTTGCTCTTTAAGAGAGTTAACTACTACAAGCTGCTGAGTATGAATAAAACAGGATTCATTATTGACTCCCATATCTTTTGTAGCATTCTTAATATTAGCACCACTATCTCGAAGAACCAAGTGAACTCTGCCCACTTCTATGTTATTATTTCTTAACAATTCTAGTAAAGCATTTTTTATATTTTCACCAGTATGACTGCCATCCAGACCACGAATACTTAGCCCATAATGTTTTTGTTCAAAATTTCTGGAAATCCAATGTCCAGTTAAAGTTATAAAGCTCTTATTGTTCACATCAGAAGTCCACATGTCTGTTGTGAAAGAAATAAATCTTGCATCTGCTAACATTTCAGCTACTCTACTTTGACACTCTTCGTATATCTCAGGAATGACAGTTTTGCTGAAATATGGCCGACTGGGTATACTATACTTTCGTTCCAGGACAGTAAACAATCTTTTGGATCCTAAAAATTTATCCGCGATAAGTTTATATGGCAACTTAAAAAGTACAGCAACTCGTTGTGTAGCTATACGTTTAAAATAAAATGAAACGGAAAACTAACCATATTGCAAAAAATAAATGGTTAACGAGAAACCTTTTTTCGTTACTTAACATTTAAGTGCAAATATCATATAAAAATAATTAATAATATTAATATGTAGCTACTTTCATTTTACCTTTATTCTCCACAACAGAAAAAGGTTGCTTATTAAGAACGATCATTTCTCCTATAGCCTGGTGTATTCTTTTTGTCCTTGAATCGTTTATGTCCCATTGTCTTTCGAAGCTCTCAGTAATTTTAATTTGTCTCAATTCTCCTGAAGATTCTGAACCTGAACATTGCTTATTTTCGATTTTACTTTGATCCTTTAATGTAAGTGGATGCTTATATTTTAAGTGTTTCCAAAAAGATGATTTACTCGCTTTTTTTCCAAGACCGCGAAGAATTTTTCTGCCACACACTGCTTTTGATTCATCTTCATTATCGATTATAAAATGTTCCCACACATTGCTCATTTTTAAATTGGCTAATCTCGCTCGATAACTCTCTAGTAACACAAAGCTCGATAGTAAGTAACTAGAGTGAAAAAGTAATAGTCAATAATACACCCACAGAACAATACACCCTGTTCTCGGCGCGGGGATTCACGCGACAACGTCGGGTCTTCCCCCAAAACATCCACGTTGCTCCGCGCATTTGTTCTACGGCAAGCTGGTTCTCGCAGAGTTGCCAACGTTTTAACAAAAAAAGATTACATATTCTAATCTTTGGCCGACAGTTTCGCAAAAAAGTGTACAAAAATTCTTTTCAATTTGAATGTTTTAAGTTTGAGTAGTGGGAAATCCGAGAGCGTGCAAGCAGGACACAGGTTAAACCGGGTACCCGGCATGAAGCCGGATCCTAAAGAGCCGGGTACCCGGTTTGGCCAGTTGCCGGAAATTACTACCCGTTACATCCCTAATTCCAACTATATTATGCACGTTCATCCTGAGATTTTGAAGATAAATAAATCCTAGGCTTGCTTGCTCCATCTACCTAGTCGGAATTTGTTGGTGGCGATCGATTCAGTTACTCCCATTATGCTCTCGCTTCGTTCAAATTTACGATAGTTTGTTCTCCTTGGCCGCTGAAATGCTCTGCATGATATGTTAAGTAGGGTCTGTTTCTTGGCCGAAGACGATGTTCCGCTTCTAACACAATGTTTGGCGGACTTGGTGTCAAAGAGGGAACCGCATCAACTTCCGTGGCAAGCAAGTTAATGGCCCTTCGCTGCTCGACAAGTCTTTCTAATAGATAATACGTGGAATTCCAACGTCTTTGAACATCTTGAACCATTTTTTTGATAGGTAGGTTGACGTCTTTCTTGATTTCTTCTAATTTTGTTCGAGATGGAGAGGAATGGTTTATATGAGTCACTATTTTTCTTGCAATGGGTACAATTTCCATAAGGGATGTTTGCTCTTTAAGAGAGTTAACTACTACAAGCTGCTGAGTATGAATAAAACAGGATTCATTATTGACTCCCATATCTTTTGTAGCATTCTTAATATTAGCACCACTATCTCGAAGAACCAAGTGATCTCTGCCCACTTCTATGTTATTATTTCTTAACAATTCTAGTAAAGCATTTTTTATATTTTCACCAGTATGACTGCCATCCAGACCACGAATACTTAGCCCATAATGTTTTTGTTCAAAATTTCTGGAAATCCAATGTCCAGTTAAACTTATAAAGCTCTTATTGTTCACATCAGAAGTCCACATGTCTGTTGTGAAAGAAATAAATCTTGCATCTGCTAACATTTCAGCTACTCTACTTTGACACTCTTCGTATATCTCAGGAATGACAGTTTTGCTGAAATATGGCCGACTGGGTATACTATACTTTCGTTCCAGGACAGCAAACAATCTTTTGGATCCTAAAAATTTATCCGCGATAAGTTTATATGGCAACTTAAAAAGTACAGCAACTCGTTGTGTAGCTATATACGTTTAAAATAAAATGAAACGGAAAACTAACCATATTGCAAAAAAATGGTTAACGAGAAACCTTTTTTCGTTACTTAAAATTTAAGTGCAAATATCATATAAAAATAATTAATAATATTAATATGTAGCTACTTTCATTTTACCTTTATTCTCCACAACAGAAAAAGGTTGCTTATCAAGAACGATCATTTCTCCTGTAGCCTGGTGTATTCTTTTTGTCCTTGAATCGTTTATGTCCCATTGTCTTTCGAAGCTCTCAGTAATTTTAATTTGTTTCAATTCTCCTGAAGATTCTGAACCTGAACATTGCTTATTTTCGATTTTACTTTGATCCTTTAATGTAAGTGGATGCTTATATTTTAAGTGTTTCCAAAAAGATGATTTACTTTTTTTTTCCAAGACCGCGAAGAATTTTTGTGCCACACACTGCTTTTGATTCATCTTCATTATCGATTATAAAATGTTCCCACACATTGCTCATTTTTAAATTGGCTAATCTCGCTCGATAACTCGCTAGTAACACAAAGCTCGATAGTAAGTAACTAGAGTGAAAAAGTAATAGTCAATAATACACCCACAGAACAATACACCCTGTTCTCGGCGCGGGGATTCACGCGACAACGTCGGGTCTTCCCCCAAAACATCCACGTTGCTCCGTGCATTTGTTCTACGGCAAGCTGGTTCTCGCAGAGTTGCCAACGTTTTAACAAAAAAAGATTACATATTCTAATCTTTGGCCGACAGTTTCGCAAAAAAGTGTACAAAAATTCGTTTTCGATTTGAATGTTTTAAGTTTGAGTAGTGGGAAATCCGAGAGCGTGCAAGCAGGACACAGGTTAAACCGGGTACCCGGCATGAAGCCGGATCCTAAAGAGCCGGGTACCCGGTTTGGCCAGTTGCTGGAAATTACTACCCGTTACATCCCTAATTCCAACTATATTATGCACGTTCATCCTGAGATTTTGAAGATAAATAAATCCTAGGCTTGCTTGCTCCATCTACCTAGTCGGAATTTGTTGGTGGCGATCGATTCAGTTACTCCCATTATGCTCTCGCTTCGTTCAAATTTACGATAGTTTGTTCTCCTTGGCCGCTGAAATGCTCTGCATGATATGTTAAGTAGGGTCTGTTTCTTGGCCGAAGACGATGTTCCGCTTCTAACACAATGTTTGGCGGAAGTAGGTTGGCTTTAATCATAAATAATGAACACTAGTACCCCTGGATCCACTTCCTATACGTAGATATTTCTGTTTTAGCCTGTTAAGACTAGGTAAAATGTCATACCAATTTTATCAGTATGAATTCGTGAATCTAGTTACGATATTAAAGTATACTAAACAAATGCAACGCCCAGAATTATTTATTGAATTTTGATAAAAACTTATAAACATAATTGGAAATATACGCTGATAAAATGTTGAAGGTCATTCCGAGCCATCCTTTTTTGTTATATCAGGATCCGAACAATATGAACATATTTACTCAATATTCAGTGATTTTTCTGCGTTGGTTCCATTTGTTTCATTGCATTATCATGCCTAGAGTTCGCAGACGCGCTGATTTCACTCAAATTTCCGAGTTTGAGAGATGTCGGATAATCGGGTTACGTAAAGCCAGATTTTCTTTTAGAGAAATCGCGAATCGGGTGAATCGAAACGAGATGTTGTCGAGCGAGGTTCCAATAAGGCCGAAATCGACGAGTTAGAGGTACTGGATGTCAAAGGCAGACACAGAGGGACATGATCGTTATTTGAGGCAGCTAGCACTTAAAGATCGATTTTCCACAAGGGCAGTTGCGAACCAGCCGGAAGGGCAATAACAATGAGGACGTCGAATAAGGTCTTTTGGACTGTTTTCATATCGTCCCCATCTTGTACTACCTCTGACCCCACAGCATCATCGGCAACGATTGGTATGGAGTAGGTAGATACTTGAATGGAATGGAACTCAGTCGTGTTCAGCGATGAGTCCAGATTCTGTTTGGGCCAACATGTTGGCTGTGCAAGAGTAAGGAGATGACGTGGTGAAAGGCGGAACGTCCAATATTCCATCGAACGACATATTCATCGCTCTGTGGGTGTTATAGTATGGGACGCCATGGCTTATGGCAGCATGTCACGATTAGTGTGCATTCGAGGTAGCATGACTGCCCAACGCTATATCCATGAAGTTTTACAACCACATCTGATTCCCCATTTGGAAACATTGCAAGATCTACTTTTTCGGCAGGACAATGCACAACCTCATGTTGCACGTGTTAGTTTAGACCTTTTAGAAACGTCCGGAGTAAATCTGCTTCAGTGGCTTCCTCGATCTCTCCAGACCTTTCCTCCATCGAACATATAAGGCACATGATGGGAAGAAGGTTGAAAAATTCACCGCATCCTCCATAAACATTGGAGGCTCTATGAAACCAAATTCAGATAGCCTGGAAAACACTACACCAAGAAGATATCAATCACATAATCCTATCAATGCCGCGACGACTTAATGAATGTGTAGCGAATAGAGAAGCTTCAACACAACATTAAGGTGGGTTATCTCACCTATTTTGCGAAATTTCGAGTTAAAATTTTAATCACTTTTTATTCATCAGTAGACCTAACTCTTGTAAAAGTATGCTCAAAATTACAGCACTCCCAGTCGGTGTTGCATTTTCTATGTCATTTAGTATACAGGGTTATCCAAATTAAGTGTCCACCATTAGTAACTTTGTTATTAGTGAAAATACAAAGTTGTTTGAATTAGCAAACTAGTAGCATTTTTAACGCTGGTAAAAATGAGAAATAAAAAAAAAGCAATTGAGAGTCGTTATTTTGATTTTTTTCAGTAAAATAACATTTTTTTAAATGGAAACCCCTGTATATTATATTTTTTTCTGTTAAAGCATCAAATTTTAAACAAAAAAGTTCATAATGACTTTTCCGCTAAAGTCAAAAATAAAGTCAAAATAACGATAAATATGTTTAATTATTTGCAGTATTATAATATTAAGACGGCTATGAAAACAACATGGCGTTCGCGATTTGACAGCATTAAGATAAGCGACAAATTGTTAAACTGGACATACTCGCAACTAGAAGGCTTTGGAAAACAATGATAAAATCAAATAATGTCAAACATTAGTGTAAATACTTGTTTATAAGCTTTATTGTGTCATTAATTTAAAGAAAAATGTTCTCCCATGAAGAAAAGTGTGATATGTTAGAATGCTATTTAGTGTGCAGAAAATCCTCCTTGAGAGCAAGAGAATACTACAGTGAATTATATCCCGCTCGCATTCAACCGTATGAACGATATTTTCTGAGACTTTATCGAAAATTTAGGGGCAACGAAAATGTTTTTGCTAAAACAAGGGCAAAAAAAGAATTCATAATAAGCGAGGCCACGGAAATTGCAGTTATTGGATATTTTGAAGCTTATCGTGAGAATTCAATAGCAGATATTCTCAAGGACTCTAATTTCAGTTATGGTACTGTTCAAAGGATTTTAAAAAAATACAAATTTATTCCGTATAAGTACCGACCAGTTCAAACGCTTTTGGCAGGGGATCCAGAGAGAAGACTTGTTTTTTTGCCATTGGTATCTTAGCTTCTGTCGCCAAAATGTAAATAACTTTCGTTACCTTTTATGGACAGATGAATCAAATTTTTCAAATTCTGGAATGTTTAATAGAAAAAACCACCATTATTGGTCAAGAGAAAATCTTTTGTTAGTACATCCAAGAGGCCCACAAGTCCGTTTCAGTTTCAACGTTTGGTGCGGTATAATTGGTTCAAAAATTGTTGGCCCGTTCTTTTATGAGGGAACCCTAACTGGTGAAAGATATGTGGAATTTATGTCAGAAATTCTGACTAATTTCTTAGACGAATTGGATCTTATAAGTAGACATCATCTGCATTTTCAGCAAGATGGCGCACCTGCCCACAACTCCAGAGGTACTTGTCATTTTCTAAGTACTACTTTTAATGATCAGTGGATAGGAACAAATGGCCCAATACAGTGGCCTCCCAGATCACCAGATCTAAACCCACTTGATTACTTCTTGTGGGGTTACTTAAAGAACCAAATTTACAAGCGAAGGTACGATAACCTTGACGCGTTAAAGACTGCAGTTAGGGAAAAGATAACCCAGATAGATGGTAGGACCATACTTAAGACAGTTCGAGCAGTTGAAAAACGTGCCCAAAAATGTATTGAAGAACAAGGTGGTGTTTTCGAGCATCTTCTTTAAAAAAAATTGTTATTGTATTTTGTAAGATTATAAGTTGATGTTGAAAATAAAGTTTGTCGATACAATTTAATTGTTTCAGATTGGAGGCCATAACTTCAACAATTTGTAACCTAGGAGAAAAGTTATTGTAAGCTTTTTTGTTTAAAATTTGATGCTTTAACAGAAAAAAATATAATATACCTTGGTTTCCATTTAACAAAATGTTATTTTACTGAAAAAAATCAAAATAACGACTCTCAATTGTTTTTTTTTATTTCTCATTTTTACCAGCATTAAAAATGCTACTAGTTTGCTAATTCAAACAACTTTGTATTTTCACTAATAACAAAGTTACTAATGGTGGACACTTAATTTGGATAACCCTGTATATTATAAATCACACAATTATAACAGAAATTAAACTGATCTACCCATTCACAACATTACATTGGTAACCCGATTTGCTGGAATAATTTTATAACATTTAATATGTAATATAATTGTAGCGTGAATCATCAAGGTAAGTCAGTTTTAAAAACATATTTTTTTTGACAGTGGAATCCGTTATAGATTTAAAGGCAAATTCAAGCTATAATTATTCCAAATATTTGTTTCCAATAAAGTAGTACGAACTAAGTTTTGAAAGGTACTCCAACTGTTCCTAAACTTGATGACTATGACTAGTACATTTTCACTTTTTTAGTTAACAGAATTTCCACAGCGAGTACTAATTTTTTGAAATCATCGACCTTTTTTGGTAGAAAGTCGAATGCGTGACTGAATGTGTATTTTTGGCTGATGCTGACGCTTCTGCCATATAATACGATTCCGTGTTATGGCATAGCCGAAACCACATTATATCATTGGAAGTTTCGTTACAACGCCTTTAGTCGTTTTTTATTCTTAACACCCTGTATTCATAGTTTAAATGACACATGTAAAACTAACATGTCATCGAAAAATGATGTTAACCAATAAGGGATACTTCATACCTAAGTACTTATACAGAAGAAAAGTCGAGCTGTGTCGTGAAAAGATTATCAGAAGGAAATATGGATATCTTTTTTACAGAAAGACTATTTCAACAATTTTACCTTCACAAGCCGAGCGATATTACCGAAAAAAGATTATCAAACATTGTTTTACTAACTGGGTAGACTATTGGTATACAGCCAGAATAGAATGGAAATTAATAATTAGGGCAGATATACATTATAGTCTATGTTTATTGCAAAAATGTATCAGCAAATGGAAACTATTTTGCTTTCAACAAAAAGTCATGAAAATAAAAGCACAGATTGCGGATCTGCATTACTCGAAAAAATCGAAAAGACAAACGATCTCATTGGCACTTTGTAGATGGAAGTGTTATATGAGATATCGAAGAGATAAAAAGCAATTATATAAAATTGCTCATGGATTTTTCAAGTCTAAACATAGTTCTGAGAGTTTAATACCATATTGGAATAGATGGATAGCATTCCATAGTTGGGCAAAAGAAGAAAAACGCAAACTACTGATTTCTGTTGAATTTCATATGCATATATTGAAAAGAGATTGTTTTCGACGTTGGCAAAAGTATATTACGAGAAAAAGAAGAATTAAGCAAGCTATTATACGTTCAAAAAACTTCTATGAATGGAGGGTAAAACGAAAAACGTTTGATTCATGGAAAAGTTTCTTTCACGAGAATCTGAAGATTAAAGGAAATTACATATTGGCGAAAACGCATTACAATTTTAAGCTTAAATCAAGTTGTTTCAGAAAGTTGCTCCAAAATAAGGATACTCATAAAGTGATAAAGCAGAACTTGGAATATTTTAAAATGCTACAGACAAGAAAACTTATTGAGGAATGCTTCATAAAAATGCAAATATTCTACCATAACAGTATTGCAAAAAAGCGAAAGCTAGAACGTGCATTACAGTTTGAAAGGTATACATTGTTACATAAATGTTTTCAAGGTATGAAAACCTACAAAATGTATAAGGTGTATAAAAGACGCTTATATGCAGACTTATTAGATAAAGCTATCAGGCATCTACAATTTTACAAAAAGCAAAGACTGTTCACAAAATGGCAACAATACATATCTTTACAGAAACATAAACGGATCAAAGTGGAGTTGGCATGTATGTTTGACAAAAATATGCATGTGAAGAAATGTTTCAAGAGTTGGTTTCACTATTTAGAGTACAAAAGGGATAAAACGGTGAAAATGATATTGGCTTGCTCTCATGATCATAGAAAGGTACTAAACTTCTGCGTGCAAAAGTGGAAGGAATTTACAAAAAAAGAGTTAACGTTTAAATCTAATATAAACAAAGCTAAGTCATATTATCATCAACAACTGTTAGCAGACGGATTATATATGATTATAAAATCTGGGCTAAAAAAGAAAGAAGGCAATCTAAAAACGCGTATTATGGAGATAAGTAAGAAATCTGCTTTAGGTCAGAAATATCTGAGTATATGGAAGCAAAAAACCCTTTATAAAGGCGTAGATTCTCAAAACGGTGCCACTGATGACAAAGAGAATATGATACCTCCCTCTTCAGACTGGTACCCAGTTTGCTTTTTGGCGCCAAGAGTGCCCCAGGATTATTTAATGTAAACATTTATTCTTAATATAATAAAATAATAAACACCTGTATTTACATAACTCATTTTTTTCTCTTTTTCTTACGGTCCATTGCACTGAGCTCATGTTGTTGCATTGCTGCCTCAGCAAATATCCTGTTGACTTTGTTTCTTCGTTCCTTATCACTGAAAATAAAAAAAATTGGTACAACTTTTCCATCACTGTGGTGTTCAGTGCAAGTGAATTAGCATATCAAAATCAAAACATATGTACCTTCGTATCCTTCGGTGTATTTTAACTCTACCCAAAAATTCTTTGTCCCTCCTAATTTCTCTGAGTGCACCTTTCTTTTCCTGTCGCAGTTTATGCAATAACTTACTCTGTTCAGCTTTTTCTTTGGATTGCATCTTATGTCTTTTTGTATCATAACTGAAATATATATGTATAATACTTTCAAATTCAAAAAGAACAAAGTTGATTGTTTTGTTAGTCATTTCATTACGTGACGGTGTAAAAGACAGAATAAGCAACTTTAGGAACTGTCTTTTATACTTTAATCGAGTAGTACAGACAAGTGCAATAGCTACTTAGTATTATGTAACTTTATCTATGATGTATCTTTTATGTCATAGGGAGGTAAAGTTACTTTCCGACAGATATGTATAAATTAAGTTGAACACAGTATGGTGACAGAAAAATATGGCCAATTGATTTTATTTTCAATTTCCAAAGATACTCAAGTTTTTAATTTTAGGCTGTCGTAGATTAAGTTTTGTCGTATCTCGGGCGCAACAAGCGTTTATGCCACAAAGCTTGTTCCATGCCGACGCCCATAACAGCCCTAGATTCATAAATATCTTTCATAACCAGCTATAATTATGAATGAAAGTATTCTGTTACAAAAAATACTGTTAAAAGGGAGTAGTTCTAGCTGGCTATGAAGTTACATAACATCACTGTTAGGCTGTACAGGGTGGATCAACGGAAATCAGATGATTGAAGCCTATTGTGCAAATTTTGAATCGATTGTATGTAGTATTGTTTGGAGGCAGCTCAGAATTGTTAAAATTATTTGTTATTCAAAAAAGGGCCATAAGAGCAATGAGACATATGAAATTTAATAAAACATGTAGAGGCGTATTTAAGTGTATGGGTTTAACGACAGGATAAGCACTTTACATTTTTGATAGTGTTATATTCACAGTGTAAAACAGAAACAAAATAATCACACATATGGTACGAAAGCTCTGAATGTTTTGCTACCGCAGCATAGGCTGATACTGTGGCAGTAACTGAAAAAATCTCTTTTTATATGTACGCAAAGCTGTATAATAAACTTCCTAATCAATTGAAAGCCATGACAGGTACAGGAACCTTTAATAAACATTTTTTTTATACTCCAACTACCACGAAGGCCTAAGGCCTAAGCACCCATTGGGTACGGTGGGGCTATAGCGGGATACATGGGAAAGGGGGAACGCCACACGGACTCTGGCGAGGGTACACGTGTGCATGTAACATGCACACATTCTGGCTCCGCCTACGAGATCCGCCGGGTGGTACCTCCGAGTTCGACAGTCAGAGACCATCTACCACCTACGGACAATCACAACATCCATAGCCAAGAGAAAAATTTCTCCTGGGACTTGACTCGAACCCGCACAGCGCACGGCGACTGATCAGGAGACCGAAGAGTCTACTACTGCGGCCACCGCTGCTGCCTATATACGGCAGCTATATATATTCACATGAAACGGGTTACAGTGTTTTTGCAAGGGTATCACACCTATGTACAATATTATGTATTTGGAATAAATATTACAATTATTAATTAAAATGAATGCAAAAAATCAATTCACTACTTTTGTAAAAAATTTCTTCCATCCCTCAATTTTGGACATCTATAAAAAAACGGGGTTGTTTTTCCTTGTGCAGTTTATTGTAAATACTATTTCAATCCCTGTACAATCAGCCCTAAAATTTCATTACGCTTCAGTTACGTTAAAAAGGTGTATGTTTTACGCACACTCCAAACAGCTTGATGGATTTTCTCATATGAGGTGTTTGTGTTCGCCATCGCACTGCGAGTGTTACTAGGCATATAATTTTTTTTAAAATCAAAATGGCGGGTTCTTAACGCAAACAGCCCAGTTGGCTTAATGAATTTGGACATTTAAGGTGAGGGAGAATTTGTATCATACGTTTGGAATTTGAGTAGAGTCATGTCATATTATCCGCGAGATTATGCAGAATTGCATTACTATCATGGTGCTGTCCTAGGTAATACTCGAGCAGCCGATCTTATATATCGGATGCATTTGGAGAACGAGTGGACTACAACAGATGATTACGCCTTTTCCTACACGTCCGTAATGCGTATATCTCCATATACCCTCCGGACAATATGTCAGGCACTCATCGTCATAAAAGAGTGTCGAGGATAGATCCAGAAGAAATATAATATGTAATAAAAGAAGCCCATAGAGATTTATCTATAAGCACCAAAGCCATAGCTCGAAGCAGAGACATATATCCAATAATTCAGTGCACGCTCGGAGAACATGCATCCCTACCACATAGAAAAGTACAAGAATTGCTTCCAAAACGCGTTGAATTTTTCAGGACATGTTGAGAAAATGACAGCATGATGAAAACCTTTTCGACCTTACCTTATGGACAGATGGAATGCAACTTTAATCGAAATGAGCAATTTCCATTTATCGAGCGTGAAAAATTCACACGCTATTTGCCAACAAGGCTTTCAACGTCATTTCGGGGTTAATTTATAATCTGGAGTATTGAACAAGTAATTAATTGGATCATATGAATTGCCCGACAGGTTGGATGGCCAGTCATATCTTGCTTTTTCACAAATCAATCCGCATGAGCTGCCGTTCGGTGCGTATGTATTTTCAATGCGATCGTGCCTCATGTCACTTTGAGACAGTGATTTTCGTAGGCGTTGGATAGGTAGAGGGGGACCCATGCGATGGCCTCCAAGGTCACCAGATTTCTGTTCTCTAGATTTTTTTATATGGGGATAATCGATGCATCTGAATACACAACTGCGACAGAAAATAAGGCAATAATACAAAAATTTGAAAAAGAAGATTTACGTCAGAGTTTAAAAGACAAGTATTAGAAAGGTGCCGCTTGTGTATAGAAAATAATAGCGGCCATTTCAAACATGTTGCTATAAAATCAAGTTAAACGTATCATCCACATTTGTCCATGCATCGCCCTAAACAGCAGATGAACACCATAGATTCTGTGCTTGTAGGTGGTAAGGAATATATTGCGGTTCTTATGATTATCATCACAAAGTAGAATGTGACATGAGGCACTTATTGCAGCATGATGAAATTTTTAGTGCTTATTCTAAAAGAGTTGCAATAGTTTTTACAATAGAATGCTTAATAAAAGAAAACCTCAATTTTTTTGACCGCCCTCCAAAGTTGGATGGAAGAGATTTTTCACAAAAAAAAGAATTAGAAATTGTTTGCGTTGATTATTAATAAGCTCTGTTACAAAATAATGTAACCATTGGAAAGACCAACCATTTAGCCCATACTAGAAAAAAAAATAAAAACAGTTTAGTTGTATTTGCGCTTCTAGGTTCATTATCAAATTTTTCAAAATTTCACAAAAATGGAAATATTTCCTGAGCTATATAACATTGGATCACATTCATAGGGTTTCAATTAATAGGTATGGAAGCTCTCTATCATCTGTCTTCCGTTGATCCATCCATAACTTTACACCCCATATACACATACCAGTACTTACATTTCAATAATTTTCGGCTCGTATAACCTCAATGCTTTAGGTTTTTCAGCTTCTCTAACAATTTTACGTAACTGTCTATTCTCTTTTTGTTTTTGCAGCCTCAAAATTAGATCCTGTGCCACAGTTTGTACTATAACTGGATAGTTTTGTAAGGGTATCATTTCTAAATACTTCAATACTGGTTCAAATATTTCAACACAGCTGGGCAGCGTTTCCAAATTTTCATTAAATTCAGACAATGCCTTGACAGCATTATGAAATATCCTAATTTTAAACTCATCATCATAACAAGTAGAGAAAAGGTCTGTAGTATCCATTTTCAAGTCTTTACAGAGATCCAGGCTGTGATTTCCTATCAGGACTAAATCTGAAGAGGTTGACTTGAAAGGTGGTAAAACTTTGATCAGCTTTACACCAGATTTTGGTATGGCCATGTGTAGAATACCTGATAGATAGCAGATGGCAGCGGGTGAATATCTTTTTGATAAAGATGTATACTAAAATAAGAAAATACGGTTTTAAATGATATATTGAATGCATATTTCAAAATGCCTGTTATCGCAATCAAAATGATTATGTTTCATATGTTCAGTTTTTTTTAAAATCCCTATAAATTTCCTGTGGAAATCTCAGGAAATTATATAAATTGAGGCTAGACTGAAGTACCACCTTGGCACCGACACAAATGACCACTTAGTAACTATCCATATTTACCTGTAGAACGAGTGTGGTAATAAAAAACCCATATGACAGTTTTCCTCTATCTCTAGGCGGGCATTTCAGCAATATCTGCTCCATAAAAACAAAAGAAGGAGTCACAACTTGATGTCGTAAATCTGATGTGGTGAATAACAAACTGATTAGCCTAAAAAACATCAGTAGTTCAGCACCAGGATGTAACTTTTTCTTTTTTCTATAATCTTCGTATTTCTCTTTGATAACTTCCAAAACAGAGTTATGCGCATTTTCTTTGTGTAGATGCGCTAACTCAAAAATTTGTGGTAGTAGCGACTTGAGTATGTCACAACTACTTTTGATGGTGTCCTTTGTGGCTTCAGAGAAAAGATCGTTGATATATTGTAAAAGATAAGCGAAAAGCAGGCCTAGGTTTTCTTTGTTTCCTTCTGCTAGACTGGCGTGATTGCACTTGATCATCCTCTCAATAATGATACCTATACAGACAAGTGAATTGGTAAATTCTTATTTGAAAATACCTAAATAACTGATGTAAACATGCAATATAAGCAAAACCATTTTCTATTATAAATTTGAAAATGGTTGCTATAAATTTCAAGTTAGATAATAATAATATCGTGTTTACAAAGGCACAGAAGTGTGATTCACTATGGTGAAAGAAAACAATAAAGTTTTGATATTGCAATGTCACAATAGTATTGAAAGCAGTTAAACCAAATAGGCAACTAATTTAAATGCCTACAAACATATGTGTAACTTATACAAATATATATATTATTAACAAAAATTGAACAAAGAAAAGAAACATTATAACTTAGAGCTCTGTAAGCATAATCTAACATGCCTACGGAAACAAGACAAATTTATGGTTTTGAAATCATCAGGAATATTATTATAGCGACTAGCAACATTATAAGAAAATGAGCATTGGAAAAGCAAGGTACATTCTAATATTTAATCTATATCAAAGAGTTTTGTTATGTATTTCACTAGTAAAGATAAGTTTTTCTCTTAGTTACTTGGGTTTACCAGTTGCGAGCAGTTTATGGAGGAACACGAAATAATGAAAATTAGTCAAACACTCGAGCTTCATCCACCCAAGAGTGTTGTGAGTATGGCTAACATGGTCATATTTTCTTAAATGACACGTGCATCTGAGACAGTTGTTTTGAATCACTTGTAAACGTCTTTTAATGAGCAGATCCAAGCAAGGCTGGTAAAGAATATTGCAGTAATTAATAATTGAGATAATTAGGGATTCACCTTGTTTTTTTCGCAATGCAGACGGCAGAACACGTCTCTTTGCATATAAAACACGTAATTTCCAATAAAATTTTTGTAATATGCTAGAAATATGACTTTCAAATCTTAAGTTAATATCTAAAGTGACGCCAAGTATTTTACACTCATTACTAACTTCTACTCGTTCCGATCCAATTTTGGGATGAAACGTTTGGAGGATGCGCTCACGTTTAGTATAGAATAACATGATTTTGGATTTTGAGGAATTTAACATCAATATCTTCTTGTAGTTCGACGGCTGCTTGTTGATCATGTAGATCAAAACGGTAGAGCAACTGAGTATCGTCTGCGAATGACTGTATTGTAGAATTAGCTACTATAGAAGGCAAGTCGGCAATATATATTAGAAATAACAAGGGTCCCAATACAGATCCTTGTGGAACACCAGATATGATATTGGTAGAGTTAGAAAAAAGTATTATTAATGACAACACATTAGGGCCGATTAGCCAAATATTCTGTGAAGATATAGATTTATTATCACAACCTAAATTCTCCCAATTTAGCAAGAAGCAGCTGATGATTTAATTTGTCGAATGCTTTAGAGTAATCGATCGAGATCAAAATTGAGGCAATATTTTATCTTGAGCCCGTAATATATTATCTATTATAGTGTTATATCAAGCAGAGCGGTAGTAGAGTAAGATTTACGGCAGTCCGATTGATTTTTTGGCAATATTCTGCATGATTCAACATACTCGATTATCTGTTGCTGTGCTAATTTCTCCAGAATTTTCGATAATAATGGAAAAAGGTTTATGGGAATCAAATCAGAGAGGCTTACTATTTTTGGGAACAGGTATTACTAAAGCATGTTTCCATGATTGTGAAAAATATCGATTTTCCAGGCATAAATTCAAAATATGTGTAACGTGGGAGATAACTCGAGGGAGACACATGTTTAACATATCCAGACTCATTCCATCAGAAGCTCTTGCACCAGATTTAATCTGCTGGATGGTTCTGTAAATTACATAGGGATCAATGTCTTTAAACGAAAAGTTAATATTATGATTATACCTGTTACTTTTGTAGAAATTAAAGGTAACATCATCTAGCTCACCCTCACCATAAACAGTTATAAAATAATCATTTATCAAGTTGGCATCATTGAGATAATCGGGTATCAGAGGCCTCGAAGAAAAACTGAGATTGATACTCTTTAATGCAGCCCAGGTTTTTATAGACTGCAGATGTGAGACATAAGCTAGCTGCTTTTTCACGCTGCAAGGAAGCTAGAGCGAAATTCATCATCTCCTTATAATAGCAGAACCTTTCTGGAGTTTTTTTTTGGCATTATAATCAGACAGGGCAGCATCTCTTTTTTCAAAAATCTGCTTAAGTGATATGATGACCAGATGACTGGACTACTATCTCTTTTTTGATACCTTTCAAATTATGCGTTTCTTGGAGAAACAAATGGGTCCCTCTAGGAAGTGTTAACAAGCAGCAGTTATATCCGATTATCTTAATTCAATAAGCAAGTATTTTTTATACTTGAAACATTACAAAATCAGAACAAGGGGGTATTGTGGGGCTATAGGTGGACAACTCATGGTTTCTGGTGAACCAGTCTGCATGCAAGACGTTGTAAACATAGTCTTTCATAATCCGTATCATTTCTGCATCAAATTACTCAATTTCAATACCAGAACAAATGGTTATGTTACCTTGGTGATGGCTAGGTTGATTTTCTAATAATTTCAGCAAAGATTCATAGGTATCAGGCAAAGAAAATGTGAATGGTAATTCGTTCCTAGCTTGCTCCATCAGTTCTTTGCGTTTTAGCAGGTCTTGTTTTATTTTGTCTTGTAAATCACGGGGAGGAATATTCTGTTGTCTTTCAGTGGTGGTAGGCGTTTTATTTTCACTCCCATCATTAGATGGTTCTTTTGGATCTGTCAATTCATCATTTATTTCTATAACTTTCTCTGGGTCCTGAGCATCTCCATCTACTAAAATTCAATATTTTTTAAGTGGTAACAACATTGCTTATAAAATAATACAGTGTACTCCGCCTATAACGTACATGGGATATAACGTACTTCCGGTTATTACGTACTTATTTCATTGGACCGCCCAAATACTCTTGTAATTTTACTGGATATAGCGTACTGATTAAAATTTTAACTCCGGCTAAAACGTTCAATATTTTTACCCACTTGGTAGTCATATTCTGGTTATAACGTACAAACGTACGTTATAAACAGAGTAATTCTCCGCCTCTGTCGGGGAATCCCGTTAATCGATACTAGTAGTTTTAGATTGGACGTTGCATTTAACTGTGCGAATTTTAGTATTTATTGTTTTGTTAAAATGACAGATACGCGCAAAGCTATGAGTTTGAAAGAAAAGATAGACATCATTAAAAGTATAGAGAGTGACATCGGCAAATCCTAAATAACGAGAAGGAAAAATATAGCAAAAACAACAGTTTCTACAATTTGGTGCAATCGTGAAAAAATCAAGCAAGCAAGTGAATATAAATCGCAGAGCATTACGAAAATTGGAAATCCCGTACGTCCAGATGTGGATCAAGATCTTATGCGATGGTTTGATGTGCGAAAAACCGAAAATATTCCTATTTGTCGTCCAATTTTTAAAGCAAAAGCGGAAGATTAATCCAAGGGATTACACGGTGGCGATTTTAGGTGCACTACGGGTTGGCTCGAGCGTGTCCGTCACAACATAAATGTCGGTAAGGTGTCTGGAGAAGCAGGAGATGATAACAAGGAAGCTGTGGTGATATTTTAAATGCGGACAAAACCGATCCATTTTACAAGATGACTCCAGACTGTACACTGAAATTTAGAGGAGAAAAGTATGTTGGAGGCAAACAATCAAAGCTGAGATAAACCGTTTTGGTTTGCGCAAATATGACAGGTAGTAAAAATGTAAACTTCTTGTTATTGGTAAATACGAACGACCGAGGTGTATGAAAAATATTAAAAACTTGCCTGTCATTTATAATTCGAACAGACTCGCATGGATGACCTCAGATATTTTTATTAATTATTTAAAGGAGTGGAATGAAAAATAAGACATCCAAAAAGAAAAATATTGCTGCTAGTTGACAAGTGTGCAGCTCATCCTAAGACCTGACAAACATCAAATTAGAATTTTTGCCTCCCAATTGCACCTCGATCGTACAACGAATGGATCAAGGTATAATAAAATGCCTTAAAACATATTTTATGTATTGCCTAATCCGAGCATTGAATAATGAGGAAACTTTCAACATAAAAATTTTAGACAATATAAAATTAATTGCACAATCATGGAATGAAGTTTCAAAAAACACTATTGAAAACTGCTTACAACATGCTGGTCTAGTGAAATCGATCGACGAGTTTGATTGAGATTATGACTTGGCTCTGAATCAATGGTACGAGAAATACAAAAGTGTTGATGATGATGTTGATGATTGGGACGTCCTCCTAAGTGATTGATTGCGAAGTCACTGCCCAGACATAACTACTGTGGAAAAATATCTTCCTGAACTAGATAATTTTACGACCATCGACGATAATTTGGTATAGTCAAAATCACGAAAGATGACTATTACGTCATACCATAAATTGTACTGAAGTAATCAATGGACGTTCATCGATAATAAAATCACGATGTCAGGAACATTAATCAAATCCAAGCGGATAACCAAAATTTCCGTATTATGTACCGCGGTTATAATATGGTTCAAGATGACACACGGGATGATGACGTCAATTACTGGAATCGCTTGAACGCGTTGGTTTTAACCGCGGTTTGTTGCAAGTTGTTTGTTTTAGAAAAGCGCGTATATAATTTCTGATTATTTTTATTATCACTTAATAATCGGTGCTTTTTCGTCTACAAAGGGGTATGGAAAGTTGAAAAAAAGAAAACTTTCATAATATTAATGGGAGGAATGTTTTTTTTTCAGAAATTTTTTTTTATTGATGGAACCATGGCTTTGTAGCTATGATAACTTTCAATTCTCTAAACTTCTCCGCATGTCAAAGAAAATATTTATTGATTTAGCAGAAATGATGAAAAAGCGATGAAAAAAAGATATTAACAAAACCGTATACAGGTGGACATCATCCAGTGAGTTTATACGGCCATATTTTAATATTCTTGTGGTATATAGCTATACAGGATACTTTGTTAAGCGTAGGAACTAGATTTAAAGTATCCACAACAACAGTAATGATTATAAATAATAAGGTGATCTCTTATGCTAAAACTGAAATCAGCCTGTATCAAGTTTCCCAAAAATGAAGCTGAAGTACAATAAAAATATTCAATACCCGGCAAAATTCTAACTTGTCACATGTCAAATAATAACCAGAAATATAAAACTACTCCCGAGTTAGGTGAATACCACAATTTTGCGGTGATAACTATGACATATAACAGCTGATTCATGACGTCATGGATCTTATAACCAAACTGATAACCACACTCGCTTGAACGGATCGGTAAATACCAATCCAAAATGGTAAATACCATTTCCATTTGGTTATCCGCTTTAATTTGATTATTATGTCAACAAATTCATATCATGATTTTGTGAAGCTAGGTTATTTCACTAATTATTTTTATTTTCATTATTATTTCATGGTTTTGAGTGATGCCTTAATAGTTTTAGTGGGGAGTTTTTGTTTTGAAAAAAAAACAGTTATGAGTAGAATACCTTCAGACGGGAACACCAAAGACCAAAGTATTATTCGAAAACAACCCCTGCTTTAACATAACCTAACTATTCATCTTTCAAATGTGATCGATCATGCAGCATGAAAACATCGTCTGTCTTTGTCGGATACATGCAAGTTAGCAATACAGTCTGTTAGACAATAAAATTCTGTTTGTCTCTGTCTAACATATCTGAAACTTCATTGAAAATATTCACAAATCGCTCTCGTTTGTCTTTACTACAGACTAAAATGAAGACGTAATCGTCATCTTTCGTGATTTCGACTATAGCAACGGAGTCCTTAACAGATTGTGACATTATTGCTGAAGTTATAGAGTCAAACTATTCAACGACTGATCTAATTTCCCATAACGAAAGCGAGGATGATGATGGACACGTGAACAAACCAATTCAAAGTTATTCTGAAGCACTTTGTGCAATTAAAATTGTTATGCTCCAGACTCACGCGCGAAAGCTGCGAACTACCCGCGACCTATGTGTAGATCCCACTCGCGTATTCTTCGCGGCTTCACGTCGCGTTCGCGCGTTGTTGCCGATTCTTGTCGGTTTTTTGTCCCGCGACAAAGGGATCTCAATGTGTAAACATATCGCGAATATGACCAAGCTCCTCATTCGCTGGTGGCTCAGTTGCCTCATAGCGAGTGCCAGGAGTGGTTGGGTTTTTTTCCACTTCTTTTAGATTTACTTATATACTTATGCGTAATTATAAATTGCCAAAGCGCAAAGCAGTCCTGCAGAGGTAGCAATTTCACCGTCCATACTCTTCAAGAGCGCGAACTACACTGTGAAGTAGGCGCGAACATCTGCGAATGTGGAACTGTAGGAACAGTTTACAAGATTCGCTCCGCGAGTTCACGTCGTGATCCGCGCGTGAGTCTGGAGAGGGTATTACAAATTTCTTACAATTTATTGATTATGGATCTGATAAAACAATTTTACAAGCCTCGTTAAAAGTTGAGAAGCACATCGAGAATATAAAAGTGCGTTATTTTATCGAAAAATCTTGACTGTATGTGTAATTATATGTAATTGTACATATTTATTGGTTATGTCCTATTTCAATGTTATGTTACATATTCATATTACTATATTTTTTTTATATTACATACCTAGAATGTATTTTTAGTTAGTTTAGCCCTTTAATTGAACCAAAAAAAAAACATTTATTTTTATGGGTTTCCTTTATAGCATACCTCCCGTTATAAAGTACTCATATTTTCTGCCTAAAGGGTACGTTATAACCAGAGTTCATTCTATATGGTACAAATATCATGTTTTTAAATCGCAACTGTAATCATTATACCTTCTTCCTCACTTTCACTGGATTCTTCCTTGAGATCTGCAAAGCTGTCTTCTGATTCAGTTTCCATATCTTCATCTGAGCTACTTTCATTTCCATTTTCATCTTCATCCTCTTTATCATCTTTTTCATTGTCAATCTTGATTTCTTTGCCATTAAGTTGCGCATCAATCTGCATATTTGCCTCTCCCTCCTTATTATAACTGAGCATGCAGTTGTCATCAGTGATCTCTTCATAGAATATACCATCATCTAATAGAAGTCATGTGATTAATATTTATTGTATCCTGTTACAGTAATAAATATGCAATTGTGAAATAATGGAATGAGATAAAAGATATGATTCTGACATTTTTTCAAACTTAATTGAACTATAGAAAATACACACAATTTCAGTAAAGGAATATATAGAAACTGAGAATAATTCATAATTACTTTACCCATACTTTAAACACAAAATGGTTCTATAAAATGAAAAGCATCATTTGAGATACTATTTAGCACAATTAGTTTGAGAGATGATCAAGAAACTAATGTGGCACTTTATTCAGTTCATCTTTCACAGTTTAGTATGAATTTGATATTTTCTTGCTTGTGTAAATTCAATTATTTGAATATACCAATTTTTCAATATAAATTAATTATTCTACAATTGAGTACATATTTGTATCAGACATATACTTGAGGTATCCCAGAATATGTGAATGGTCTCTTTAGCTCAAGTATAATAAGCAAAATATAAGCTCTTAAAAATATTCAATAAAATATACCTATATGCCCCAAAGCACACCTTTAATTATTCTTAGTAGGATTTTAAGTAATCCTACATATTTAATAATAAAGGTTCAATTTTCAATAACAGGATTTTTCCAGAACAGATATATACTAGCTTCAGCTCATTAGTGTTAACTTTTACACCCTATATGGTAACAGAATGAAAAATTTGCAAGGAAAGGGTCACACTACTGAAAAATTATTTTTGTTTAATGTCACTATTTTGTAGTTTAATGATTACAGAATCACACAAAATATATTTTTAAATTCCATATAACCATAGTAGCTGATTCAAAGTTTACACCTACCAAGATCATCTGCACTTCTATGTGTAGGTTTGCTGTTTTCATCTGTGAATATACCCTTCATCCTTTCTAACCTTTCCTTCTCAAGTTGCTCCAGTTTTTCTTTCTCTTCTTTTGCTATTTCATCTTCAGTTTTTAACCTATCAGACACAGTACCCCTTGCTTCAAATCTTAACTCTCTCATAATTTTATCATAATCATCCATTTTTTGCTTAGGCATCTCCTCATCATTACTTTTGTTTGTGTTTACAAGTGGAATTAGATCCTTCCATTCAGTATCTAACTTTTCAGTCAATTCCAATGTCTCTTCTTTAATCTGCTGCTTTTCAGCTTTACGTTTTTTTGACTCTGCTATAAGTTGATTGATCAAGTCTTTATGGCTCGTAGCCCCTTCCCTTCCAGTATTTCTCAATACACCTCCGCCAAAATGAGCTTCTTCTACAAAATCCTTATCAAGTTTGCCACTATTGCCTTCAAAGCTATCCTCATCATCAGATCTAGGGTCATCAAACTTTTCAATTTCACTTAATGTTTGTCCCTTATGTGTCAATACCTCATCATCTGCTAAGTTATATATACTTTTCTTGTTATGTGCTTTAATTCTCACAGCTGTGAATCGAGCCATAACTTTGTCATCTTCACTTAATTTACCATTTCTTTCACCTATGCGTTTATCCATAAACTGGTTGGATTTATTTTGAATCTTGTACTCCTGCAGCAAAGTACGCTTCCGTTTTTCTATAGCTTTACCCCTAGAGACACCAGGCAATCCACGATCATTTTTCCGTTTTTGTCCAACAACACGAATCTTCTCCTTATTTATATGTACTTCGAACGGATTTAAGCTCTTTTTGGTGTTCAATTTCTCTTTTTTCGCATGCACTTTATCAGAAGAGGATCTTTTTTTATTTTTCACTTTTGCCATGATGTTTTTTAAAACAAAATCTACAATCTACAATAAAACCATAAAATAGAATGAAAATGTTTTTGACCTTTACGCACGTGTGCTACTGTCACATCTGTCAACGATGAGGTTAGGTTTCTAGCGTCTAAAGTGGAGTAATTAAATCCTGGTAAATATATATTTGATCTTCATTACACAATCAGTTAAGATCTGGTTCATCATGTGCAGTTATCTATTCGTGAAACCACGCCTTTTTTTCGACATACTATTCACAGAATACAAAAATGTGGAGTGAACTGTCAAAAACGTCAAGGCTATTTGTTCTAGCCCTAACCTAACTTGAAGGTTGGAAGCCAATTCAAGCTTTTCAAACTATTTTGGTTCAAATTTCAGATGTATCGGTGATATACACTAATTATTAAATGACAATGCAACGAAAAATGACTGGGAAAATGGTTTCACCAATTTTTGCCGAATTACTTGCTGTTGTGCTAGTGATTTTAGTGCCACACGTACAGTGTTCAGGTCAAGTCGTCTATGCCGTGAACTGTGGGGGCGAAGCGCACACAGATTCTTATGGTATAAGATACGAAAGGGACCCTTTGAATGGTAAAGTGGGCATCGCTTCAGACTATGGCAAAAGGTTACTCATTGGCAGAGTTCCACCCAATGATTATATTCTATATCAAACAGAAAGGTACCACACTAACACGTTTGGGTACGATATTCCATTCCATTCCGATGGGGAATATGTCTTAGTTTTGAAATTTTGTGAAGTTTACTTTAATTCACCTGACCAAAAAGTGTTTGATGTTGTCTTGAATGGGGAACACACTGTTGTCTCTGACTTGGATATTTTTGAAAAAGTTGGGAGAGGGGTGGCTCATGATGAGTACATTCCATTTAAGATATCGAAAGGTAAGCTTTTCCCCACTTACAAATATCCTGAAAAGTCAAGCATGCATTACTAATCTATTATTTGATGTACAGAATCTAATGTACACAAAAAGTATTATCATCGATTAGAAGAAAATTTTCATTCATGTTAGGAAATTGCTATTTTCTTAAAGTAATAAATAACCATACGTTTCTAGTACAATTTTTAATTCAGATCCCAATTTGTGTTTTTTAAATGAATTTGCTTCAGATGTATTTCCAATAAAAATCTGTAATACAAGGTGCCCAGAAATTGAACGATAATCCTGCAACTGGAAATAGGTCACATCATGGTCCACTGTTTGGCAAGATTTTGTTTAGCCAACAGTCTCATGGTTTTCAAAGTATACAGCAATACATTTTTTTTTGTACCAAAAATCTCTTACCTAGTTTGAGATAGGTTTATTGTAAAACATTCAGTTGATTATTTGATCAAAATCAGTTTAATTTTTATCTTATGTTGTAAAAAACTGAGTCAACATTTTAATGGAAACAAATTTACTCTGTAGTAATAAATAGTGGAATAGGATCACCATGACAAATACTCCAAAAGGATGAACATATAATGCAACTTTCAGAATGGTAATAAGATTTCAGTAGCTATTTTGTTTTTACAGCAGTTTCAATGGAGTAGCTTGTGTCTTGCATATAAAAAAAATTTTATGGTATGAATAAGGACAAAGGGATAGGTTTGATGTAAAGTTTTATTAAATTCTGTAGACTAGGTGATCAAAGTGTCACCTTGACCCTTATGCATGCCCTGCTCTTTATAATAAGCATTTTTTCAGTACCCAATAAAAAAAATCAAATGGATTTAGACCAAGACATCTGATCCACTTTCTTGAATTATGTTGATCTCCGGTTAAGTCTCAATCAATAGGTGTTGCAATTTTTATACTGAGCATTCAATCAGTACCTTTTTATGTGATTATTTATTTTGCAATTGCCTATTTTTGCATTTAAAAAACCTTTGCTTTTGGTGGTTCATTGATGGTGATTTTTAAAATGTTCTGTAATTGGTATTTATCCACTTTCCTCATTTGTCTTTTATAGAGTAACTATGTATCCATATATAATGTTTTACTAAATTCGATGCTCCTTATCAATGTTTTATATAGTAACTGTAACCATAGTAACCATATTCAAAATTTTATTATATTTTGTCTCTATTTTTTGGTACTCACTTTATGGCTTTTGATACCAGAAATATGTCTGATATATTTGCTATATTCTAATTGTATTATTCCTGTGATTGGGTGTACCCTGTTGGAATAAAGATTATTACTATTATCATTACTATTATCATTACTATTATTATTACTTTTATTATTACTATCAGTATTACTGTTACTATTATTGAATCTAAAGTATTTGGCATGGTGATCACAGCCCATTCTTGTTACTACAGGGTGCCAAAGTTAGACATAAATTGGTGCTCTTTGAAATGCTGCATTAGAATAATTCTCATGTGGATTTTGCTATACCCGAAGGTTAAAACAACACTGATTGTGATGAAATATTCAATTGTGAATATTTTGGAACAAAAATTTGATTTTTCACAGAAATGGCAATAGTTTAACTAGACAAGGGTCGTTTTTTTGATTGCTGTTTATCTCATGAGACTGTTGACTAAACAAAATTTAGCCAAACAGTAGGTCAGGATGTGATCTATTTCCAGGTTCCGATTATCCTTCAATTTACGAACATATTAGTTTTATAGGTATGTATAATGTAAGACAGTTTTATCTTCATTATTGGCTTGCCCAGTTGTGCAGATGAAATCTAGGCTATAACAACTATGCTTGAAATAACAAAGCTAAAATAAAATGGTAGCGAAAAAGTAGAAAAAGATGAAAAAGTACTCACCATTTATTTGCAGAGAAATTTCAAGTAGGCATTGTAACCGTCCAGTCGAGTCGGGAAAATAAAAGGTATAATGAGCATACCATTTACCAGCAAAAAAATTCATGGAAAATGTTTGTTGAAAATGTGTTGCGTGAGGATTTTCCAAGAACCACACATGAGTATTTTGGAAGTTATTCATCCTTCATGTTGGTGCAGCTTGTACAACAGGGTACAATCCAGTTTGCAACACTTTAGTCTTGGAGGCTTGCACTTGTCTAGCTACTTTCCCAGTGCTTGTTGAAGTATTTTCTGCTACAAGATTCAATACTCCTTCCTTAGTTTGCACCATTCGGGGTTGTGCATACCTCAATATTCTTGCAAACGACTTGCATCCGAACATCATTGCACAAGGTAAACAAATCTATGTGGCCCTGAATGATAACGTCTGAGAAAGTGATCTGCTTATACTCGCCTCGTTATCATCTTGAAGACACTCACCATAAACTAAAATCTTGTCGATATCGCCATATAGGTTTTATTGATTTTGAATATGTCAGCTATCTGAAGACTTTGATATACATATATGCTAATAGGAAAAACCACTCATTCTTTCAAGATATATACGCTGTGTAAAGAAAGTCCAAACTTTGCGGACAGCTGGTATTTTTATTCAGTAACTGATACTTCAGTATTTCAGAGAAAATTCAAGAACCAATTTTCAGAATCCCACATTTTGTTCTAGGTCACCTGTATTTGAATTCTGAAGATTCAGAGATCCATGGCAATAAAATAAGAGTAGAGTTTATCAAGACCTATAAGGATAACCCAAAGATCAACGCTATGTATGTCATGAAAGGTAGACTGGATGATGTTCCTCAGCTTCCTCCTATTCCTAGTGAACCTGTTACACCTGAACCACTTAGGGAAGAGGCAGAACCACCACCATCAAAGATAAGGAAGCCTAGTGGTCCTAAGCAACCTGATCCTTATAGTGAAGATGAGTCTTCATTGATGTTACCTATTTTTATAGCTATAGGTGCATTTATACCAGTACTGTTCTGTTTATGCAAGCTGTGAAGTGAGCTTAGGTAAAAAATATAAAAAACAATTCACTATAATAATTGTGTGATTAAAAACTCTAATGCATTGGCATTTTCATGAGTGATCCCTTTCTCTTGTTTTTTATTTTTGTTTTGCAATTCTAATCTCAGCATGGGTACATTATAAAAAACGAATAAAACTGTGGGGGCACTGAGACCTACAAATAATATCTTAAAGACAATAAATGGGGTAAGCTTTAGAAAGGATCAAGTAAAAATCATGAATTAAGGTTTTCAACAGGCTTTTCAAGGTCTCTATTCATAGGTTATTTCTGCTGTTTACTGACATTGTGTTTGGACTACCATGTTTTGGTGAAATTGCAGTACACTTATTTTTTTCTTTTAATTTTTGTGATATAGTAGATTCTACTATTGGTTGTTAAAATTATGTATAAGGTTTTATTTTATGTTGATACAGTTTGATAGTTCTAAAAGATATGTTTGAAAATATGGCATTTTATCTTTGGTTAACTGATTAGTTAAGAACTAATCACACATATTCATTTGAAATCTATAAAATGCATTAGTAGTATTATTGTTAATCGTTATTGTGATTGGAGACTAAAAAGTATAAGTTATTATTCTTAAGTGAAAGGATAATGTAGATATTACCCATTAAGGCGTGTTGAGCACAATTAACTTTAGGATTTGTGTGATCAATTGTGGTGGTGAGGTAGCACAAATATTTGTTTTTGTTATCTATATATGTAAAATTCTGAATAAACCATTTTTCATCTAAAATTTCGTAAGTCACAATTTTCTATGGTTTGTTTTCTTGTTAGTTAAACGATAGACTGCTAAGACGCGTTTTACGCCTCGTACCTCAGAGTGAATCGAAATTGTACCAAAAATTCGTAGGCAAAGATTGATTAAAAATATTCTGGCAGTTAGATTCTACCACAAATTATTTGATCAATGATAAAACAAGTACATATATGGTGTGATTAAAATGCGACTTACCTATGACTGATGTATGTTCTCATCATTTTACTGTTAGTACTATTTATATAAGTGGTTTGGGCTTGGACATATTATTTTGTGTGGGGTACAGAGACGTAGGTATATTTTTTTTTATAAAAAATATACAAACAATACTGGCTATACTTGATATATCATTCACAGCTCTGTGCTCTGGTGCGACTGTAGTACCTCCACTGTTATGAAATTTTCTACTCTACAGAAACATTCCAGATTTGATGCAGAGCTTTGAGTTGTCTTATAAAAACCTAGAACCCAGAACTCTTTGATCTCATTGTCAAGGTTCAGGAATAAAAAATTCTGTTGAGCGATTGTTTTATTGATCCCTATCCCTTGTTGTATTTTTTGTCTCAAGCCAAAACGTCGGTAAATTTCAAAATAAATGTTCAGGCTTGAAATGCTTCATAAAAGATTAAATAGATGTTTTTGATATGAACTTGTGAAAATTTAATAAGATTGAGTTATGATAAATATGGGAAATGCAGGAACTTCGTTTAAAAAATTGCATTTATTTATATTTTACACAGCAACATTTCATAAATAATTTCTTATAATAACATTAATGACTTTTAATAATTCACAGATATGTTTTGAGGTAAACTTTTGAGTAGGTATAATATAAAAATACATGAAAACATGTTACACAAAGAATAGATATAAAAGTTGAACATGTATTTTTGATAACAACAACAATGCAACATCAAATAGTTTAGCCTTGTTTTAGCTTTGGAATGTACGAAAAATTCATTTACTGTTTTAAGAGAGCTGAGTAAAATTAGCAGAAATAATTCGAAAATTTATTTCTATTGTTGCTGGGCAACATTGGTATAAGGTGAATATATTTATTCCAATTTCATTTTATACACGTTTTAGTCCTCCAAATTCGTAACTGATGCGACGCTTCATGAATGAATTTGTTATTCAATTTTCATTCTGCTTAATGGTATTGCCAAGGATGACGGGGTCTCCAACAAGTTGAACTAACAAGGAATTTCTGTTGAGGAGGTACAAGATTTGAGCATTAATCAAGCAATTAGTTATTAACCAACTCAATAAAGTTACGAGATGAGATGAAATAAAGAGTTTCATCAGCATTGTTTCCTCGACAACTGAAATTTCTTGTCTGTTCTATATGCGAACAATCATACGTGAGCCCCATGACGCCCTGCATTCAACCTTGCCTCAAATTTTATTTTGGCGCTATAAAGAACAGTACTGTTAAGTGCCTTTTTTATCAACAGTTTAATATGTTTCTCAAGTTCATTTTTATGTGGAACATATATTTTCATTATTTCTAATACTTTTGGTACAAAAACTTCCACTATCACTGAGACTCCTATTCAGTCTTCTCTTATGAAATACGTTCACGATTTTGAATGGGCTCAAGTTAAAGCTGCCACTTTTCGTCGTTTCGTCATCTTTATCTACTAGTTCTGTCATTGTGTTCCTACAACTACTAGCTTCTACAAAAAACAAACTCTTAGATAGTTGTGGCGATGAATTTGAATATGTCCGATCGCTGTGTGATATAATCTTTGGTGTTCTAGATTTGCTTACAAACACGTTGAAATGATAATCATCCAGCGAGTAATCGTGATATGGCAACGTTTCTTCTTCGTTGAATCCATCATCAGAATCCTCACCAAACATCGTGGATACATAAGCAGAGTTAATTTCACTAAGTTTCCTTGGTCTAAACGGTGTTGCAGGTCTAATCATTAACAACCTTTCATGGTTAGTAGTTCCGTTTGATTTTACGGATTCGCTACTCGAACTCGCAGAATGCTCTGATATGTTCCATATAGCCCTGTTATTCGCTTTGCCAGCAGTTGCCGCAGCTACAGTAGTTGAGGCTTTCACTATAGTGGATGTAACCTTGTTAGGTTCCAACAGTTTAACTCTGGTACACCTTCTTGTACTTGTGAGATGACATGTTGAGGTACAACTAGCTCTTTTGTACTTATCGTGGTAACACTGGCCCTTAAAGGTATCGCAGTATTTTTGCTTAGTATCAAATAAACTACAAAAAAAGTTCTTCATGGCGGCTCTAAAGTCTCTAAGGTGATAAGCGTATAATAACGGGTTACCTGCAGAGTTCATGTGGGACAAAATGATACAGCATTGCATGAAAGTTTCGTTAACATGAAATTCTTGTCTAAAAGCTAAAATACAGTTGATGGTGTACAGTGGTATCCAGCAGATCATGAAGAAGAGGACAATGATTGCTAGATTCTGGGTGGCTTTTACTTCGTTCGTTTGTTGAACTCCAAGCATACGTATCATGGTCCCTCCTTGCGGAACACCTTTTGTAGATGAGCCCTTTTCTGGGTGCATCGTGACTATTTGCCGGAGCTGAAAAAAATATAAATGCTAAATGCTTTTTAGGTATTTATTCTCTTTATCAACAAAGAAATGTCATATAAAAGAAATTACGCACTTTGGTGGAACCATTTTCGGACTTTCAGTTTTTCTGTGAACGAGAAATCGCTAAATTTGCCTTCTAAATTCAAAGCTACGACTGATAATATCTATCTGACGTAAATATAGTTTCCCACAAGCTGTTCTTAGAACGTGATATATGTGAATAAAGTGGCATTGTAATACTCACGGCGTGAACTGAGTAGTATTTTTTTCAAGAGGAATGGCAAGCAACCAAGCTCACAACCCCATTGGGCCCAGGTTATTAAAAAATGTGGTAATAGGACCCAACACTAGCCATATAAGGTCAACGTTCTCCTAGGATGGATTCTAGGATTGATATAGGGCAGCCGCAAAGAATGTGCTTGACTGGTCTCATCTTCCGGTTCACATCTTCTACATAAGTACGTTCCACTCAGTCTTATGTTATAGAAATGTTTTCTTAGCTGACAGTAGTGTACCTAATAATCTGTGGCTGACAAGTAGTATTTAACTGCTTCCTCATTAGGAGATCTGAGGGATTCGTCAGTGACAAAGCAGCCCTACGTATCACCACACATATTCTTGAGATTTTGTGGGTGTGTTTTCTTAGCATAGTTATCGTGGCCATGTGAGGTCAACGGTGGTGGCTCCGATAGGTAAAATGCAGAGGAACGGGCCTAGAGCTAATGTTACCCTTGGATTATGACTAACTCTTCATCCATAGGTACAACAGCTATGGTGGAGGTACTCAAAAGTACCAAATGGTAGTTCTTGTTGCAAACGTGAAACACTTAACAGTCAGTATTGCTTGTCTGCAGTCCTTGTATATCCCCCTATAATTATGCCTGTAACATTTAAGTGGGCGACTTCCTTTGCAGTTGAAGTTACCCAGCTAATTCGATCTGCATTACGCTGGCATATGTTTATCCATAGACCACTTGTAAGTCATACAGGGACTTCTAAAGTAGATTCCGCCACCAGTCTCGTCATTTTTGTATGGCCACGTTCTATTATTATGCGGAATGGAACTAAATCCTTTATTGACTCATTTTCTTGCGGGAAATGCCGAGGATTTTAATGAGTTTCATTGGACGAATTTAAAATAATTTTCCGAACACTGGAGCAAAAATAACGTCATCCTTGAAAAATGGACGTAAACAATAAAAGCTATTAAAAATGCACTTTTGTCCAGGTCAAATGTTTCCAAAAAATATGTTGAGGTCTCCCAAACCAGTAATGCGTATGAAATGAAGGGTTGAGCTCGTCATGCTAGGTTGCATGGGCGTCTGTAGGAATTTTTCTCGGAGATCATCGGCAAAAGATAACTTTTTGTGGAAGAGTAGCTGCTTTGAAAACCACTGGAAGTGCAGAAGTGTATCTACCCTCAACAGTTTTTGGAGTCAGGGGAGTAGTAAACAAAAAAATAATAAATATGCCAATTTTAAGATCCAACAGAACTCTCATGGGTGCTACAACCTCCCCCCTGGCACGCCTCTGCAAGCGCTAATGCTAGATTGACAGCATGTTCATTATGGAGGAATTCAGTTTTTTTTATATTTGAACCACCACGAAGGCCTAAGGCCCAAACACCCATAGGTATCATTGGGCTAGGGGGGTATATGGGAAAGGGGGGTGGGGTACGCCTCACGGATCCCGTGTGTATGCAACATATACACATTCTGACTTCACCTTAAAGATCCGCCTATGAATTTGAAATAAGGAATGATACCTACCTGCTTGAGCACCACTTGGTATATGTGCGCATAGAAGGCAGCTAGGAGCAGTGCAGGTGTAATGATGGTACCGAAGTAGAGGAAGACCAGGTAATTGAGGTCCATGACGCTGAGGAAGAGACATCCATCTCGAGCAGGAGGTTTCCGATGCCAGCCCAGCAGAGGCAAGAATCCTACCAGGCCACCAGCGAGCCAACATAAGCTGATTATCACTGAAATCAACAGAAAACAATTAAGATATACATTAGCTGAATTGCATTTGTATAAACTTAATACTGTATTTTTGTTTAGTTTGGTAAAACCATGGCATAGAAGTTAAAAAACCGATAGTCAATTTCATATATCCAGGTGCCGGGTGCGATAGGCAGAGATTTATCAGCCCATCTAGCAGGCTCAAAACGCGGCAGCATTATGAAGGAAAGCTGAGAAGCGATAGAACGCTAGACCATCGATGAGAATGAGTATTGAGAATGCGGGTTAACAGAGTGTGACGGATTAGTTGAAAAGCCCTACCCTCAACAGCATCAAGTATAGTCAAGGCTTCAGGTATGAGAGCAGCATTCTGAGCTTTCTGTGGAGTAAAATTGTCGAAAAGCATGTAATTTTAAACATGTAATCCAGCTTCCTTCCAGCATACGACGAGATACTTCCGCACCATATTGTAAAGGATGTCTCATAAATATTTTCTTATTTTATGCCATAAATAAAAATACTTAGAATATTTTTACAAAGATAAATTTATTACCAAACGAAAGCCTAAACATTAATTTTATTTATGGAAAAGAGTATCGGATAAATGAGCACCGTTCATGTTTTCACACTCTCTTAATCTCGAACTGAAGTTTTCGATCACTCTCCGAAGCATTGCTCGAGGAATGGCGTTTATTTCATCTGTTATTTTTTGCTTCAACTCTCTCAAATCTTGTGGCGGTGGGGTGTATACCTTACTCTTCAGGTATCCCCATAAGAAAAAATCTGCTGGTGTCGAATCGGGACTTCTCGGTGGCCAGTTAATGTCTCTTCTGCGACTGATGACCATCTCTGGGAATAACTGATGAAGAGCATCCATGGATTCATTCGTGACATGAGAAGTCGCTCCATCTTGCTGGAAAAACGTGTTTCTATTGTAGCCACCATGGTTCTGTATAGCTGGAGTTAAAAAAGTCCTAATCATGTGGCAGTAGCGCTCAGATGTTACAGTTTGAGCTTGGCCACGATTGTCTTCAAAAAAATACGGGCCAATGATTCCTTGCCCTGACATAGCAGCCCAGACGATAACTTTAGGCGAGTGTAATGGCGTCTCATGAAGATTTTGCGGGTTCTGCTCGGCCCAATATCGGCAGTTTTGTTTATTAACATGCCCGTTAATGTGAAAATTCGATTCATCAGAAAACCATATGTTGTTGTAACCGTTAAAATGCTCTCTCATTGTTCTACAGAACTCTAATCGATTAGCGGGATCTTGTGGTTTTAATTGTTGTGTAACAACAATCTTGTATGGGTGAAAATGCAAATCCTTGCGAATAATGCGATGAACAGTTGACTTATGCAAAGTTAGAGACGCTCCACGCAGTCTTAATGATTGCCGGGGATCCTCGTTAACATTTATTCAGTTACTTTGGATCCCCCAAATTCCAACGCATTGATACATGGTGTACATCTCAACGTCGCCAGTACTTATTCGTCCATTAGACAAAAAAAACCGCTGTTTTTCAAAATCAGAAGCTTTTTTAGTGTCAAGCGACTATCCTAACTAGGTCTTAATAGTATGCAGGGTCTTTGCACCGATGATATAGGGGTGCTTCGGAGTCATGGATTCTACATTAGTTTTGATGGATCTTGAAATATTTTAAAACTTTTCTGCATACGACAGTGAAGTTTCCGTTTTCGATTACATTACATTTTTTGTGTATAGGCAAATCTATATAAGATTAGATCCGTAGAAGTGACTCGACAGATGGAAAGATCTAGATCGTGCATACCCATCACTATGGAAAAGTTGAAGTGTGCAGATAGATTCAGAAGAGTGCAATAACAAGCAATACACTGAGAATCAAATTTGTCTCAAGGATTGAGTTCAATGTGTGCGAGAGAGAAGCCTAGCAACGCTGGCGCGGCAATCTGCCGCGTTGCCAATATGTTACACCAATAGCTTAAATTAAGATGCATGTTGAAAATATGCGTTAGTTTATTCTCTACGCTCAAATAAAGTTTTTATTTTGAGCGTACACATTTTTGAATTGTGAATTGTGTCGAATCTGTTTAGGATCGGTCCCAATGGCGCTCCATTTTAGGTCGGAATAAAAGGTCAGGAACGCCACAAATTTTGTAACATTGCATCATTGGTTCGCTTAGCAACACCGCATCTCGTACACTCCAAGGGAAGGTTTCCACCTCCATGATCATAGATGGGCGATTTTGGTCGGAACCCATCCAGCCCTCATTGGGGAGTATCGTCCTGCTTCGAAATGGTTTTCACCTGTGTACACGCATACAGTGATAGTTTATTATTGCGTAAAATAACTAAGGATGCGTTGATTTTGTCACCATCGGTAGAAATCAAAGATAATTGTAAAATAAATTGAAACACTAAATCATATCAAAATTGAAATAAATTATTCGAATCAAAAATGAAAACAAAATATTAAATGAAATGTTCGAGCAGACCTTCTTGTTGGGCTTAACACTAACCTAATCTATTGTAGAAACCTGTGCGCATATTTTCTGGTGTAACACATTGGCAACGCACAGATTGCACGACCTTCTGCGTCACCGTCGCTAAGCCACCTGATGATGTCCTTCGCTCTTCAACCGACTTCTATATCTTTCTAACATGTGTTGATGTACATACGCGCGGTTTTCTCGCGTACATATTGAACTCAAGCCATCAGAAAAGTTTTCTTTTTCCTGTATGTCAATCGCTTCATATCAAATTCATCTATAGATTTATATATATTTACCAGATACCTCCCGCTTATATCATTTTTTTTAGGGAATATCATAAGCTTCAAAGATCTACATCTCGAAAACTACTGATTCCTTCATAATAGTGAATTATTCGAAACGCTGAACAAACATTGTATTTTCCAGCTTACGAAGAACATTTAGCTTGTTCCGATTTATTTACGGTTAGATAAATCCGTTTCCTGCTACCGAAAACGTAAAACAACAGCGTTGTACTATTGCCAGATAAAATCCATGTGCTCTGTCGTATCCAGTGGTGTATTCTGGAAAAGCTAGGGAAGCAAATTTTCAAAAGCTTTAGTCACGGTCTTCAATTCACTCCAATGCATCTGCATTGATAATATGTTGCAAACAAAGGACAAAAATTACATCAAAATTGAGTGGCTTTATCGTAAATACAGAAACCTCCGAAGATCACTTTTGGTACTTTAAAGACTGTGAGTTAGTCTCAACAATTGTGCAAGAAACGACATCTTTACTCGTATGTTATTCAATTTGCCATCTACTTGCATTAAGCTACGAAGCTCGAATTGGCCGTTTTGAACACCTTTTAAAAAATATTGAGACTACGCCAGTGTCCCTGCAAAATACTTTGTGCCTGCTTTGGCAAACCGACTACCTATGAGGTCTGCACGAGAACAAATTAGTAAATATTTGTACAATGAACCTTGAAGCAATTTTCACCAGGAGTGGATACTCTGTTTCAAACAAAACAAGAACCGTATGTTTGAATTTACAGACAGACTAAAATTGCCATAACTGAGCTTGAAGAGATATTTTCCGATGTTTGTTACGGCATTTTGTCTCTGAAGCATTGTTGAGGGAGTATAGGAAAATATTAGAATGGTTCATTGACAGTTTCGTCGTCGTTAGTTTTTTATTTTTGTGACAGTGGTGTCAGGCAAGCCCCAGATTATGGATAGTGGATAAAGGGAAGACACAATAGCTGGCAATATAGAATATGATTATGTACGACTGTATTAATTAATATAAGGTTCGAAACTGATTGCATTTTGGCTTATTTTTAAGCTCAACTCGAATAGCACTGAGAAGGAAGGGCTATGGAAATGCAGTAGTCCAATTTAATTTTCAGTAAGGGGCCGTTCAAGTATTACGTGAGCACTATGTGGGGGCGGGGGGGTCTTTGCTTTGCTTATTTTGGATGACATGGGGGGTAGGGGAGTCTAGATGATGATTACGTCATCGGTAGTTATTTACTTTTTTTCGGGAATGGAAACCCTCACATTGTCTTTGCTTGAAAACGAAACGCATTTTCGGGGATTCCTGCAAATAATGCATACGCTTAGTGAATAGCGCGCGGTAATTCCCCTACTCGCTTTAGAACCGAGTAGGGAAATTACCGCGCGGTGTTCACTTGTCTAAATTTCCTCTATCAGTGTATTGTTTCGTTTGGGTACTATAGCGAGTAGACGTATTGTAAGCATAGTAAAACAAGTTAACATTTGTGTTACCATTGATTCCATTAGCCAAAGTTTAATGTTTAAATAAGATGTCGTTTTACATAGACAAATCCAAGTTATGCCAAAAATTGTTTGAAAGTTTTCAAAAATCTCATACAAGTACGAAAGTACAAAATGTACAAAAGTTAGTCAACGAAGTGTGGCGAAATTACAAATTACAAGCAAAATCCGATAAGGAACTAGATATTATTGTATCTAAGAGAATCGAAGAAGTATTGCAATCGTAAGAATAAATCCAATCTACTAAATTTTTTCTAAGGTGAGTGACGAAATCATTTTAGGTACCTATGAGTACTAGAATTATTAGAAATCACCAAAAAGTTTCTCTTTACTGATTACCTGATTACCCTGTATTTTGTGACCGGATCGAATTGCTCGTTTAAACATTTAGATTTAAAGCCATAGGGTTTTGTATTTACCATATATATATTGCCATACTTTGTATTTATGTAGCTTAATAAGAGAATCTTTAGCAGAAGTCATAGAAAGTTTTTATTTTTAGGCAACCTGTAAACCTGCAGAAAAAACACAAATTATACAGTCAGCTTCAAATATTAAAAAAGAGGAAGAAGATAAAATAAAACCCGGTAATGAATCACAACAGCAATGCGAAATTAATGAAAATACAGATAAACAGAGAGCAAAACCTTGTCAGGAAGCTATGAGAAATAAGATTGCTCTACTCGAAAAAAATCTGAATGCTTTGTATTCTGCCAGAGATGCTATGCCAAGCCGTGCTGAAGTTGATAAACAGATCATTAAGTTGCGCGAGGAAAAAAAAACAGCAAAACAGTCTTTAAACAGGAAGGTTCAAACCGCAGTTGCCCAGAAGAAACGCAGGGATGATATGAAAAGAAGGTTAGAAGATATTTGTCATGAAAATCCAGAAATAAAAAAAAGACTATCTCTGAGGGATTCAGTGGGACGTCCTAATCTTGAAAGCAATCAACATTCACTATTGAAAACAATCGCGAATATAGCTTTATTTGGGAGTGCAGCAGATGATAGAAGACGAATAGAATCAAATCGCAGCCTAAAAACTCTTGATGAACTCACACAAGAATTACGTAAAATAGGATTAGTCGCAGTGGGACACATCTTCGTTTGATTCCCAGAAAATGTAATTCTGCAGAGGGACGAATACATGTATCGACAATCCCTGTTAAGCTCTTTCGGGCTCAAACTGATCACCACAAGAGCCAATTAGATAGCAATGTCATTGAAAACTTAGAATCATGGATTCGAGTTTCATGGACTGAAGACTGTTAATTTGAATTTAATATATGTACCAAAAGTTTAAAATAACTTTGTTATGATAGAAAGATATAATATTTTTGTCCCTTACTCTATGTTGAATACCGTATCAGTAAAATATAATCTCTATCCTAAATCTATTTCAGAGCTTTGTTTACTTTTGCTGACAAGGGGGATGGGGGGTAAATAATTGTAATAAATCTGGTTACGCAATACTTGAACGGCCCGTAACCTGCACTCAGACAAACTGATCAGTGTGGCTTTTTACTCGCACAAATCTCGAGGGTTTTAAAATAATGGAGCAGGGACATTGCAGTCTTGTTCCGAATTCACCGTAACAAAGCCGTTTCAGAACGATTCAAAAACTAGTTGGAGCGATACAGAATCGTTCTGCTACGACAACAAACAGTGTTGGACCCCTTTTTTAAAAATGCGCAAGCGCATGATCGTTCCAGAACAGTTCTTCGACGGGTTGAAACAAAACTGGACAAACCTGTTGTGGAGCAAAATGTCTTTCTTGTGTAGTAGCGAAGTAGCAAGCAACATGTATGCATCGAGTAGCTATCTCGTGGAATACTCTTTCAACCTTACATTTCAAAATTCTTGTCAATTCTACAAACGTCAACCATCATATTTCTTAGTTTCATTACAAAATCTATGTTCATCAACCAAAATTTTCTGTGAGTCACAATGCGTGAAATTGTACACATACAACTTGGAGCAGCTGGAAATAACATTGGTAACAAGGTACTGATGATGAAAGATCCTTTGAAGCTTTCCGTCTCTGCGATTTGGAGTGATTCGTGCTTTTTTATTCGTTAACTTCTACTGGAAGATATACATCTTTTCTTTTGGTTTACTTCAAACATAGTCAACGAGAAGTCTTGAGGAAAAACAATAAACCATACATAAAAATTTGCTATTTTATAGTTTTGGGAAGTGATATCCGACGAACATGGAGTAGATCCTTCAGGAAGATGGCACGGAGATTCAGATCTGCAACTGGAACGAATCAACGTATACTACAATGAGGCCAGTGGCGGAAGATTTGTACCAAGAGCAGTATGCGTGGATTTAGAAGCCAGCACTATGGATAACGTTAGATCAGGGCCTTTTGGAAAACTTTATAGGTACTTGAATAAGGCACGACGGCACGACCCCAAATAACGTGAAGACAGACTTGTGCCTGTTTTTTCAAACCAAAAATCTTTTTATGAATTCGTATCTTTGAATTAAAAATAGAGTTCCTTGTTTGAAGACCTTATACAAACTATCCAAGGCTCTTTCTTATTCGGTTCATGTTTCTCTCTCTGCTACTTCAATGCGTAACATTTTTTGTAGACCTGACAACTTTGTATTCGGGGAAAGCGGGGCAGGCAACAACTTTGCCAAAGGAAAGTATACGGAAGGAGCTGAACTAGCCGATACAGTTCTGGATGTTGTCAGGAGGGAGGCTGAAGGATGTGATCTTTTACAGGTATGCAGAGATAGTTTCTGTTACGTAGACTACGCAGCCGAGCAAGTTCGCAAGCACACAAGACCGCGGCTCGTACTGTGAATAAAATTGAATCGTGCAATTCGAGGCCCAATCAAAATCTCAATTTTTCCACATATACAAATTCCTAAATTAATTTTAGATCAATTTAAAATTACTGAATACTAGTTAACCATGTCAAGGCACACCTCCTACAGACGCACTTCCTCCTCTTTGGTCTTCCCCCTTCCTTTCTTTCTTCCCTTCTTTCGCCCTGCATTTGTCTGGTATCTGGGCAACCAGACCTACAATACTTTAAACAAGAACAAAGGTCGCAAGGATCGCTCTGACGGACAATGACGAATAGAAGAACCAACGCGGTGGCAACCCGATTTTGACTTCGGTTACATTGCTTTTGCGTTCTTACCGAAAGCAATTGCTAAGCAACTGACAGCCTTGTTTTGAGAGTGCTTAAAATCCTTGAGTGAAGGAAAATTGTAAGTTACGTGTTTCACAAACAAAATCTAACCAGACGACCAATAAACATACGTATTTTTATTTATTCAAAAACTCTTCAATACATAAAAAATACAATGAACGAAAACGCCAAACATATTTATTGATCCTGATTGTCACTCGTACATTACTGACTAGCTTGTCGTCACAGTTCCTGTATTAACTGAAGCTTACCTGGAACATTTCCAACTCTGTTGCTTCGACTGATACACTTTAAAGGACACAAAAACGTGATGGAAGTATATTCTTATCGGACAATCAATCATTTTTCGAAGATACGATCGGAACGTTACTTGAAGTATCACAATATCTTTAGGCAATTTTGGTGGGCAGGGGCAGCCTCAAACCTCCTAGCGATGGCAGTGCCAGTAAGCATTGAGCAACACGTCGCATTGCCGTCGCTTTGGTGAGAATGCTCGTTTTTGAATATACGTGCCGAGTCAACTGGCCGTCGGTTTACGGTCGCCAGTAAAATGACAAACATATCTTCCGCTGTAACAATATTGATTGTTAAAGTATTCTCCTATAAGAGCTAGTTTACAACAGAATATTTACAATCTCGCTCGAAATAAATGTTAACAACCAAGACCAAGAGATAGCCTACCTTATGCTATATTTGTTTGCCCAAAAATTATCATCTATGAAAATTTGTCACTGCTACTTCTCTATTTACTGTATTTACTTTGCAAAGATTGGGGTACCATAGAGGGCGTTGTAGTCACCTATATGCATATACAGTGTGTCCCAAAAGTCATGGAGCAAACGGAAGGGAAAATGATACAGGGTGTCATTTGCAATGAGAAAAACCATATATGCGCTTATCCGATTGTGCACGGTTCTTGAGTTATCGCCATTCTTAAGAATTCCTAGAATTCATCCTGATTTGAAGATGTATTGTCATATAGGTATACCTGCATTTTGTCTAATTTGCACTGAAACTATTTAGGATATTTAATTATCTAACAAGTATTTTGAAAGGCCACAGTATCGATAAGTTTTTCATAACTATGGACACTTTATCCGCCTACTATTTTTTTGTACATGACAGAATCTTTTTGACAACAGACAAAATTGCAGATTAGTCGATGCTGTATCTACATTAACAGGAATAAATTTTCACTCATTGCTTTTTCCCAGCGACACATCATTTGGGAACATATCCTGTAAATCTGATTGAAAAATAAAAAAAGATAACTTCAGAAAAAATAGTACAGTCTGAAAACTAGCGATTTCTCACTATTCGCACTACTTATAAATGGCGGTAACTCAAAAACCGTGCACAACAAGATTGCATAATATTTTTTCTGATTGCAAATGACCCCTTCTATCACCCCATCCCGTTTGTTCCATGACTTTTGGGATACCTTGTATATGTTCATATAGACAACATTGATTATCTTCAGATATAATACGGTAATCAATGCTCCAACCAAGCAATACTACTCCATTGAACAACGCAGCTTAGGGTATTACATAAGCTCAGAATGGCCAATAACTGTTCGACGGAAATTCAATTATCGGCTTATTTATGACGTTCCACAGGTTTTCCACATTATTGGCGCAACACAAATCTTCTTTATAAGCTACACTACTAAACCATGGCTTACAATTCTAGCCTTCTGAAAAATTATGCAGTCCGAGATCGTCTATTACATTTGCAAATCCTGAAACTGATAAATTAAAGTTTGTACACTTCTATACGGAGCCAGTTGTGCTCAGATTTTGCCCTAAATTCTCTCTGATGAGTTGTTCTTTGTTGTATGATATCAATAATTAAAGATGCAACAATTTTAAAGGTCTAAGTAAAAAATTCGTGTAATATGCTTAGATTTCAATTCTGATGTATGGTGACTGAATAGGAGGTTTCCTTAAATGTTTGCATAGTAAGCAGCTAACCCAACGAATTCGCACAGATTAGAAGTACCGAAGCCTGTATGTTTGTATTATTTGTCGCCAAAATTGCGTAGTTTTACTGCATAATTTTGACTCACTTGTTAACAAGGCCCACTAAGCAGGCAGCGTTGTTTCAACATAATAATACTCTTGTTTGTTTGTTAAAGATGTATTTAGCATAAATGCTACAATGTCAATTTTGTATAATTATCCGTTTACACATTTTTTAACTCATTTTCTGTAATTTTTCTTGTCTATTAAAATTACAACACTATACATTTTGAGTGTTCGTAAATTATTTTTTTAATTTCACCTTAAACATGTTCAAATTCGAACACTGTTAATACCATTATTTAATTTATTAAATTCAAATACTATTACAATTTTGCAGATGAAAATCTATACTGTCTCTAGTCTAAATTCGTTGTCCTAACCAGATTCGTGTGCCTGAGATAACACTTAACTAGAATAGAATACTCGCTTTTCATATTATTTGTGAACATGTGGATATAAAAGCCAACAGCTGGTCGGGAAGCTCAAATTAGAAACTGATTGCATTCACTAAAGCTTCATTGCTAACATGCACCGTACTGAAGTGACACACGACTCAAATGTTAAGATGAAGCTAGAGACTAATATTCCTCGCTTATAAACTTTAATGGTCAGTTACTGTGATAGGTTTAACTGAAGTTAAAAATTGATCAAGAGATTTCAATATAAAAGATCATTTTCTGGCCTAGTTGCCTTTGGACAAGCAGCTACGCCGAACTATGGACAGAGTGAAAACAGTGGGATCAGTGTGTGCTCAGTGGTTGAGATATTTCTCAATTTTGCGTTGAATTTTGTCAGAGTATTCTGGTCTTTTATCCCTGTATTTAATTTATTATATTCAATCAACCCTTGGTGGAATACAGATTTTTAGCATATAGTATATTATACTTTTTGGGTATTAAATGGAAGTCTTTATTTCTGGTATTATGTAAATGATGTTCGGCATTTGATGATTTACTTAGACATGGTGGAAATATATTATTTTTACAAATGAATATCATTATAAGATATTTGATAAAAATTTTCACATTGAGCCATTTTGTCTAATTGGAGTATATTTATTTTTACTTAGTATTAGTATTATTCTCATGCACTTGTTTTGTAAGAGTTGCACATTCTCAAAAATAGAATTATTAGCTAAATATAGAAAAGTCGAACAGTACACTTTACTACTAAAATCTTGTTTATATATTTAATTGAGAGTTAACATAAAATTTTCTATGAATTCAATATCTTCACCATCAATATTTAGTTGAACGTTTGTAACTTGTTTTTCCCAATTGACATAGATTTCGTTTTACTTGAGTTTTTTAGATGCTTATCATTTTGAAACAAGTTTGAAGTCTTCATTTATATAAGAGGTATCAGTCTGAATACTTTAAGTTCTTATATACATCAAATTGCATCGGAGAAAATTGGAATTTTGCATTTTTGACTATGGCAGGGAAACCCTTTATGTATAAAATAAAAGGAAGTAGCACCAGGATACTGCCCTGTGGAATACCTAATGCATATTCAATTTTTGATGGAATAATGTTAGTAACCTGCATCCTTTTAGACAAATTTTCAAAACAGTCTAAAAGACCCCTTGATCTACCATATGCCCGCAATTCACCTAACAAAATATTCCTATCCATTAATTCAATATATATATATACAGGGTGGCGCATCGAAAACGAAACAGACGCATTTACTGGCAGCTCAGTTTTTTTTTTTGGAAAACGCTCGTACCCGTTGTTTTCGAAGGGGACACAAGTTTGGCAAAAAATCACGTTAGCACGTGCATCCCCTAAGCGGGGGTGACACCACCCCCAAAATCTTAAATGGAAAGGCTGGTCGAGTGATACCTCATTTTAAAGGTCTTTCAATTCCCTTTATAATGATATAAAATTAATGTACTTCAGTTCAGTAGTTTTGATGATTTATCGATTTAAAGCTTAAATAAAACTAATACATCATCATTAGTGGAGATCAATATATTTGGCGGCAAAGTAATTTAAATTAGTTATCGTAGTTGTCGCACATTTTGCAATATTTGAGGAGCAATTTGAAGGCACTCATTCACAATTCCTTGTCGCAAGTCTTCTAATGATGTTGGCTGAGTAGCACAGATTTTGCTTTTTAAATGACCCCACATAAAAAAATCTAAAGGTGATAAATCTGGCGATCCTGGGGGCCATTCAATGGCACCTCTTCTACCAATCCATCGATCTGGAAACGTCTGATCTAAATATTGTCGAACACGTAATGCGTAATGTGGTGGGGCACCATCCTGTTGGAACATCAACCTATTCGCAATGTACCGCCGATCATTCTGATTTTCAATTATGGCTGTTAATGCAGGATCTATGGCGTCTTCCAGTAATTCCAAATACATTTCACCGGTCAAATTTCCATGTAAGAAAAAAGGACCAACTAAATGATCGCCAAAAATACCAGCCCAAACATTTAATTTTTGTGGCTGATGTGTATGAACCTCATGATAAATTCTGGGATTAGAATCGGACCAATATCGGCAGTTACGACGATTTACTAGGCTATTTAAGAAAAAGGAACATTCGTCGGAAAAGCAAGTGTTGAATAGAAAATGTTCATCGTTTATAATTCGTTTACTCATATCTTCATAAAATTGTAATCCCCGATCAAAATCGTCTTCATTACGTTCTTGTACCAGGTGAATTTTATACGGACGAAAACTATAGGCGCTTAGAATCCGTTGGACAGTACGTCGACTAACACCACACACAGTCTCCAATTTGCGGGTACTTAACGTAGGATCTACATAAACTTGTCCCAAAATCCCCACTTCTATTGCTTTGTTCCTTATGGGATTTTCAATTTTGCGTTTTTTATTGGCGACTCATCCAGTTTCCCGAAATTTAGCTACAAGTTCTAGAACATATTTTCGATGCACGTTACTGTTCTCATGTCGCTCATTAAATATTTCTGCTGTTCTATTAGCGCACTGATTATTTCCGAAAAATATTTCGATAATTTCAACTCTTTCTGCTGTGGAATATACCATGGTTAATTTATGTGATAAAGCGTTACAAGTTATTTTAGCAACAAAGTTTGGTCAAATCAATCGCAAACTATGTACTAAATTCCTATTTAAAATAAGTACGAGATATTTCCTTATCTTTCTTCAAGAAATAACTTTTTTGCCACAAAAAACGCTCCAATAGCTATTTTCAACAACAAAATGATAAACAAACCATGGGCGTAGTGAAGAAAAGCATTTACTTATTAAGTTAATTCTTTTAGTCAAATTTCTTCTGAAAGTAGTCCAAACTAATCTGATGTACCTACCTATTAAAGTCTACTTTAAGCTTCAAATCAATAAATCTTCAAAACTACTGAACTGAAGCTCATGTATTTTACATCATTATGAAGGAAATTGAAAGACCTTTAAAATATCACTCGACCCCCTTTCCATTTAAGATTTTAGGGTTGGTGTCATCCCCGCCCAGGGGGCTGCACGTGTTAACGTGATTTTTTGCCAAACTTGTGTCCCCCTCGAAAACAAAATCGACGGGTCTGAGCGTTTTTCAAAAAACTAAAACTGAGCTGCCAGTAAATGCGTCTGCTTCGTTTTCGATGCGCCACTCTGTATATATATATATATATATATAGAGTAAATTATCATGCGGAGAAAGGTATATAACAAAAATAGGAAAATAATGGGCAAAATCCGCAAAAAGTGGATTTGAGCAGAATAGGATAGGTAACCCGAGCGATACGTATTTCTGCTGGTTGGCTTCATCAGGCCCGAAATGAATGCACATATGCAACTACAAAAGTAGAGACACATGCCCATACATCCGGATACGGGTGTAACCTGAGGAAACAAAGATGGAGAGGAAAAAAAAAGTCCACAACAAGAGCCAACCTACACATTGTAGTATCAAATGGCTAGAAGACCTAGAATTTTCAAGGCGACAAATAACCACAACTACGCGGCCGGTTATAGCCACTTGCTGTGGTACTTCAAGCCCAAAGGATCTACAAAGAGTAAATTATCATGCGGAGAAAGGTATATAACCAGCAGAAATACGTATCGCTCGGGTTACCTATCCTATTCTGCTCAAATGCACTTTTTGCGGATTTTGCTCATTATTTTCCTATTTTTGTTATATATGTATATATATATGTAGACTTTTCGAAGTTTCCTAGATGATTCCGCTTTTATATTTAAAGGGACTCCAATAATAAATTTCCTGCCTGTGTTTCACTCCAGCACGGTGCATGTTAAAAATGCAGCTTAACATTCAGCAGCTGAATATCAGCGCAGTCTAGAGTATGACACCAATCATAACCTGATGGAACATACAGCACTAAGATCTAGCTTTGCTAGTGAATGCAGCCAATGAATTTCAATACAGTACTTTGTTTGTTTGTTTGTTTGTTTAAGATTTATTTAGCATGACTGCTACAATTACATTCTTCTAAAAAACTAAACAATTACATAACATACAGACATTCAGAAAAAAAACAAAATTTGCATCTCCAAGAATTTTCATTGTCCATGAAATATTCGTTTAATTTTCTTTTAAATATCTTTAAATTGCAAGTAGACTTTATATCATTATTTAGTTTATTAAATTCAAGTAATCCTTTCTCAAATATTGATTTGCTAGTTATATTACTATTGCAATTTTGTAAATGAAAATCTGTATTTCCTCTTGTCTAATAATTGTGGTAATGATTATTCAATTCTATGTAGTGTTCTGGCAAAAGATGATTTTTTATTTTAAATATAAAAATAAGAACCAAATATGATATGAATTTTTTTATATTCAACCACTGCAATTCTTGTAACATAGATTTTATTTTGGTGTACTTATTTTCATTCTATACTATCATAGCTTTATTTTGCAAGACGTGTAATTTTGAGAATACAGCTTCATTGGCAGTGAACAAGATAGTTGAACAATAATAGTAGTAGTAAATGCGGTAGAATAATTGTATTATAAACTATTTTCTTGGAATATGTACCAAGACTATGAGAAGCCCTATAAAAGTAATTTGTTTTTTGTATGTATTCATAGTGATCCTCAAACTTTAGTTTACTATCAATATATATACCTAAATATTTAATTGATTCAACATTTTCAATTATTTCTCCATTTATCCTAACTGTGATAGTATTTTGATTAGGTATTTCCCTATTAGCATACATTTTGATTTAGCAGTGTTCAATTTTAGTTTATTTACATTTAACCAATTTACGATTTCTGCCAAGACAGAATTTAGCATTTTAAAAGCAGTGTATTTTCATCTGATATGTATATTAATGTATCATCTGCAAATATCTGAAGTTTACAATAATCTAAAATATTTCAAATGTCATTAATGTATAAAACAAATAGTACTGGACCTAGTTTACTACCTTGTGGTATACCAACAGAAATATTTTTTATCTTGATAATGTAGATCCAATTTTGGTTTTTTGACTTCTGTCAATTAAATAGGTTTGTAGAATTTTGAATACAAATCCTTTAAATCCGTAGTGATGCAATTTTGTAAGTAATTTATCCCTGTCAGTACTGATACAGAAACTTAGAAAACTCGAAATTAGACAAACAGCTTCAATCCTGGATTATTTTTCAGGGATTCCAAATCGTGCATTCTATCGGTGGTGGCACCGGCTCTGGCATGGGTTGCTTACTTCTAGAGAAAATCAGGGAAGAATATCCAGATCGAATCATTAGCACTTTCACAGTTATACCAAGTCCAAAAGTATCCGATGCCGTTGTAGAGCCATATAATGCTGTCATGGCCCTTTCCCATTTGATCGAAGCATCTGATGAAACGTATATAATTGATAACGAAGCTTTGCATGACATATGTTACAGGTACGTTATTTGCTGCTACTTTGCAGCTGTTAAAATGAACTTTCTTAACTCATTCTGAAAATTGTGAGACCCCTAACACACCGATGATAACAGTACCTAGTAACAGGCATTTTTAGTAGTATTTAATCAATCGTTTTAATTTAGTTAACTATATAAAATGTCCCGCGATTTTCAATCGCATAACATGTACCCAGGATGTTTCCTTATTGAAGATCAATATTCAAGGGGGCGATTTTTGAGTCAATTTCAAGAAGAACAGTTTATGTCTTAAACGTCTTAACTTTTGAGATACTGGGTGGTAAAGTTTTCAAAGATAAACTAATTATTCAATTATCTGTAATACCTTAGATATTTTAATAAAATTTGGCGTACTATGTATCAAAAGTTTTTAATTTTCACCAGCGACGTGCGTATGAAATTTCACCTGCTTATTTTGGCAGACATTGATGGCATGTTACCCATTTCTCCGGAATTCTTTTAAAATAAAAATTATTTTTGAAATTCCCAGTTATTTCTAAGCAAATACTACTTGATTTTTTCAATCCAATGCACAGCTTTTGCTTAAAAAAATCAAAACCGATCCCCTGCATGATTAGAACAATATCGTTAATATAACAATATCATCATACAGAGAAATTGCTTTTAATTTTTTTTAGGTGAATGCCCTACGCAGTATCAAAGAAGTTCATAAAGAGCTCATAAATGAATATAGATTTCACTTTTTTTATCTTAAGAAAAGTCATTGGCTTGCCACTGACCCTGTATCTCAAAAGTTAAAACGCTTAGGACATACGTTCATATTAATATGAAGCTTTTTTTTAAATTGATCCAAAAATCGTCTTGAATACTGACATTGAATTCGAAAACCCTGTATGTCGAACTGAAAAAAATGAATGATCTTTGACACATGTTTCCCTATCTATTGGTAATCCGCTATATCAACTTTTAAAACTACAGTGATCTTGAATTTTACATTTTACTTCGCATTTCAACAAAACATTATATTTGTAGTGCACACCCACCATATTTTGCAATTGTCTATTGAACATCATATGTAAATGCACAATTTTTGGGAACTTTTTCAGGTCCACTACTATAGAAAACTATATAGAATGTATGTAAACCATTAAGCATTTGTGGTTCGATTTCCAATTTGAATAGTTTTTTGCCTCACGATTTAGGTGGCACCTGACATACGCACCACCTTATTTTGCAATAATATCACGAAAATGATGTTATTGAAACATAAACGCCAGTAATTTTCTATAGTTCTTACACAAATACTAAATTTACCTATTTGATGTAATGAAATATGAATGTTATATGGAGAAAAACAAGACATTTATTTTAGGTATTACTTTATTTACACATTTATGCTGTTGTTTGGTATTTGAATAAGGCAAACTATGCTATATATTTTGAGATAACACGAAAACTAAAAACTATTTTTCGAAAACTAGTTTGTTTATGTTCAAAGTATTCTCCTCCAGCATCAATGCACTTCTGTCTAGCCTGACCTCCCACAAATGAAACAACAAACTGATTAATTGCTTGATCGATTTCCTCTTCGGACGAAAATTTTCGACCACGCAGATTTTTTTTCAAATTGTTGAAGAGCCAGAATTCACACATTGCCAAATCTGGCGAATAAGGCGGATGTTCCAGCATTTTGATGTGGCGCTGGCGTAAAAAGTCTACAGTTAGTTGGGCAGTGTGGCTAGAGCCATTGTCGTGATGCAGGATTGCACGCAACAACTTTTTTTAAATGAAGATGATCATGTAACATGGTATGCTCTGTTGCGGAGCCTTCCCCAAAAGTTGCCTTTATAGTTGCAACTTTAGCATTTTTTTCTGGAACATGGCCTACCACGACGTTCTTCATCAGCCAATAAAGCAAGCCCTATTTTGAACGGAACTTCATTACCAAATGCCTGTTGTAACCGTTCGATCCATCAATGTTCAGTTAAACCGACTTTAAGGTCATAGTAAATCATAGCGCGATAACTCTCTCGAGACAACTACATGTTTCGTCTTAAATTTGTTTACATCACAAGAAGTGTAAGATGCTTGCAAATGAACTGAATGCGGTGACTTACTATAGCCGAAATCACGAAAGATGACCATTACGTCATCATTTTAGTCTGTAGTAAAGACAAACGGCAGGGATTTGTGAATAATTTTAATGAAGTTTCAGATGTGTTAGACAGAGACAAACAGAATTTTATTGTCTAAACAAACTGAATTGCTGATTTGCATGTATCAGACAAAGATAGACAATGTTTTCTTGTTGCATGATCGATCATATTTGAAAGATGAATAGTTAAGTTATGTTAACGACGATGTCTTTGGTGTTCCTGTCTCAAGGTAATCTGCTCTTAACTGTTTTTTTTTCAGAACAAAAAGTCTTCACTAAAATTATTATGAAGGTATCACTCAAAACCATGCAATAAAATGAAAATAAAAATAATTAGTGAAATAACCTAACTTCGCAAAATCATAATATAAATCTGTTGTCTTGTCATTATGCTCCTGACATCGTGATTTTATCATCGACGTACGTCCATTGATTACTTCAGTACAATTTATGGTATGACGTAATAGTCATCTTTCGTGATTTTGACTATAATAAAGGACATAAAGGACTGCTCTTTCTAATAGTGCACTGTTGCCGGTTTTAACTAGTATAGTTAATGCGCATCTCAAAATATGCAGCATGCCTCTCGTATTATGTAAAAATTAATATACCAGTAAAACGTTTTTGTTAAAAAAAAGTTCTTTGAGATTCCATCTTCAAATGTAATGGTTATGACTTTTCTTATAATTTCATTAATTTTAGAACACTGAAATTATCAGCTCCTTCATATGGCGATCTAAACCACTTGATTTGTGCAGTAATGGCAGGCGTTACAACTTGTATAAGGTTTCCTGGTCAGCTCAATGCTGATCTGAGGAAAATCCAGGTTAACATGGTGCCTTTCCCTAGGTTACATTTTTTTATACCAGGCTTCGCACCACTAACATCCAGGTAGGTTTTTCTGGTCTTGCGAAACAATTGCAGCTTTGTTTATTAAATATTTCTTAATCTGGCCACTAAATCCAATGGCTAGATTGGGATGAGTTTATACTCGTATTTAGTAAAGTTCATTTGACAATTTACATAGTACATGCTTTTCAGGAGAAGATTGGTCTACATATCGTAAGTATGGGATTTTGGAGATTGATCACAAATAAATCAGTTTTAAATCTATTTTTTTGGACTTAATATAGTATTTGATGTTTTAAAATATTGAAATGTCAAATAATCTTCACAGTTTATTAATAATTAGAAAATACCCTTAAGCTGTTCTTATATTGCCTTAGCAAGAAATGGGGCTAGTGATATAGGAGTATAACTTGAGTTTTTTTTATACTCCAACTACCACGAAGGCCTAAGGAATAAACACCCATCGGGTACCGTCGGGCTATAGGGGGATACACGGACTCTGGCGAGGGAACACGTGTGCATGCAATATGCACACATTCTGGCTCCGCCTACGAGATCCGCCGGGTGGTACCTCCGCGTTCGACAGTCAGAGACCATCTACCACCTACGGACAATCACAACATCCATAGCCAAGAGTAACATTTCCTCCTGGGACGGGATTCGAACCCGCACAGCGCACGGCGACTGATCAGGAGACCGAAGAGTCTACTACTGCGGCCACCGCTGCTGTCTATATTGACTGGTCCTTTTTACGTAAAATTACAGATGTTAATGAACTATGCGATACATTTTATGCTAACATTTTTTCAATATTTGATATTTATGTTCCTAAATATACCAATACCTGCAAATTCAGGTATCCTCCTTGGTATACTGGAGAAATTATGAGTAACATAAATTTGAAGGATTACTACTACAGAAAATATAAGAGAACAAGCAACGTTTACTATTACAATGAATTTTCTAGATTGCGCAGAATCATAAAGGGGCAAATTAGAGTTGCTTACAGTGAGTACTTGTCGTCGGTCGAGGACAGGATAATCAACGACCCGAAGAAATTCTGGTCATACATTCGGAATAAGAGAGACTCTAGCAGATTACCAGGCCAAGTCCAGTTCAATGGCAACGTATTTAATACTCCACAAGGTGTTATTGATGCCGACTATTTTAAGAGTATATATGTTACTCCTCGAAATATTCCCTCTTTAGATAGCGTCACCTCAACACCATGTATTTATCTAGAGGAATTTACGGAACCTGATGTACTGAAGTCTCTTTCTAAGCTTCAAAATAAACTTACGTCTGGTAGAGATCAAATATCTAGTTTTATTATTAAAGATTGTGCTCATGTTTTCGTCAAGCCGATGCTGATAATTTTCAAAGCTATATTAAAAAGTGGAATTTTTCCTGATGTTTGGAAGATAGCAAAGGTGTGTCCGGTCCTGAAAGATGGTGATAAATCTGATGTACTCCACTATAGAGCTATAAGCATTTTGAACAACTTGCAATGACTATTGAAATGGCCATTTAATCTTTTATCTTCGAGAACGTTAAACGCCTAACTACACCATCACAACATAGATTCAGAAAAGGTAGATCCACTACGTCAAATTTAATGACAATTACACAGTATATAGCAGACTCGTTAGACAATAAACAACAAGTCGATGTTATTTACATGGATTTCAGCAAGGCTTTCGACAAATTAAACCATCATCTTTTTGTAGATAGCCTTCATTATTTCCACCTTAGTGACTCGTTAGTCTTTCTTCTAAGCTCATATCTTTCTAATAGGACGCAATATGCTTATTATAATGGTTATTCTTCACTACTTATACTGTTCCCTCTGGAGGACCGCAAGGTTCAAACCTAGGTCCCTTGCTACTTTTATCCTTCATAAATAACCTAGCCGCTTCACTAAAGTGTGAATCTCTACTACTTGCTGATGATCTGAAAATCTACACCAAAATTACAATTACAATTACAAATTTGGAGAGCTGTATTTCCCTTCAGGACGATCTGCGTACCATCACACAGTGGTGCGACAATAATTCTTAAATATTTCCAAATGCAAGGTATGTTCATATTGTCGTAAAATGTTTGATTATTCCATAAATAATGCGGTTTTGGAGAGAACAACAGATACTAAAGATCTTAACATTTTCCTGTAAATTGGACTTTTATGTCCATGTAGCACGCGTCACTTCCGAAGCGACACGGAATCTGGGTTTCATAATGCGTAACTGCCCATCTTTTTCCAACGAAGCGGCACTAAAAGCTCTTTTTATTTCACTGGTGCGACCAAAACTTGAGTATGCTTCTTTGATATGGAACCCTTTCTATGCGTATTATATAAACATCTTAGAATATGTACAAAGAAAATTTCTTAAATACTGTGTTTATAAAATCGATGGCACATATCCAGAAAGGGGGCCTCTCAATTTGTTCTGCTGCGTCGTTTTGAACTACTGCAGTACCTCCCGTACCAATGTATCATAGCAGACAGTTCTGACATTAATTTTGATTGTATCAGTAAGATCTTGTCGAATTTCAGGTACTATTATAATAGCTAATTCTGTTTTTAAGTTAGTTTTATTTATACATTATATGTATGTACTATAAGTAAATATACCATTATATTGTCCTCTAATTATAATAGTTCTGTTAGGCAATTATGTGTAAAATTATTAAATAAATAAATAAGTATAATCTATTAGTTATACTGGAATATATGCTTTAAGTGAAAGAGTGATTTCGTTTAATTTCGGTGAATGTTATGTGTCTCAGCATCCTGTGTCCCAAGATGTAGGCTGACCAAGTCGGTATAATGGGATGTCGGATTAACTCAGCTATCTGCTCTATCTAGAAGAGTGGTTTCGGTTAATATGATAATTTTCAAAATCTCATGTGTTGCGTCATCCTGAACAAATGTCTCAAAGATCACATATAATTGGAACCACATCCCTTTTCCATTGGGGTTGGAAGAATTAGACTCGATGAAGTTCAGCAGCAGGTAGGCCGACGAATCTGTTAACCGGCTACTACCCAACGTACATTGATCGAATACGTTGTTGTAAGAGGACATTTTTAGGTTATTCGTTACTTGTTGCAATCTACAAACAGTTCATCCCTGAGTACTGCGCAAGCACTTTCTGTTTAGTTTTCCATTGCATTATATAATTTTTGTTGGTCGTTTCTCATATTTCGTTTATCGTTAATCGTGTTTTGTTTTTGGTCTCTCGTTTTTTGTTTTCGTTTTCCATTTTCCGTTTTCGTTTTGATTTTCCGTACTGTTTTAATTTCGTTATTTTTAGCATTATGTGTAGAGTTTTAATTTTGAGCTGTGCAATTTATACTATAACAGTGAGCATGTTATGTGTGTAATGAAGTTTTCGCTATTCGAACCATGCGACTTATGAGAAACTTCAGCAATCCAAAAGTGGAAATTGCTATGGGTTACTGTGAGGAGCTGAACCACTCTGCTTTGGTGATAAACGATACATCGCGTGTTTGTTTTAACTGTGACTTATTACTTACACGGAACGAAGCGGCCTTGCAAAATCCCGAAAGTTTTAGGTTGAATGTCCTTAGACAAAAATCTTCTGAAACATGTATGATATGTAATCAGCACATTTGCACCGGCTTAGTATTAAGGCTCGAGTTGAACTATATTTGGAGAGTAACATTTACGTCCCTCAATCATCTCGGATCTGTTCACAGCAAAATCGTGCGCACTCTCTTGATCCTAATAATTTGACCGATGAAAATTCTACTTATCTTACTTCGATATCAAAAGCCCAATTCAATAATTCACATGCATTCCTGTCTTTGGAGGTAATACCTTTCGTGGTTACCACAAAATCTCGCCCTATATCTTGGGACCCATTGAGTTTTGGAGACTGCCCATTAGGGCAATTGTTCAGGACGCCGAGTCACATAACGTATAAAAAGTTCAGCAAAATTAACAGAAACCGCTCTTTAACTTGAATCAGATATTCGACTAGAACCGTAATCTCATTATACTGACTTGGATGGCCTACATTTTAGGGCCCGTTGAGTTTTGGCCTATGCTCACCAATGCATTTATTCAGGGCATCGAAACACATAACATAAAACTCAGAGAAATTAACGGAAACCGCTCTTTCACTTGAAGCAGATATTCTAGAAGGACTGACTACTTCATTATACTGACTCAGACAGCCTATATCTTGGAACACATTGTGTCTTGGGGCTCATTAAGGCCTTTATTCAGGTCGCCAAGACACATAACATCTGAGTACTTCAGCGAAATTGGCCGAAGCCACACTTCCGTTTAAAGCAACTATTTGAGTAGAACTCCATTATACCAACTTGGACGCCGTATATTTTGGGACCCGTGCAGGTTAGGGGCCTGAGCCCATTGAAACATTTGTTCGGGATGCCAAGAAGCATAACATATAAAAAATTCAGCGAAATTAACCGAAACCACTTTTCCCTTAGGCGTGTTACCGGGTCCTTTGAAGGATTTTCTCAGTCATACAAATGAGTAGGATTGAGCCATTGGTTTTGGTAGGTAACCAGTACTAAGGCAAATTGGTTACTGTATTCGCCTGTAACCTCATTTTTCTAGTTAGTCTATTTAAAATTGAATCAATCAGCCAGTGCTACAACCTAAGTCCCGTAAGATGAATTTTTTGGTAGATAATACCTAAAAAACGTCTCAAAGTTGAGGTATAGAAGATTGAAATTTTGAATAATCTTCACATTTTATTAATGGTAATAATAAAAAAGCTCCAAAAACTGTTATGAATTTACGTTGTCTTAGCAGGAAATAAGGTTAGCGGTATACAAATATATCTTAAGCAAGAGAATCACAATAATCATATTTTATATTTATTTTATTGACGAGTGTATTAATTCTGGATGTGAAAAAACTGAGATTGTAAGATAAATGTTTGGTGTGTAATTCTATCGCGCAAGTAGACGATAGCCACCTACCCATGGCTTCGTCGACCTGATTTACTCACCTTCCACGTACGATGAAGACGTAGGTATCGTTACGAACATTTATTCAAAACATTTAGCGTATATTCAAAAGACCTTCTCAGTCATGCAAATGAACAGGATTCAGTCAATGGTTTTGATTCCGAACAAGAAAACTCTTAAATAAGTGAATTCGGGCAAATCGAATAAGTTCTGTAATATTATTTTTGCAGTTAGTGAATCAAAAATAGATATTTTGGTTCATATAGCACATAAATATGAAAAGAAAACAAATCAAAGATCCTTGCACTGTTTTTGAAATGACACCTGACTTTTTGCAATGAACGTTATTATGAGATTTTATTTCATGGAGAAGGAATGTATCTACCTTTAAAGAAGCGTTCTCATAAAAAAAAGAAAAAACTAAATGTGAAAATATGACTTGCCTATTCTTTGAAATGACATTACTTAAAAAATTGAAAATTTGCACCAGCAGGATAAGTCAGTACATTTTCCAATATGACCTCAAAACTGTTCCATGCAATTTCTCATATGTATTGCTCATCAGCTGCCAGTTCAAGTTGCAAGCTTTCCCTAAGCTCGACTTTTCCGGCAAATAAATTAATCCTTAACTACGCCGGGAAGTGAAACTCGGCATTAATAACTGTCTGACTTGATGAATAAGCGTTCTTCACTGTAACGACGTTATTTAAAATGTGTTTGCAGTTCGTTAGAGGAGTGTTTGTGACCACCCAACTGTTGCTGGTTGACGAGAATATTAATTGTTGGTCAAGGTAGATTTTGTGTGAGCTATGGCCACGCAAGTCTCCCTCGCTCTCTCTCCGTCTCCCCCCCCCTCTCAAATACAGGCATGTTCTTCAATTAACTAGGACACAAAGAAAGACAAGTAGTTTTGCGATAACTTAGATGGAAAAAACAAACGACAGTCGTGCGCAATAAAAGAACATGAGCAGAAATATAAGGATTGGTAACCGGAGCAATGTACGTTTCTGCTTATTGGCTTCATCAGACCCAAATGGATGTGCATCGAAAACACCGAAATGAAAGCCAATAAGCAGAAACGTACGTCACTCGGGTTACCAATCCATCTATTCCTGCTCCTGTTGATTTATTACGGACATGCCCACAATTTTCCCTTGTTTTCATCTAATTTCCGTAAAACTACTTGTCTTTCCTTGTATTTACTCATGGCCTTAAAGTACCTCGGCAGGTAGCTATAGCTGGCCTCCGTTAGTTGATGCTTCGTAAGCACGAGGTCCTTTGACCGCAGTCACAAATGTGCCTGCTGCCTCTTGTTGGTGGATTCAAGTTGTATTTGCCTTTACATCCTTGTTTTCCTTCAGGTTCGGTGTTTTCAATGCACATCCATTTGGGTCTGATCAATTCAATAAGCAGCAATGCGTCGCTCGGGTTACCAATCCTTCTGTTTCTGCTCCGACAATACCAGGTGTTAGATTGAACAATATATAGCAAATGATTATTGAAATGTTGTACTATAGACATTGTAACACCACTTTGTAACTATTTACTAAGAGAAGAAAATATCTAAATATCTGAATATAAATAGACCACCTGGAGATTCCTCTTACCTTTTAATGAAAAGATTTGGTAACTTATGAGGAATTTATGGAACCCAGGGAACTTCAAGGCCCATGTTCCACATCATGAAATGTTACATGCTGTAGTTTTGTGGGGTGAAAAAAGTTTCAGTTCACACAACAAGGTGACCCTATCGACTTCCTATAATGTTTTTTAAATGCTCTTCATAGAGCATCAAACACGAGGCTTTAAAAAATATCATTGAACCATTACTATACAGGGCTTATATTATAGGTACTTGTAATATTATTTTTGTAACTTATTTGCTCTCCAAAGAGATCGAGAGGGATTCTTGGACAGCTGTTGAATAATTCATGATCCTACTACTATACATACATAATAAATATATGTTACAGAGGTAACGCTCCCTATAGAGCAATAACGGTACCCGAACTTGTTCATCAATTGTTCGATGCTAAAAATCTCATGGCTGCGTGTGATCCCAGAAGAGGCAAATATCTGACTGTGGCTTCGATATTTCGTGGCAGAATGTCTACTAGGGAAGTTGACGAACAAATGATCAATATTCAGGTATGCCCCTCTTTCAGACTACGTAACTGGAAAATGTTTTTTCTCGAATAACCTTTTAATAACAATAAGTTCTATGATTTTTTAAGACCATAATAAGCATTTGGAAAATTAAAATCTCGTCCGACAAACATTTTTGATCTTCATGTCAAATTTTTCACCATTACGTACCAGTTTACCCGGATTCCTTGTCATATATCAGGTTTAATAACCAAGTTATAAAACATGTTTTCTTTATTATTATGTATAAGGAATTTTGTTTCTATATTATACCATTCTCCCAGCGTCAACATTGCTTTACGGTCACTTCCTACTTCTACAATTAAAACTGAAAATGTATGTGTGTGGTGTAAAATGGCGAGCGCAAAATATAACCGTCTTTTAACAGCGAGGTTGACATGAACTGTAATAAAATTTGAACAACAGCAGTGATTGAAAGCTTGATCGCCCAATGTTTACGTGTCCATTTATAGTTAGACCAAAAATGCGGACACATCTCTATAGACTAGCCGTTAGATCTTTGGAACGTTCAAGCTTTTGCATTTTTGTGGACAGTAGATAACAACGAACGAAACAAAATTAAACATTCCTTTAAAACAAATCAATCTTTACTTGTTCTTCGTTAACTGATAGGAAAAGGTTTTCACTTTGATTTAGATACTTGGCTAGCTCAAAAACAATACATTTTAATCGGGTTTTTAACCATTGATTTAAGGCTTTTCAAACACCAAATCGCTTAGAAAGTCAACTACGGAGGAAACTTAAGAAACTTTGATATGGCTATCAAATGGAAAGGCTTCAAGAGAGAAACACAATAAGCAAGGTGCTTCATGATATTTTCAACTCACTCAATTTTAAATTTTTAGCTCATATTATGAACAGCTAAATAAGAGATTGTTTTTAAAAACGTATTTTATTATTTTATTTATTTTTCATATCCCGTTTGACGAATGCTCCTTGAAATTAATCAAGGGGTAACCCTGTTCAAGTTTGCTTGAACAAATTAGAAGAATTGTTTTTTTCGAACTGTCAAGCTTTTTCAGGTTTCCTGTATCATTCTGAACAAACAGGTTCTTAATAACCTATTCCCAAAGTTTGCGAGTCATAGGGCGACTCAAGGTCTGACAAACCACAAAAATGAGTATTTGCAACGCTTAAAAACTCGGTTGAAAATGATTATCTTTGAGGTGACCAAGTATGCAAATCAAAGTTAAAACCTTTCCCTACAAGAATGGGCATATTCAATGCTTAAAAGCTCGGTTGAAAATTGGTTATTTGTGAGGTTGCCAAGTATTATATCATTATTAATATTTAAACCTTCGCCTATAAGAAGAGCGTTTTGAGGTCAATTTACCTTAAGGAAAATTTTAATCTTGTTTGTTAGGCCCAAATTGGCGAACTTTAGATTTTCGCAGACTATACCTTCAGTTAAATGCCATCCCAAGTCGCGGATAAATTTTGTTACTCATTTGACTATGTTTTAATGAATATGTTTCCATTAAAAAACACGAGAAATAATATTCATATACTTGTTACGCAGTTTCAAATAACCAAGTTCCATTTAGAATTCCCTCCTTCAATGAGAGTGTGTTGTGTTAAGAAAACAAGGTTCCGTTTTGTGACCTTTTGTGGATTCTCTGCACAGTTTCATCAATTTTACTGTTCCCTTGAACCGCATCGGGAGACAGTTACCCGTGTAAGGCTTTACGTAAGGAACACCTCACTCTCGTCCTACTTAAATAAGGTATGTACCAGAATCAGCTCATTTTTTTGTAAAGCTCATCCGCTCCCTAATACCTGGCTCGTCCTATAAGGCTTGCCGTCTACAAGAAAATTATTCTCTTACTGTTTGGCAATGTCTTCAAGATACGTAGACAAGGTAAGAACGTCGCATTCAGGGACAAATTTTCCACCTCGACTTTATTTCATAACCACGTTCACACGAATCAAGTGAATGCCGGACGAGTTTGATTATTAAGAAATTTAAGACCTGAAAATTCTTAAAATTATCTTCAATACTTAACAAGTCGGTAGCAATTATTATTTTTAAGTATCTGAATTAAAGTCTTAGTGTATTTTGAAGTACCTAATGTTATTTAATCATTAATAACGCGGTCTAAGCTCCGCCCGCGTTCCTCGAACATACGGAAGATTCCGTTTTTCAGCATTGAAAATGTCGATTTTCAGACTTCAAAAATAGCATGGACCTTTTTTGTTCTGAATGATACCAAAACGGCGTCAAGTAGGATCACTCTACACTTCCATCTCAACGGTGTCATCAGTTCATTAAGGATTATGTAAGGCACAAGTTAGTCCCTCTCAGAAAGAAGTTACCAACACCTCAATCCAATCTGTTTATGGATGAACTCGATCGTTTCGTCCGCGTTCACACAATCCCACATACACCCGAACATGAACCCTGAAATGACCACTGCGCCTATTTTAAGCCGAAAAGTCCACGCTGCGCCAGCGTGTACAAAAACTTCGATGTGTTTGTACGAGATTATAACTATGAGTCTGGCAAGCTTCACAGCGGCCACCCATCGCATCGGGGTGTTTTCGACGCAGATACGCATACGCGTGTGTTGAAAATATTTCTATCATTCTAAGTTTCAAGGGGATAACAGTGATATGTGAAATATCTGATATGTGCATAGAATTACTGAGATTAGAAACGTCTAAATGAACCAACGTCACGAAATTCAGATATCCTACCTCATCTCCTACAACCCCTAACGCTCAATTTTTAACCCCTACAAAAAAACTTCAGAAAATGATCAGGAGCCTCTGAAACGTCAAAAAACAAGGTTTGAGAGATTTTTATTCATGTCGTCTTTTACCTGCAGCTTCGCTGTCACTGGACCGATTTTCAAAAACTTTAAAGCTTTTCCGACATTGGTATAGTAGTAACCTCGTTTCATAATTCCATCAAAATCCGGAAAGTGCTTTCCAAGTTACAGCGAGGGCAAGGATTAGCGGACAGACAGACAGACGGAAATGAGTGAGATGGTTTTTCGTGATGTACATGTCATAATAACACAATATCTCATTTTCAAAATTTTCCGCAATTACAATACTTTCTCGCCAGGGGGCATGGAAATTAAAAAACCTAAAAAAGTTGGGGTAAAAAAACAATTTCTTATATTTTGATTGAACAAATTTTTGATCAAATTGCACTGGGTTAACGTTAATAAATGCGAACATGCAAAAAAAATCGTAAAATTTCTCCCACGAATGCGAGGTTTTTTCCTCATTTAATGAATATCATGGGCAATCTCAGGTACAGTTGTGGAGGAATTTTCTGCTTTTTTCAATCGTAATTATAATAATACGTTCATTCTTCCACTCTATCAGTGCAGCTATGTTCACCTGAAAAGCGGTAATTTTGGTCCTGCTCACGTGTATGTTTCCCGGTGTTTTTTATAGATACTGTGTTGTTGTATCTGGAATATGGGTGTTGTGATTCGTGTCCTTGAAATTGAACTGTTATATCTTACATTGTTTCTCGTAAACATAATACCTTCGTGCCTCTGAGGTGTCACACTATTATTTCTCACATTTGGACTTATCTATCACAAATGCCAACCTAGTTTTCGATTTCATACTTTGGGAAATAGATTCGCGTTTCAGCAGAAACATCAGTAAAATTCTGCAAATGTAAATGCTTTTTGTTATTAACGCCCAACTAGCAGTTTTTTTATAATCTTTATCATCAATGTAACCTAAGCACGCTTTTTATTTAGCACTTTAAGTTCATGATTCTAAAATAACAACAAATATCAGTCGAGTAACTCTCATATGGGTGCTAAATTACCCGAAAATAGTTGGTGAAATGGGAGCAGGTGTATGTGCAAGGGAAGAACCTGATTTGTGCCTCATGGATCGAAACATAAACGTGTGAAATTTCATACAGACTTGTAAGATTCTCCGTATCTCGATGGGTGGTAGTACCAAAAGTCGTCGGACGCTGTGCCACATTATAGTGGTGCATACTCGCTCCAACAGGGTCCTGAGGGTCCGTCAGCTGCAGAGGCTCTAAAAACTGTAGGAAAGACTTATGATTTATGCATGGTCACTGATTGTCCAGGATACACCAACAAAAAAGAATGTTCAGCGTATCTAATCCCCTACGTAGAAATTGCGAAAAAGCAAAAAAACATGCCATCTTTAATTGACCTGCTCTCATGAGTAATACTGTTTGACAAATTAAGTCATATGGACCGAAACACAAACATATGATATTTCATACAGACTTGAAAGATTCTCTGTAACTCCATGGGTGGGAGTACCAAGAGTCGTGGCAGATTAGAGTGGTGCATATTCACTCCCAAGGGGTCCAAAGTATATACCAGGATACACCAACAAAAAACAAGCTTGAGCATATCAAGTCCCCTTCGTAGAAGTTGCAGAGAGAGAAAAAAAGCATGCCATCTTTAATTGACCTGCTCTGATGGGTCAAGTGGTATTACTTGACAAATCCAGAGGAGAAAACAGAAGGCATAGTAACTGACGTCAACTATTAAAGAGCTGAATCCTTACCCATTTACTAAAAACATATCTCCTAGGTCCCTTGACGATCATTTGTCACCGATAAGGTTGATGAAACCTTTGAGTTCTGTATTCTATATAATAAAAAATCCTTACTTATCAATGATTTATCGACTGGTCTACAATAGATGCACACCAAAACGCAAAACATACAACTGCCCACGTCAAACATTTATTTTCCAATTTCCCAGGATAAAAATAGCTCGTATTTTGTTGAGTGGATACCGAACAACGTGAAAACAGCGGTCTGTGACATTCCACCCCGGGGAATGAAAATCTGTGGAACTTTCATCGGAAACAACACAGCTATCCAGGAGCTTTTCAAAAGGATAGGTGAGCTGAACATATGCAAACCAAAAATATAAATAAATCATAAGCCGTTTAAGCCTCGACATTAATTTATGACAAGTCCTCTGATTTCCATCACTCAGCTACACTGACGAGTGTCTAGGTTAAGGTAGAAAATATAGTAGTTCGTACGTTGCAATAGTTCTTAATAAACTATCCATGTCTTCATCGACATAATGTATTTTTCAACTATTGCAAACTTTTACTTCAAGGTCTAGATGATTTCTTCAAAATATCGGCATGCATCAATTGGTGTTGAAAATTGGTGAATGTGCATGTTTTCACAATAGATATTGAGTTTTGCATACGAACTCACCTTTTTTTAAGTCGATCGGATATACCGTAGTCACGTTTTTCAAAAGTGGATATATGGACGTGGGAGACATCAGCTTTGCGAGGTCACCTTTATTACAGAGTAAAAACAACTTTGAATTGAATGAGCTTTTATTGCTAAGGGGCCGTTCAAGTATTACGTGAGCAGATTTATGACAATTATTTACCCGCCCCCCCCCCATCCCACTTGTCAGCAAGAGTAAGCAAAGCTCTTACCCCCTCCCCCCATGCTTACGTAAACATTTGTCAATTAATGTATTGTTTTTTTTAATATTATAATTATAACGTTATAATTATAATATGGAAAATAAGAAAATAGATTTAGGATAGAGATTATATTTTACTGATACGGTATTCAACATAGAGTAAAGGACAAAAATATTATATCTTACTATCATAACAAACTTATTTTAAATTTTTGGTACATATATTAAATTCAAATTAAGTCTTCAGTCCATGAAACCCGAATCCATGATTCTAAGTTTTCGATGATATTAGATTGTTTCGATTGCTGCTCAGTGTTGTGAGTTTGCTCGCTTTCATCGGATTTTGGCATGTCTACGTCGTTCTAATCGAGCCAATCAACATCATGGGGCTCTAAACCTTGAATAATGCACATCAGTTCATTAGCACGACGAGCAGCGACTCTGACAGGTTTAACTTTCCTATCAGTGTGTGTGTTTACTTTTTTATGGATATTTTCGATGTGACGATTTAGTGACTTGACGGAAGCATGATAAAGACCACACGTTTTGCATGTTCGACTTGATAGCCTCAATTTTACCGTCGGACAAAAATAATCGTATGGCATTTGCAGGAAATCTTTGAGTGAAGCACTTACGCGTAGAGCTAAATTGACTGGAAGATTCAGAAATTGCCCTCCTTCATCCAAAACCAAGTCACCAACTGTTTGTTTTACTTTTACAGGTGGTGGAAGAAACCTATTGTCTAGTAATCTAAATAGCCATCAACTTCCATGGAACTCCATACTTCAGGTAATACATTTCCTGCAAATTCGAAATTAGATCTTTCAAAATGTTCATCAATTGTGACGCCACGTTCATCCAAATGAGACCCAAAATGGTCATGACGCAATATTAAACCAGCCAGTTCCCGACTAAGAGGAGCCATTCTGCGCTCTACTCTGTTATACGCACTTCTTCCAGGAGCATTGGTAGCTAAAAACAATGCATCCAGATCATGTCGCTTAGTGTTGTATAGCAAACCCTATGACTTTTTGATAACGTGGATTTTCATCTGTCCCTCCATCAACAGTCATGATTACCACTGGTTTTACTAGTCCATGGTCAGTTTTAGCTAATGGTCGAAACTCTTCAAGTTCGAGAAGCGTCTCGAAATCCTGAGCATGAGTATTAGCAGTAGATGAACTATGCTTTCCACTTCGAATAGCGATGTATGTTGGTCCAGAATATCCAACGGCTTACGGTTGTCCTAGCATATTGGAAGTGATTTTGATACCAGCATAAACAGATGGTATTAATTTATGACGCTCAGCGATTACCCAATCGTGATCAGGCAGTTTGATTCTATATTCCATGTGTATTAGAAGAGGTGCTTGCTTATTTGCCGCAGTTACGCCAAAAGGGACTCGAACATTATCATCTTGAGATATGAAAAATACTTGATCTGGTCCAAGTATGGATGCTATGTTTTCTAAATAATGGATTGATGTTTCAGCGAACTTGCTATCTAAGTGGCTCTTGTGGTGATCAGTTTGAGCCCGAATGAGCTTAACAGGGACTGTCGATACATGTCTTCGTCCCTCTGCAGGATTAGATTTTCTGGGAATCAAACGAAGATATGTCCCACTGCGACTAATGTCAAACTCTATTTTATGTAATTTTTGTGTGGGTTCATCAAGAGTTTTTACGCTGCGAATTGATTCCGTTCGTCTTCTATCATCTGCTGCACTGCCAAATAAAGCTATATCCGCGATTGTTTTCAATAGTGAATGTTGATTGCTTTCCAGATTAGGACGTCCCACTGAATCCCTCAGAGATAGTATTTTTTTTATTTTTGGATTTTCATGACAAATATCTTCTAACTTTCTTTTCATACCATTCCTGTGTTTCTTCTGGGAAACTTCGTTTTGAACCTTCCTGTTTTGCTGTTTTTATTTCCTCGGGCAACTTAATGATCTGTTTATCAACTTCAGCACGGCTTGGCATAGTATCTCTGGCAGAATACAAAGCATTCAGATTTTTTTCGAGTAGAGCAATCTTATTTTTCATAGGTTCCTAAGAAGGTTTTGCTCTCTGTTTATCTGTATTTTCATTAATTTCGCATTGCTGTTGTGATTCATTACCGGGTTTTATTTTATCTTCTTCCTCTTTTTTAATATTTGAAGCTGACTGTATAATTTGTGTTTTTTCTGCAGGTTTACAGGTTGCCTAAAAATAAAAACTTTCTATGGCTTCTGCTAAAGATTCTCTTATTAAGCTACATAAATACAAAGTATGACAATATATATGGTAAATACAAAACCCTATGGATTTAAATCTAATATGTTTAAACGAGCAATTCGTTCCGGTCACAAAATACGGGGTGTTAGTTTTCTGTATATATATATTCTTTAATAAATCTATAATATAATGAATATTACCTCTATACTTTGAGATAGGCCATAATATTTTCTAATCATTAAAGAGAAACTTTTTGGTGATTTCTAATATTTCTAGTACTCATAGGCACCTAAAATGATTTGGTCACTCACCTCAGAAAAAAAATTTAGTAGATTGGATTTATTCTTAGTCGCCGCTTGCAATTCTCCTTCGATTCTCTTAGATACAATAATATCTAGTTCCTTGTCGGATTTTGCGTGTAATTTGTATTTTCGCCACACTTCATTAACTAACTTTTGTACATTTTGTACTTTCGTACTTGTATGAGATTTTTTAAAACTTTCGAACAATTTTTGGTATAACTTGGATTGGTCTATGTGAAACGACATCTTATTTAAACATTAAACTTTGGCTAATGGAATCAGTAGTAACACAAATGTTAACTTACTTTACTATGCTTACAATACATCTACTCGCTATAGTATCCAAACGAAACAATACACTAATAGAGGAAATTTAGACAAGTGAACACCGCGCGGTAATTCCCCTACTCGGTTCTAAAGCGAGTAGGGGAATTATCGCGCGCTGTTCACTAAACGTATGCATTATTTGCGGGAATCCCCGAAAATGCGTTTCGTTTTCAAGCAAAGACAATGTGAGGGTTGCCATTCGTGTAAAAAAGTAAATAACTACCGATGACGTAATCATCATATAGACTCCCCTACCCCCCATGTCATCCAAAATAAGCAAAGCAAAGAACCCCCCGCCCCCCATAGTGCTCACGTAATACTTGAACGCCCCCTAATCAAATGGTGACAAAAATTAAATAAACAAACACAAATTAAAATAAACGAAGTTTTCGGCTCTTAGCCTCACTGAATTGCTTCATAACTAACACAAGCCGCTATTTCCCGTTCCATTGACAAAAATAATAATAATAATTTATTAACAGCAATTACAAATTGTGAATAAATTGATATGTCGCAAAAAATATCCTTGTGTGTGGATATCAGTCCAACACATAACATACCCATATAACATAGTAGTTACAATAAACTAATTGGACTAAAAAAACCTACATAATATAAATGTAATACACTAATTTTTTTATAGTAGATTAGCAATAAGGAAAGCATATTTATATGTTAGTTTTTTTATAAATTACATTGTACTCAATTTGAAAAATGGTGCACATTTTTATGCAAGGCAATTCAGAGATAAATGGCAATATTTCAGGGCTGAAAGTAAATATTAAACTAATACAAATACCGCTATAAGCATATGTCCAAAACTCCGCTGTTACTAAGATACAGGGTGCTGTAAATTTCTACGCCACTGAATAGACTGCAAAAGAACACAACAGTAATGTGAGATAGGATTAATCTCCTAATACACTACATACACTTTTCGTTTGTCTGGCAGGCATGTCGCGCGGCAGCATGATAGAGGAGAGCTCTGAGAAGCTAAGCCCGTTAGCATAGAGGTAGCAGAGAGCTAGATCGCAAACGGCCCGTCGCGTCGGTGCGAAAGGGTCTTGAACTGCCCGTTAGAGAAGAGTCATAGCTCAGTCGGTCAGCAATCCTTTAAACAGAATCGAGCATGGATAATGAAGTCGAGGCGGTAGAACCCCAAACATGTGAGCAGTACTTGAGGCTAGGGCTTATCTGCAGAGTGAGGAGGCTATCCAGAGAAAAGTACTTATTAACCTTAATAGCCTACCTTTTTCTCAGCAGCTGCCGCTATCGACGAGATATGTTCGTGCCAGATCAAGTCCTTGGTGATCTGGCAGCTCTTTGGTAGACATCGGCCATTCATCGAAACGGGATGAGCGCTAGGGCCCTTTTTGTGAGTCGAGGTACGGTACTGTACTGGAAGCATTAAACAGGACCAGATTGTTCTTTCCTGGTAACTTGTCATAGAAAAAGTCGCTGCTAGTCTTCTTTTCTCCAGCTCACCGGCAGAAATCGACTTGTCACTCTGAATTTCTGTATGGAGAGTGCAGTCATCAGCAAAGCTATGGATCGGATTGATCGCACAAAAAAAGGTCGTTGATATGTAAGACGAACAATGTCGAAGCCAAGACCGATCTTTGGGGAACACCCGCGTTAACATTGTGGGACTCAATATTCTAATCTACTCCCATTTCGAAGGTATAAGCTTAACACCCTGTATATCGAAAAGGGGGCCTTTTTGGGACCCATGTTCTTATGAACTTTTGTGTTATTCTTGAGATATTGCCACTATTATCTGAATCACCCTGTATACAGAATTTGATATCGTTATATATTTTCCTCAATTTTATCATTAAATACTAAATACTTACTAATTTAGAATATAATAAATCCTAAAATAGGCGAAGCTTTCTCTGCTATGTTCAGGAGAAAGGCCTTTTTGCATTGGTACACAGGCGAGGGCATGGAAGAAATAGAGTTCAATGAAGCCGAATCGAACATGCAAGATCTGATATCAGAGTACCAGCAGTATGATGTAGCTACTGGAGATGACGAAGATGACACGAATGACTATGATAGTGATGATGATGAAGAATAAAGTGAGCAGTCGAAGATAACTTGTTTCAGGGCATGTGTACAACATCATTGTGACAATAAAGGGTGATCATATGGAACGTCCTCCAAATTATTTAAAAAACATTGGACACACAAATTAATTCAATAAAACTTCCAATGGCAGACCTTACGCACGATGCGCGGTCTTAGTCCAAGTATTAAATTTTGAACTTTTTGATATTTCTACAGTATCTCTAATTGCTTCATTAATGGCACAGTTATTAATAACAAACACGAAAAAGAATCTTCCTTCTATATTTCCTGACTAGTTTTGAAGTAGTTGAAGGAATTTTGTTCTGAAAATTAAATTTATGTTTGAAATTTCAAACACACCATATAGAAATTACAAATTATTTATACTTTTTTTACACAGAATCAGACGCGCAGGCAGAAGCGGTCGTATCTGCCAGTCCTGAATGTACGATGTTCGGCACGGTTAGGATTGAAGGCCGAAGTCTTAGCACTAAACAAATAAACTAGTATTTTCTCAACAGCAGCCGCTAGTAACGAGATGTGTTCGTGCCAGATCAAGTCCTCGGTGTTCTGGACTTCGACCAGCCGAAATCAATGGCTCTGGTAGAACTCATCTTAGAGATCGGCTGTGTGTGACTTCCGCGTTCAGTCATATATCGTCTACCACCTAAGAGTACACTACAGAACTGTGTTTTGGAAGTATTAGTCTGTACAAGATTGTTGCGTCCTCAAGCAGTGATAACCTCCAGGTCTCTCGCCAGGAAGGATGTTGCTGCTAGCCTTCTTTTATCCAGCTCAGTAAAATTCATTATACAACTGACGCTAGGAAAGACAATTTACTAGCTATTTCACACATAGGAAAAAAATCTCTGTCTATACATGATGGAGTTTGAAACGCATTTACCTATAGCGCGTTTAAATTGCAGACGCGCTATAGGTAGGACGGATTCTCTCCATATTACAGAGTTTGAATTGCAGACACAGAAAAAGATGGAATCAAACCAACTAAAATCTTAATCAAACCAATTAAATGATTTAATTAAGAACGTGGCAGCTAACAAGTTTAATCAGTTTAGTTTAACTACCATTTCTATAATAGTTTACTTGTATCTATGAGACTAGTTTAAATCAAAAGCAAATCATTTAATTAAATTTATTAAACCGTTTGAGTTAATCAATTTATTCAAATTTAATTACTTATTAGAAAGAGTAATTTTTGCTCCAAGTAAGACAGTTTAATTATTTTAATCAAATCTGCTTAATTAGTGTATGTAAAGCTATTTACCTAGTTTTGATGCATTATTTTATTTGGATTAAAAAGTATATTTGAATAATAAATTTAAAAGATCAAATACAATTTGACTGGATGATTTTTAACTATTACTGTGCTCTGACAAATTTCAGATATTGAAAAATTTGTGAAACTTCGTATTGATAACACTGGTAACAAAATTAAAATAATAATTTTATGTGACATGGACAAAACAAGGTGGTTATTATGTAAAACGTACCCAAAAAGCAGGAAATAGCATTCGTTTTTCTCTATCACCCATGGTTTTCTTGCAATAAGGCATTTTATTTTCTGCTTATACTCGTAAAATATAAGGATATATGTGTAAGAGTACTAATAAACACTCGAATAAACGTTAATCTCAGAATGTTGTTGTCAATGTTTTACGGATATATGTTGCTCCTCAAGTATCTCTTAACAATGTCCAGCAATAATCAGCAAGCAAATTGACACTCCATTTGCATTGATGCCATCTTTCCATAGCAGAAATGTCTTGGTGAAACCGTTCACCATGTTCATCACTTACCGCACCTAAATTTTCCGGAAAAAATCGAGATGAGAATTCAAAAAGTGATTTTTTAGACACATGTTACATCCCATTCTTTATAAGCATTAATTAGTTCACTCACAATATCTTTATAATTGTCCGCCTTAACATTGCCTAAAAAATTTGCAGTAACTGATTTAAAAGCATTCCAAGCTCGTAATTCAGTTTCATCTAGAGCACTGTCAAATACATCATCCTTCATGGTTTTCCGTATTTGTGGACCCACAAATATGCCCTCTTTAATTTTTGTCTCACTAAGTCTCGGAAATGTTTGTTTTAAATGCAGAAACCCTCTTCCATTTTGATCCATAGCTTTTACAATTTTCATCAATCCCAACTTAATATGCAACACGTTTTTGGGATCAACTAGTGGTTCATGGGCAATGTTTTTGAGGCCCGGAGTTAATACCTGACGTAGTGGCCACTCCTTCTGTTCATAATGACGATCTCGCGCACGACTCTAACATTCACAAAGAAAACAACAGTATTTGGTATATCCCAGTTGCATTCCAAGAAGGGCTATTACCTTTAAATCTGCACGAATTGCCCATCCATATTCATTATAACGGATACGCTCTAACAGAACTCGCTTATTTTCATATGATTCCTTCATATGAACTGCGTGTGCTATAGGTACAGATGGATATGTATTACCGTTGTGTACCAATACCGCTTTTAAACTAAGCTTAGAGGAATCCTGGCAGGTCAAACGAAGGATCGGACATTTTTACGCTTTCTGAATCACTTTCAGAATCGGTGGATTCGACTTTTTCATCCACAGACCAAGATACTGCTGGAACTGGGACAGAAAGTTCATCACTATGCTTAACGGGCCGCAAAGATTAAAATACTCAACAGTATGTTTCGATTTTGGTCCAATACCTTTAATATTTGTGAGGCAGAAATAGCAATCAGTAGTATGGTCTGTCGGTTCTCTCCAAACCATTGGTACCGCAAAGGGCATTTTACGATTGTCGCCTCTTAACCAACCTGTTAACAACGTTACACAAGTCTTACAGCATATATGAGGTGTCGTCAACTTTAATTACAAAATAAAGTTCGTATGTTTTCAACACAAGCGGAGTAAAAGTACGTTTTTGGGATTTAAAAGTAAGCTCTCCGCACACATAACAAAAACTGTTCGCACTGTTTACACAATTTCTAGGCATTGTTCATAAAGCTAGTATCGATCACAATCAACCAAAAACAACACACCGTTTTAACAAAAATTAACAGTACTCGGAACATCTCAGTACTCTTCAACACAGAAAACGTAACTGACTCGGTTGCTATTAGTCTACTAATAAACGCAATATGCTCTCTAAACAAAGAGCTCGCATATAATAAACAGGAATAGACAGGTTTTAACATTATATATGTGCGCCATCGCATGAACGCCGAGAAATGCAGCAATATGAGATGTAAGGTATTGTAATTCATAAAAGTGGGTGATAGAAAAATACTGTTTTTAGATTTGAGTTAAGGGTCTCAAAATACATAAGATACACCTAAAAATTGTCATGTCACAAATCCTGTGTTTATCAGTGTAATCTACATCTATATTTTCGAACCAAAATAATCTTTCTACGTCTGCTAGAGGTTATCAAGCTTCTACTTGATTATGTACCATCCATCTAAAACTGGTCGATATAACTGCTTGATTGTTCATAATCTCCTCAGACCCAGGGTATCATATATGATACTCCTGAAAATTATTTTTTATCTCGCGCTTAGACCGCATGAATTTGTTCGGTCCTAATAGTATCACATGCGATACACAGTCAACGCATGCGTAGAATTTAATGTGGTTGTGTCAAACACGTGGGGATGGCTTTTCATGAAAATAGACGTAAGTACAATTCATTCCTGAATATATTTGGTTTTAAATAGTTGTTATAATGTTCCTTAATGTAAGTATGCTATTTTATTGCGGTGAACGTTCTCGCTAAAGGTGCCGACTAGACGAAATAGAAGAAGTATCGCAGGTGATACTTTGGGTCTCTAGCAATACAATTAAAAAAAAAACAAGAAAAAGACAGATGAAGATTACTTTATAGAAATTCTATTGTTTCAGGCCCTTTGACTGACAAAGAGCTTCAGGAATTGGCTGATGCTATAGATCTAAATAACTCTGATATAGATGAAGAACTTCTTAGTCAAGATGACCTTGATGGTGATAACCTTGAAGAGGATTTGTTGGACGAGCAAGCTTTTGATGGCCAAGACAATCCAGAGCCCGATGATGGTTTCGATTCTGAAGATGACCTGCCACTAGCGAGTTTAATTCCATCACATTCCAAAAAGTGGATTCGCAATAAAGTCTTTGTTCCGCCGAACCACACGGATTCTATAAATTACAGCGACCAAGTTGGAAGACGTTCTGAATATTTTCAAAAATATATCAGTGATGACTTCTTTGAAAGTGTTTCTGAACTTACAAATATGAGGGAAGTAAGCGAAACAGGACATTCATTGGATACTACTGCTAGCGAGATTAGAAAATTATTTGGCTGTACCATGCTAATAGGAATTTATTCACTACCACGTTTGCGGATGTTTTGGGCTAACAGCACTAGGGTACCCATAGTGTCGGATAACATTACAAGAAATCGATTTTTCAAGTTACGCTCTCGTTTAAAAGTTGTAGATGGCAATAGAGTGTCCGCAGAGGCCAAATCGCTTGATATATTCTGGAAGGTAAGACCTCTCCTTGACAGAGTACAAAAAGGATGTCGCAAGTCACCATGAGACAATTTGTGCGTGGTAAGCCTAACCCAGTAGGCCTCAAAAGCTTCGTAATGGCAACTCCGACTGGAGTCCCGCTTGATTTTCACATCTATGAAGGTAAGGGCTCATCGGTGGAATCGGCGTTATTAGCAGCCCCAGAAAAATTGGACGTTGGGGGGAGAATGGTCCTTAAATTGGCAGATACTCTTCCTGTAAGAGCTTCAGTATTCACAGACAGATATTTCACTTCGATCCCCCTGATAGATTTTCTTTCCTTACGTGGCATTACTTTAGCCGGAACGATAATGGCTAACAGAATTCCTAAAAGTGCTAGTCTTCTACCTGACAACGAACTGAAAAAGAAAGAGAGAGGAAGCTATGATCACCTTGTGCGGGACGATGGCAAAATAATACTCATGAAGTGGTTCGATAACAAACCTGTAAACTTTGCTTCATCCTGCATTGGCGTGGACCCAGAAGGAACTTGTAGTAGGTGGTCTAAGGTTGAGAAAAAGCGTGTTGATGTCAAACAGCCAGCAGTTGTTAAAAACTACAATGCTTATATGGGTGGAGTAGACCTTCTAGATCGCATACTTGGAAAATATGCAATGAAAAATCGGACAAACAAATGGACTATGCGAACTATTCTTCATTTTATCGATTTCTCAGTAGCAGCAGGCTGGCTGGAATACCGTGAAAATGCCAAAGCTGCCGGCTTACGTAGAAAGGATATTATGGATTATTTAAAGAAATTGTTTTTCAACTTTTCACAAATAGCTGACATTTTTTTAATTTGCTTGGACATTTTTTTTTGTATGCCTAGAGACCCAAAGTATCCTTTGTGATACCTGATTTTTTTCAACATTTTTGAAAAATACATTGACTCTTGGCTTTTGTATGTCCAAACAATCACCTGACTAAAAAATCAATAATCGTTTAGAAGTAGAATTGCTTTGGGTCTGAAGAGGATAAGCTATCAATAATGCTGCAAAATCTGCAAGCAATCGCGGTAATGTAGTATTAAGTTCAGTGTCAATAACAGAAGGAAGACTTTCGATCAGATTCCATGCTGTTTGCAAGCATAGGTGAACGGCATATGATATCCATATTATATCCAGGTATACAGTTGCTAATTGTAGATACTTGCTCGAGGTTCGCGACGTACGTACGTGACAATATCGACTGAATTACTGCAGAATACCTCTCTGTTTGGTAAACATACAAGCTGTCATCAGATATGATCTATTTTGGTATCAAAACATCGGAAATGCAGCCTGTCTGCAAGTGATCGGTACAATGAACTTTGCTTAACGTGGTAGCCAACGTGCATGGTGTAGGTGGATATGTTTAACTCTACGTCACCGATTTTTAGATAAAGTTTTGATTAGAATGAGCGGAAGTCTACATTTCTACAACATATTGTTTTTTTTTGAAGATAAATGCAGATGGTTCGTGCTATAATTTTGTTTTGTATTGTATCTTAATATATATTGGTTGAATATTAAATTTTAAAGTTCAAGTTATATCTATTATTTAGATTCAATAAAAAATTATCCAATTATGGATTTAGATGTTTTAGCAATTATAACTCAAAGTGCGAAAAATTCATTTTTCTTCTTGATTATCTGCTGCTACGGCTGCTCCTACTCCTGTTTCATCTCTGGTAAACTCTTCTACTTTACTTACTCTAATTTAAGTAAATGGCAGTCACAAGAATACCGTTTAGTATAATGGAAGCTGTCCCCAAAAAGGTATTTTTCCAGACACATTGTTATACAAATCATTTAACAGGAAGTGAGCGCCGACCGTGCTACGATTTCCCAATGGGGTACACTTTGTTGTCGCTTGGAACGTTAATGGAAATTTTATCTGGATCGGGACTGTGGGTTCTCCAGCAACAGATGCGGTTGGGTTTTTAATGTTGTGTCTAGAAAATACTTATGGGTCGCTAAGGGAACAAAAATTCAGAGCAAAGTTCGGTATTTGAAGTGGAACAGCTCAGTCGTACATCGTAAAAAAAAGTTCAGGGCATGGTTTGGTGTCTTAGACAGATATGATTCATTTACCTACAAAATACGCCTTTACACCTTGTATCTAAGAATTTTGTCAAAATTCTGTATCTGTATCTCGTATTTAGATACCTTTCGTTTGATATCCTAGTAATGGGTTAATACTATGATTGTTAAAATATTTTTAGTAATACCTAGTTACTTATGCATTTCTTCACATAACACGCAATTGAAACATTACCCTGGGGTCAAGAATATATAAAAGTAGAAGAATATATAAAAGAACTCATCCTGACTGAAACACGAAAAATCTATCGATCCGATAAAGAAGAACCGGAGACTTTAGGTGATACTGGAAGTGATATAAAAAGAAGTCAAAAGGCGAATACTATCATGTTCTTAGATGTCTCTGATTCCTATATCGAGTGGCGAAAATAGTGCAAACACAGGGTCTACTGGCAGCACCGCTGACTTAGAACTACTGCAATACCTCAATAATAAATATAAAAAAAATGTATTTTTCAAAAATAACACCTATATGCCAAGTTCTACTCCCTATTCTCTTTTGAAGGTACATAAGGCCTCATCGAAGAAAAATGAGTGATACAATGTTTGAGGAACTTGTTATCGTTGCCACGATTAAAGCCTTAAAGGAATGATATTTAATCTCGTTAGCGCGACCAAGGCGTAAATAATTCATGTAATAAAATAAGCTCAATAAAATGCCGTGTTCTTACAAAAGTATTTTATCCTTCAAACGTATTCAAAAGATACGTATTTTGTATTCAGTATTTCAGATAAAATTCTAGAAAACGTTCTGTATCGCATAACTAAAATACTTATTCTAAAAGTATCTCGTATTTTGTATTCCAGATACTTTGTATAGGGTATCTTGCACATCACCGATCTTAGTACAATAATAAAGCCAAACAGCAGATATACGTATTGCTTAAGCTACCTATCATTTTTTGTGCTCTAATCCGCTTTCCTTCTTTTTGCAGATTTTATCGTGTCGCTACATGAACCTTTTTTTGTAGATCCTTTGGGCTTGGAGTACCACGGCAAGTGGCTATAACCGGCCGTGTGGTTGTGGTTAGATGTCGCCCTGAATACTCGAGATATTCTGGTTATTACACCACAATGAGTAGTTTGGCTCTTGTCGGTAACTTCGGGTGTCGTTTTGTTCCCTCTCTATCTTCGTTTCCTCAGGTTACACCCGTATCCGGATGTATGGGCGTGTGTGTCTATTTTGGTAATTACACATGATCATTCATTTTGGACCAACAAGCAGAAATACGTATTGCTCGGGTTACCTATCCTATTTTCTGCTTGAATCGACTTTCCTTCTTTTTGCTGATTTTTCTCATTATTTTTCTATTTGTTGTATACCTTTCTCCTTTTACTATTTTCTCTTTGTAGATCCTTTGGGTTTGAAGTAGCACAGCAAGTGTCTATAACCGGCTGCGTGGTTGTGGTTAGTTGTCGCCTTGAAAAATCGAGGTCTTCAAGCAATTTTATACTGCAATGTGTAGGTTGGCTCTTGTTGTGGACTTCGTGTGTCATTTTTTTCCTCTCCATCTTCATTTCCTCAGTTTATACCCATATCGGGATGTATGTGCATGTGTATCTACTTTTGTAGTTGCATATGTGCATTCATTTCTGGCCTGATGAAGTCAACAAGCAGAAATTCGTATCGCACGGGTTATCTATCCTATTTTCTGCTGGAATCCACTTACCTTCTTTTTGCGAATTTCGTCCATTATTGTTTTTGCTATTTGTTGTATAGAACAATGTTATTTTTAAGCCGAAGCAGCCGCGTAGGCAGAAGCCTAATTTCGGGGATCATAAATTTTGACACCCTAGGGATAAAGGAGCGGTCGCACCTGCCAGCTCTGGATGTACGTAGTTCGACCCGGTCAGGATGAGAGATCGAAGTCAGGCGGATCTCCTTGGCAGGCTCAACGCGCAACGGCATCATCGGAGAGAGCTCTGACGAGCAAAACCCGTTGACATGGTGGGAGAAGAAAGCCAGATCGCCGACGGCCCGTCGTGCAAAAGTGTCTCGAGACTGTCCGTTAAACAAGGGTCATCGATCACTCTGAACAGCATCTGGCATGAATCACATAGTCGGGATGGCAGCACCAGAAATTTGTGAGCAGTACTCAAGACTGTCTTGTGAAGAGGTTATGCAGAGAAACGTAGGTACTTCTTATCCCTAAAAAATAGCTTAGATATTTCAAAAATGACTTGTAGTATGGACTTAGGTCGTGGAAAAAACATTTATCCTTAAGATGTTACAATAATATTTTTACGTTTTCCTCCTGCGCAATTAAACTTCAGATTTTACGCCCGTTTTTTTTTCGAACCGTAAATTTTAAGTGCATTATTCGGGTTGCCCTTCTCTTGTTTGTTCGACTTGGATTTACATACAAATACAATGACGTTTGCAAACATTTGCTGAGCAAAAGAAAAACAGTCAATTAGGAGAAGAAAACCAATCTGCCCCCATCAAATCCAATGCCAATCGAACTTTAACGTATTTCCTCAGCTCCGTGACGTTAAAAATTGCGTAGTAAAACTCACGTTCGCCATTTGAGCACCGACAAAGGATGCCTAGCTAATTTGTTTCTGTTATATTGCACATCATTTTGATTTCGTACGTGAGTTAATCCTGATAATGATGATAAGAATGAATGCGATCAGTAATCAAACATTTGTATGTAGTGGATTCACTACGAGCTTTGTATATCTGTATTAACTATCTACATGATGGATCGTCGTATCTATCGGTTGTTGTTACAAAATAACAGTAGTCTATCATTATATGCGTTACTTTCATATAAAATATTCAATAATTGCATTTTATACGCTTATAAAACATGTAGATAAATTTAATCGTTGGTCAATTTGAAGACGAAATTTCTATATGAACATGGGTCCGCAACGGCTTTGTTTTCAAGCTAGAGCATATTAGCACTAAAAGAAATGATGATATTGTTCTAAAAAATTATAAAAGAATGGAACGTATTTTATTTTAATTAAGTATGCCCTGTGGTGAATATTACATGATTTGCAGTTGTTTTCAGACCCTCCATGTACGTAGATACGGATAATGTTATCCAGTATTTTTTGAAAAAATAGCATGACATTGATTTGTTTTGATCGCAATACTTTTAATATTTAAGCATTGTGCTAATCTAGACACCTATGTCAAACCCGAAAAAAACATTTATTGGAAAAAAAGCTATTCGATATTTTCTATTTTTGTCGATCTATTCGAATATTACTGTTCAAAACTATTGACCTTCTAAATAATTTTTTTTCCAAAAATACAGGATAATGTTTTCATCCACGGTCATATTGAGCCTCAGCAACTTGTAAAACATGCAAAATTTATCATAGGTTATACCGACTGTTCAATAAATACGTTTCGTTATTCATACAAATATTTGGAACATTACTCGTATTTCTTTAGTGATAGTGCTCTAGCTCGAAAAGAAAGCCGTTACGGACCCATGTTCATATGAACATTTAGTCTTCAAATTGACCAAGAATTCGATGGTTAAAGTTTGTCTATATACTTTATTAACACCCTGTATAAACAATTTTCCAACATGATAGTGATTAACAAAATGCTAACCTAATTGCAATAAGGCAAGCAAGAAAGTTCGCACTCAAAAATAATTTTCAAATTGTTCCGGTAGTTTTTCAAAATCTTTACTCCGACCAACTATCGTTATGTTGCACCCAAAAGGTATATCATATTTGTTTCTAACTTTTTATACAAAGCTGTTACGTAGGGCAGAGCACAGAGTTATTTCGTAAAAAGCCTAATAAATGTTAAAAAATTGATAAAATGTGAACTTGTGCACTAGGTAGCCGCTAGTGAGCATGAACTGAAGGTCAGCTAGCTCAGTGGTGATGATGTGGTGTAGGAAGTAAAATTGTTACATGTTTTGACAATTTTTATTTTCCACACCCACTGGCGAGGAAGTATTGTAATCGCGAAAAATTTCTAAAATGAGATATTATGTTTTTTGGACGTCATATGACATGTACAACACGAAAAACTATGTCACTCATTCCGTCGGTCTGTCTGTTGGTATGTCTATCTGTCCGCTAATCCTTGGCTTGTCTATAACTTGGGAAGTACCACTCGGATTTTAATTAATAACTACTATGTATTTGAAAATCGGTCCAATGGTGGCGGAGAAAAACGCTAAAAACGAAAAAAATATGTCTAAAGTCAATTCAAATGATTTCCTCACTTTGTATCTACAAATATTAACACACTTCCCTTATCTAATAATTTCCATTGAGATATAATAAGTTTTACAATCTCTGTTCCTAGAATGTGACTCTACTTGTGTTAGGAAGGTTTCACATGAAATATTATGGCTTATCAAACTACTTCAACTATCAAACACGCAACTTTATGCTGATGCAGCTTGGGTCAATTGCCAAATTTCGATTGTCCAGGCATCCAAACTGTTAGTGGAATTTGATATTATATACAATTGGGGTCTTAATGATTGGCCAGTTAAGCACGACATTACTGTTATTTCTTAGTGAACATTCATTGTACTACTCCTAATAATGACATGCTTAAACAATGAGGAAACAGTTAAATCAAAAAAAATAACTTGGACGACATGCTAGGAATTACCTGAGCTCTGGCTTAAATTACCGCACATATAATTTATGGCGACAGCTTGATGGAGTACCTAATTAGAACGTTACACTTATTAAAATGAGTAGCAGTGAGTTAAATTATATTATCATATTTCAGGAATAAATGAACAAGTGTTTCCGTACAAGTCTTAGAACTTGGAAGCTCTGGAAGTGAATACCTGAGAAAATGTATGTTAATTGATAAAAATTATTTGAGCTAACGAAAACAGAACACTCAATGAAAATGTATTTAGTTTAGTAAGCTCTGTACGTGCGTGTTGGGTATTACCTTATCTTAATAAAGAATAAAATCCTATTAGTGGGTTTGTGTTCAAGTAATTATTAAATGTACCACCATTTTGTAGTAGGTAAACGTCTTGAGTTTATATTCTAGGGTTATAAAGTACTCGTCAGGAGCTTCAAAATGATGTGCCATAAGACCCCCGTTTTCATATATTTTTTTTCCCAAGATGGTGCTCAGCGGCCATCTTGACACTTTCATATGTCAATTTTACTCTAAGATATGGTATCCACGCACCAATTTCATTACCTAAAGTTTTAATTTTTTGAATTTATCCGTTCAAAAAATCAAAGGGGAGGGGGATATTAAAGAAAAGCACTGTATACGTAGTCATGCCATAAGTTCTGTCCCTCGTTTTCAAACAAGTGTAGACCTGTTAATACTTGTCCGATTGTTTACATTGTGGTGTCAGTTGATTAAGCGCTTTTCGGGTAATTACATATACCTCAGTTTGTATTGATCTCTCGAAGCATAACGATGGAGTGGGGCAAGGCAGAGAACCGTATTGCAGTGATAGCTTTACATAAGTGTAATCACAGTGCTAGTCAGATTTTTGAACTCTTACGCGGCCTTCAAATATCGCGTACATTTGTGTCTAGGACCATTCAGCGGTACAATGAGACGTCCTCTGTTGATGACAGGCCAAGAAGCGGAAGACCTCGTCAAGTAAGGACTCCAGCAGCCATCAAAGCCGTAAAAGCCAGGATTCAAAGGAATCCACTCCGGAAGCAGAAGATCCTATCCAGGGAAATGAAGATTCCTGTCCGGACGATGTCGCGCATCATTAAACAAGACCTAGGGCTAGGGGCTTACCGGAGACGTACGGGCCAGCGACTTACGGCCACCTTGCGACACATCAGGGCGACAAGATCCAAGAAGCTCTTGGAGAGGTACGCAGCTGGGGGATTCCGAAAGATTTTGTTCACGGATGAGAAAATCTTCACCATAGAAGAAAAATTCAACCGACAAAATGACAAAGTGTATGCAAGGAGTTCACAGGAAGCTTCGGAGATCATTCCGAGAGTTGAGAGAGGCCACCACCCTGCGTCAGTCATGGTTTGGTGGGGGGTGTCCTACGAAGGGGTCACTCAGCTCCATTTCTGTAAACAGGGCGTGAAAACAAAAGCGGCAAACTATCAGAGCGACATACTGGATCCTATCGTCAAGCCTTTAAGTGGTACATTGTTTGCCAACCAACACTGGGTCTACCAGCAGGATTCCGCCCCGCTCACAAGGCTAAGAGTACGCAGCGCTGGCTGGAAAGCAATGTGCCAGAGTTCATTGCTGCGGAAGATTGGCCCTCAGGGAGTCCGGACCTCAATCCTTTAGACTACAAGTTGTGGGACCTGCTAGAGCAGTTGGCCTGCTCCAAAGCCCACCGTAATATCGAGTCCCTGAAAGCGGATTTGATCCGATCAGCGGCAGCTATTCCTTTGGAAGCTGTGCGTGCAGTGATAGATGAGTGGCCCGCGAGATTGAAGCAGTGTGTGAAGGCCAAGGGGGGACATTTTGAATAAAACTGTTTGATTATGAATTCTAAAAATGTTGTCGAATAAATAATATATTTCATATAAATATATCTTATCTTGTTTCATTTTTATCATGAGATTATCATGGGACAGAACTTATGGCACGACTACGTATAATATCTTGAATCTTCGACACGAAATATACTAGGTGACATATATTATGCAACACCCAGAATTATTTATTTCATTTTGATAAAAACTGGTAAACATATTTGCTATCATGGAAGTATACGCTAATAAAATGTTGAAGGCATTCCGAGTCGTATTTTTTTTGTAAAGACCTTTTTTGTCATATCAGGATCCGAACAATATGAACTTAATATTCAGTGATTGTTCTGTGTTGGTTCGATTTGTTTCATTGTTGCATTGCAGTTGGCCGAAATCGACGAGTTAGAGGTACTGGACGTCAAAACCGGACTACAGAGCGACAGGATCGTTATTTGAGGCAATAACAATGAGGACAATTTATCGCCGAATAAGGTCTTTTGGACTGTTTTCATACCGTGCCTATCTTGTACTACCTCTGACCCTACAGCATCGTCGGCAACGATTGGTATGGAGTAGGAAGCAACTTGACTGGAATATGGTGTTCAGCGATGAGTCCAGATTCTGTTTGGGCACACATGATGGCCGTGGGAGCAGACGTGGTATTATGGTATGGTGTGTCATTGCCCAGCGCTATATCCACGAAGTTTTACAACATCTGCTTCCCTCTTTGGAAGCATTGCAAGATCCACTTTTTCAGCAGGACAATGCACGACCTCATGTCGCATGTGTTAGTTTAGACTTTTTAGAAGCGTTTGGAGTAAATCTGCTTCAGTGGCCTCCTCGATCTCCAGACATTTGCCCCATCGAACATGTACGGGAAGAAGGTTGCAAAATTCACCGCACCCTCGACAAACATTGGAGGCTCTACGAAACCAAGTTCAGATAGCCTGGGGGATACAATATACCAGGAAGACATCAATCACCTAATCAAATCAATGCCGGGACGACTTAACGAATGTGTAGCCAACAGAGGAGCTTCAACACATTATTAGGATGAAGGTTTGATATCTCAGCTGTTTTGCGACATTTCGAGTTAAAATTTTAATAACTTCCTTTTTATAAATAGACCTAAAACTTATAAAAGTATGCTCAAAATTACAGCACTCCTAGTCGGTGTTGCATTTTCTATATCATTTAGTATACTTCGAGTCCAGTCCATGCTTAGGGAAGATTCTGTATACTGCCACATAATTATTATTAAAGTACGATACTATAGACGATAATAAACCCCTTCATCGATACGATTAGGTCAAGTGAAACCATAGGATTTACCCATCCAAAACAGTAAAAACGTCACTAAAGGGTAATTTCTACATAATATGGGGTTTCATTTGGTCCGAAAAGCATGTATCAGCATGAAAATCACAGGATATGTTTCAGATGATACATTAAATAATATTATTAGCGACATTCATGATGTCAATGCTGATTGTCTGCTCTTTTCGTTGGATAAATCAGCTGAGCGCTATGGTCAGATGAATGACTATAAGCTTCTTTTTTATTTTCTTCAGATAGGTAGATATATTTTTTGTGATTTATAGGATGTCCTGCAGATTAACTGAATTTTTGTTATCATTGCTTTTCTTCTTTTCCACGTTGGAAGGTATGCTTCGGCTACATAGGGAAGTAATTCACCATATCCTATTGCCAGTAATTGCCTCACTAGGCAGCAAGTGGCAAGAATACCCGCTTTTTTAATAGGAGCCAGTATCCTTTTAGTAAGGCCTGTTGCTTCAAGATGTAAGAAATGGTTTGTTACCACTCCTTCTACCAAGATGACAACGTTATTTAGTTTCCATAAGCGCTTCATTTCAATGGTACTTTATTTTCTTTTAATCTTCGTTTATTTTCATTATTTCTATTATTATTATAAAAAGAAAAAAATCAAGGAGAAATAAGAAGCCTGGGCTACGACACACCAAGCTGCTGTTCCATTACCAACTAGCCACTCCTTACACCGTAAGGTAAGCAACTATAACAATAGTTGGTGCGCAAATCGTGTGCCCGAGTAGACGGAGGAAACGAGAATGACCGCTTCCTTCATTCTCCCGGCTAAGATGTTGCTGATGCTCGACATACCGGTATGGATTTTGTTGCACAGAGCAGTGTATTCCTCATAAAGCCAATGGTCAAAATAACCATAACGAGCAGAGTGACAGTGTGGTCTGGTCAAAGCCTGCGAAGCTGATTGCGGAGCTTCTGATACTAGGTCCGATTTTGCGAGACAATGCCGGAGACGAATTCATTATTATAATTATTATAGTATTAATATAATCATACTATATATAAAAATATACCAAAGACTGTATCGACTTTTCTGCACCAAGAAATCATGCGCACTGTTTTTCATCAAATTTCCTGAGGTAGAGCTTATCCCTCTGATTACTGAGGATGTCCACTTGGAAAATTAATTAAAAGTTCCCTGAATCCTCATAGAGGCAGTAATAGGCAATACACCAAACGTTCGTCAGTGGGAAAACTTTTATGTGCTTGGCACATAACTTTCATATCGGTTGCGGAAAATACAATATCTTCGATCGTTATCTAGAGATGGAATGAGATACGGGAATTTGTTCTCTTAATGCAAAACTAAGAAGTTTCTTCTGTTGGATGCATCTCACCTTCAGTTTCGTTTCTTTAAGAATAGAGAGGAGTGGAAGAAGCTTATGGTTGTAAAATGTTAAACTTTATACAGGGTGCCCAGAAGACAGTACACCCCATCTGGAACACAGTGAGCCACATATATCTTATTAGAAAGTCTAATCATTTTTTAATTATGCGCAATTTGTATGAAATCCTAGAAAAAAGTCAAAATCATGCGAAAAATCGTCGCTTGTTCAATAACGAAGAGAAACTAATTTGTTCTCTTATTTTCATCATTTATCTTTAAGTGTACTCGTTATAAAAAAAATGGTGGCTTATTGAATGGTGCGATTTTCCAGTGCTTCGTGGCTTATCGAACGAATTTATGGGAAAATTCAGCAACAATGTAATTTAAAATCATTGAAAAAATTCTGCCTTTTTGCTATTACTCACGGTATGTCATAGGAAACGATACATCCATAATTTTCTCCTTAATAATCCAAAATATATAATATTGCGCGTAACCCAAAAGCGGTCTAACGTTATAGGTATATATGATTCAATGAGTTCCAAATTGGGTGTATAATCACTTCTTAAAAAGTTGGTATTGGCCTTCCAAACACCCTGTATATAGTGATGCAACACCTATCTGTGCATCGCACTGAACGTCGAGCGGCTAGGACCCAGAAGCATAGGGGCCACCTGTCGTATGGGAGCATGTCCCATCAGTTTTTTATGTGTTTCGCAATTCTGATAATTTTAGGGTGTAATTAATAAATTGATTTTTTGCATTCAAACAATATCAAACGCGGCAAAGATTGTCTTTCTACTTTTTTTCAGGTTCAGAGTCTTTTACTTCCCACGCCTAGTGGCGAGGATGTATTGTAATCGAGAAAAATTTCAAAAATGAGATACGTTTTTAGGAGGTTATATGACATGTACATCACAAAAAACTGTGTCACTCATTTCTGCCGGCCTGCCGATCTGGCTGTCTGTCTGTTGGTCTCTCTGCCCGTCTATCTGCCTGTCTGTAAGTCTGTCTGTCTGTCCGCTAATTCTAGGCCTGTCTATAACTTGGAAAGAACCGTTCGGATTTGGATTAGATTTTCACATAGGTTCACTGCTATGCCAAGAACGAAAAAGCTTTGTAGTTTCTGAAAATCGGTCCAGTGGTGGCAAAGAAAAAGGACAAAAACAAAAAAATTAAAATCGCTCTAACTATGCTTTTCGACGTTTCAGGTCAAGGGCTGCAGAGGGTGGGGGAGGGTATATCTCAATTTTTGGACGTTGGTATATTTATACGCCTAGAACTCCAGTAACTCTACGCACCTATTAGACATATTTCAGTCAACATAGATGTCCGTACATTTACCCATAAAACAATCGCGTGTCGATACGTGCGTCGTGGTCGGGCTGATGGTCGAGCGTCGCAGTCGGCAGTGCTTCCGAGCTGTTGTGGGCTGTATGCTGCCAAAGTCAATATCGTAATCCACGCGGGTAGTGCGACGGCATCAATTTCCCTCAGAGGGAGGATGCAGGTCATTTACACATGTTCGTAGCTCACTTTTTTCTCAGAAGGACTTATGCCGAACATAATCCTTTACAATGGATATTCCAATTTTATCAACCTCAAATTAATTTTTTTAATGTACACTCTCCTGTGTCTCATTTTTTAAATTCAAACTTTGCCAATCTTAAACATTTGATAACTCACCTAATGCCGTCTTGGTCCTGACATTCCTCGAATATCCCATGGGATGCAAGATCGCCCAATACCGATCCACAGACACAGCCACTAAACAAAAAATCGAAATCGTGCACAAAACCACAAGTAGCGACACCGTAAACAAACACGCATGAAGGTTTGTCGGAAGTCCAACGGAGGACAAAATGGCGAACGGGATGCCGAGCAGTCCCACTAGAAGATCGGCTGCCGCCAAAGACACAATGTAGTAGTTCGTCCGTCTCCTGAGTCGCCTTTCCTTCCTGAACACGAATATCACCAAGGCGTTTCCTGCCACTGCTAGGATGGCCACCAGGATCTCGCAGGCTGCGTAGTAGACGTTCAACGTAGCTGGTTTGAACTCTTCCTCGTCAGTCGAGTTCATCCTTCAGAGGAGAACTGAAACAAAGTGAATGCTGGAATGAGGGTGTTGAATACACGGGACAACAATTCAAGTATTTGGACTAACCTTAAGGTGTTTTGTTGTTTGAAAATTTTCGGAATAAAAAAATCGGCAGGATCAGTTTTAATTAGAGACAATTGCTGTATAGAATTTCCTTTGCTATGAGAGCTCTACGCCTCGATTATATTAATCATTGGAGCTACTTAAATCAATAACCTATAGTAGTTGGAAATAATTATTATAAAAAGTAAGTTTCAAAAAAACCACATTTCTTAATTTTAAAACGGGCCAAGATTTCATACTTATATACGAGTATTTTAAACAGACACAACGTTTTTAGTTACTCAGTGACAAAAACCCCACACGTACACTATTGCACCTTGCTTTTTTCAATCCATCATATTATTCCGAAAACCATCAATAGCTTCAGCTATTCCGGATGGACTCCATTTCTTTTGATTAGTCTTGTTGAGAAGGGATTTCAAAATCATAGTGGATAGTAAATTTGGGCAGCTAGTAGGGGTCGAGTGTCGAAATACAACAAATGCGCTTATTATATACCGCTACTCGTTTTGGTTGAACCAGCGGCTGAGCGGTTCAGCGTTAGACACTTCATGTCAAGTTCCGTTAAGCCGTTTGAGCTGTAGCCGCTGAAACAGGTATTTCAAGGTTATTTCTCGCAGGGTTATTACGTAAAAAAACTATATAATGTCAAAAACAGGTAAAATGTCAGCTTGTGCACTAGGTAGTCGGTAGTGTGCTGGTAGTTCATATCGCGGCTACTACAGGTGAGCATGAAGTGAATGTCAGATAGTTCAAAGGTGACATTTTGTAGAAAAACCTTCATAATTTAAAAAAAAGTCACTTCCTAAGTTACGTAATAGGATGCCGGGATCAAAAGTAGCGTATATGCTAGTCCAGACCATAATCTATCTCTGTACCAAATTTCATCCAGATCTGTTCAGCCATTTCGGAGTGACTGAGTAACAAACATCAACAGTTTTTCATTTATAATCTCAGTATTCTTGTATTACAATTGTCTTGCAAATTCGACATACAGTGTAATGTATGTCCTGCGAAAGTCCAAGTTGTTATCCCAGCTGTGAAAGTAAATTCTGAAATCTTCAATGTTTAAACAATGTCCAGACTAGGTAGCGTTTCAAAAAATGCAGTACTGTTTTGCATCCATGGAAAGACTTTTTAAGAATTGAAGTATGGTTTTTTCATATGGCACGATTTGTTTAAGTAATTTCCAAATATTTTATATCTTACTAGTTTAGTACAGATCCAGAAAGTGTAGTTGATGGGAGTCAACACTTAAGAACTTTTGTCGCAGGCAAATATTCAGCACAGAATTGCACGTAGCATTTTTATTACTTTAGTATTTCAAATGTTTCCTCCAAGAAAAGTGGGAGGTTAGAGCTATAAATTTTGGATTAGATAAGATCCCGTGATTTATTTTCAGATACCTCGTGCGCCTTTATTCAATTTATATGTGTACGTACAAGATAGCACTGGCGATGATCAGTCAAAATATTCCGGACAATCGTTATTACCACTTTTTGTATGAAAAGTGAATCAGTAGCAAAGACTCGATTAGTCACAAATTTGTTCATTTCGTTGTAAATGCCTATACAAACAGCACTCTTAATCAATAGTTATCTTTCGATAGAAGAAATTAATTTTACAACAAACGAGTTTGATATATTTCAGTGTGTTATGTAGTTCAGAGATATAAAAGTCAAGTCGAGATAAGGTAGTAGGAAATGTTGTTTTACCCCTATTTCCGGGTTAGAAGGGTAGTAAAGGCACGTATTGTTACAAAACTTCCATGAAGAATTAGATATATGTTATTTTAAATATGTTCAATAAGTACTTTTTTCAGTGATAGAAATTAGTTCAAAAAGATTAACTACATTGAAATAACTCATTACTGAACTATACTAAATCGATCTTGCAGGAGATAGCTATACCTGTGCTAATATTTTTACAGCTCCGAGCTTTTTCTGATCCACGGTGTTACTGAGATTGTGATGATCTCCCTAGTATCATCTTCACGGTCATTTCCTGTAGACTCATCCAACATCTCCTTCGTTTGGAGGTTCCTTATAGTCCTGAGCTTTCAGCATCTGTAACAAAAGCTTCGTAAATAACTTTTATACCTTACCACAAGCTATGTATTTGTACAATAGGCTCCAAAATAACAAAAGCAATATTCATAATGATTTTCTAGAAATGCACAGGGTGTTTCATTGAGAGAGTAAGATATTTTAATCGTACAAAGAGGCCATCGTGTTGAGTATAGCCTATGGCCCCTTATAGCCGAAATGGAGAGTTATAGCCTCAAAACTGTTTAACCACCCCTTATATTTTTATAGAACTTGGTGCGTTTACTCAGCTTATGCTATTGAATCGACTACTATACGAACGGGAAAATAAATACAGGACCAGACTTCTTGAAATTTGACAAAACCGTTTTACCCAAAACCAGCACCCTGCTTACTGAAATTTCAGAATTTTGGTTACATATTTAGTAAGCGCAAAGAATTTTCATTCTTACGATACACTTTTGTTATTTGGGTAGATGATTCAGTTTAATCTGGTGATACTAATGTTGTTTATTTTGGACTACAAGGAATTACAGTCTAATGAATTTCATGAAATTTAAACATGGATCTTGTGTATACTTAAATACTATTTGTCACAAATCCTTTATACTTCTATTACTTTACGACTCTATTTTTATTCGTTGTATTGTTAGTTTCTCGTAATCTGTTGACTATACGACAAATTTTCATTGAAGCAAACTGATAAAGAATTAAATTCCCTACAAAATTGTTTATATTACTTTGTAACATTGGATCGATGGTATTCGAGTATTCGAGATTTTTGATCAAAGGCATTTATCAAAATGGCGGCAAATGCTTCATCCATATCATGACGCCGATTTGAACTTATCATTAGGAAGCAATAATCTAAACGATACCACAAAAAAATGAGCTGTCGCCCAAATTGTTACGCATGATGCTCACGTGGTAACCGAGCTATTAAACACGAGATGAGATCCTTAATAGCTCCAACTTATAGCACCTATGCGCTTTCTGCAGTGGCTGATTCTGATGTGATAGATGGCGCTTTGCGCTGTCTTATTTTGTAGGATTTGCTGATACAAAATGATGAGATTGGCAACGTAGCGTTCGATCCGGCAACACTGGATATACCGGGCTCGGAGGGGAGACAGGGGAACATGTGATCCGCTTTAAGTACAAGTTTGAACTCGTCATTTGGTTGTCCGTAGCAATTTTTTTGGTGAGACAGTTTTTCCTAGTGTGTTCTAAAAATTAATAACAAGCAGATCAACGTTGTGCTGACAGGTTTTGCGTCAGACTTGGCCACAGTGCAACGGAAACTGTTTCTGAAAGAGGCCTACGGAGATATATCTCCGTATACGAGGGTGGTTCAAATATGATCGAGACAAATGGTCTGACACGCTTATTTACTATCGAAAAAATTTATAAAAATTTGCAGGGTGATAAATACCGACTGTTGGGGGGGGGGGGTTGTTCCAATACCACCCACCTAAATTTTGATATTGTATCGAGCGTGAGGAGACGCGCAACATGAGGGCGCGCGTTAACCTGGAAAAAAATGCTCCTCCGTTCCGAGGGATAAGCGGGTTTCACGTCTGTTTTCAGAAGATTAGAGTAGTATGCAGCATTGATGGAACGTTGGGTGCCCAGGAAGTCGATGTACAGCAGGGTGAATGTTGTCTGATGTGAAGCTGGTTCGCGGTCGACGATCATGCGGCTCATTCTCGACAGTTTCGCGGCCATCCTTGAATGCTTTGGCCTATTTAAACTCAGCAGCCCTACTCAGGCACTCACTACCGAACTGATTTCGCTAACGCAGGAAAATTTCCGTGTTTTTAACGGTTTCCCACACTAAAAAACGAACGACAATACATTGTGCAACGGCGGTCGGCACTTGACCTTCACTCATAGTCGTTAGCACGCGCGTGAAACATGCGCCCCCGACGAACGCTGTGCCACGCCTTTCGTAAGGGACCCAGCTATCATAAACTCAAGCCATGACCTTTAAGATATACATGCGCGCCATCTACAGCATTTGTCTGCATCATATCTGAACCGCCCTCGTATTTTGTCAAGAGCCCAGGTTTTTCGGTGGTTTAAGGCATTTTGAGAAGCGGAAGGTCTTCAGAAGAAAGTATCTACAGAATCTGGGATCTCGTGCATGCAGATCGTTGGTTGACAGTCAGAATGTTCAGGGTAGAGTTAAATTTGACTCACATCACCGTTCATTATACCAAGAACAACTGGGTGTTGCATCCCGATAATGCTCCTTGTCACACAGCAATGTCAATAAACGAGTAGTAAAACATTCCTGTGGCTCTTCAGCCGCCTTGTTCGCCTGCTTTAAGTACTTGTGACTTTTTTCTCATCTCGAAGTTGAAAAATCACCTCAAGGCAGTCGAAAACGTTCAACGACTGTAACCGACCAGCTGAAGGCTATTCCAGTATCGGAATTCCAGCACCGCTATGAGAAGTGGAAGGTCCGTCTCCCGCGCTGTGAGGCTTCAGAGTGAAATTATTTAGAAGGTGACAATATAAAATTGTAACTTTATTTGAATTGAAGATTTTAAAAGAACAATCTCATAACTTAATTTAGAACACGTATTTCTTGACCCATCAGGAACCGAAGAGAATAATGAATCGTACGCCACTGTTATCGATGCGTGTCTCTGAATACGACGGGATCCGCGGGTAGGTACACAAAGAACAAACGCCGTAGCAGTGACGCATGATGCGTTATGCTACCCTCTTCCATTTTGGTATTCATGTATAGTTGGTTTTTTGTTTACTTACATTTCTCCTATCGATTTGAATACATCTGCATTACAATTGTTTTCTCGAGTAACTAATTTTTTATCGACGATACGTGTTGCGACTTCCTAGACACTCAAGTATCTAAAAAAACATACAAGTAACAAATGTATTCATATACGAACATTCAATAATTACTGTTTTATCAATTTTTGTTTACAGATAAGTAATCTAAATCTATAAACTATGATAGCTTATTGACCACTCAGATCACATTTTTCTAACGGATTATTATGCAATATTGCATCCAGCTAAGCGTATTTGTATACTACAGTGTAAATTTTATCAACGTGGAATTATAGTTTGGGATCCCATCATGTATCATGGAATATTCCAATATGTTAATGGATGCAAGCTCAGCAATTGAGTATACTCGTACTTTGAACATTTGAATTAGTTGACAAGTACGTGAAGACGTTGGTTGCTAAAGCTTTGTTCCAGCAAAACATCCAACTAGTTCTGAACTAAATAGATCATGCGCAGATAGAAATTACCGTTCCAAGAGAAAATGGAGTTGATTTCGTACTGGCAGTTCTCTGTTCCAATAAAATAAGAACTGATTCTGAACCGGTTCTAAACTGATTCTACGAGTTCTGGTCTTGACGAACTAAAAGTTCGAATTCGATAGCACATGCGCGTTTACGCGAATAAACGGCATCATAGCTGGAAAGCTGTAATTTGTGGCTGCCACATTGTGCCTTTTCTAACTTTTCAATCTTTTCATAGATCAAACCTAAATCTTAACCTAATTGTACCGTTCATTGCACATATTCAAAAAACTGATGACGATGAAGATTACTTTTGGAACAAATTCAAGTAAGGATGAAGATCTTAGGCTGATTATACTAGTACCAATAACCAGAAATGAAAAGTACATATAATAATAATAATAATAATAATAATAATAATGATAATAATAATAATAATATTAATAATAATAATAATAAATGGGCTTTATTTCGTACGAAAGTACGAAAAAGGCGAAGTGCCGCTAAGAGTAGCGTTTTTCAACTTAACCTATTCAAATGTTAATAATTTTAAAGAGTTTGTTTCAGTGATATTAATCTTATACGAGTATATTCCTTTCGTTTCAAGTCAATATCTTAATGCTATTAACATTCGACTTATTTTCATTCTCTGCTACTGTCCCAGAGCATGCTTCCTCTAAAAGCAAAATGATAAACTATTCCAGCTCTAAAAGAACTTCTTAATACTTCTTTACAATATCTCACCGAGCTACACAGCCGCCATATCGTTATTAAAAAAAAGATTTAAAGAACGTCAAAAACAATAAATTAACTTACATTCCACGTCTATACTCGGGAACCGAAAAGAAAGAGAGCAACAAAACACATCACACGTTCAAGCTAACGTGACAGCTGTTTGAATATGGCGAGATATCCGCGCGCCGGCTTTGTCAATTCAAAAAGACGCCGCGTTAACATGGGCGTGCGATGTGTTTGGCTGCTTTCTTCCTTTTCGGTTCTCGATTATAGCGTACGGGGATTTGGTAATTTTAAATTTCAACTCAATTAAGGCTATGTTAACGACAACAAGTCATGTAATTCTCTGATTAAAAAAATAGTTCGGAACTAGTTCTGATCTGTACTGAACTGAGCAGAAAAATAATTCGGAATTAGTTCTGAACTAGATCAGAACTGCTTGTTGGAACAAGCCTTAAGTATTCCTTTTCATGCTAGAATCTTGATGAATGAGGTAAAAACGAAGATAAAATGTCTATATTAATGAAAAATATCCCAAACTATAGTTGTCGTCACCGTTCTTGGCGGGTCAAAGTGAGACTACCAGTATCCCTTTATATTTCTCCATCTCCCTCATACATACATATACAGCCTACCCCTGTGTGTGAACGTTTGTTCAGTAAGCTCAAAGACAAAGGCTTTTCTTTTAGTTGTGTGTCTCCGGCTCAAAAACTTTGACGTTACGTATGAGTGCCATTCAATCATATTTGTCAGAATGACAACTTACTTGACATCGGCACGCAATTCGAGTTGTCTTGTTATCAATCTTTTAATATAAAATTGTACAATGCCCGGAAATACGATCAATGGAGAAGTCCGACAGCTCGTGCTAAATTTATTAGAGTATTTCCAGGAAGAGAATGAAAACAGCGGTCCCCTGTTACCCATTTCATGCGTACTGGAGAGGGTAGCAGATGCGCTGAAGATTAGTCTGGGCAGTGTTGTTGATGACGTAACCGCCAAGAACGGTGACTACAACTATACAAGATTTCATAGATACAGCGCGAGATAAAATCGTGTCATCCACACCAGGAATTAGTGACTTCAATACGTTGCCAGTCACAATTTTTTACAATTGCTCCCAATTGTGATAGTTCATGTCTAAGATTTTTGACTTTACTTGTTGAAGATGAATTCTGGAGAACTTTACGTCGGCGTCTACACGTACTTGTACTAATTCCAATGTTTAAAGTTGTATATAGATTTACCCAATTTGCATCTAGAATTTTGTGGTAAAGCTGGAGGAATATAATTTCATTGCATCGACGCACTGCTAACTATAATAAAGTGCCATAAGCGTCCGCATGAGGCATAGTCGTGGCTCCCATTGTTGGACCTTGCATTTGCATATTTTGCATGATTTTGTGTACAAATTTGAGGATTTTTAGGATTTGCCACCCTCAAATTTATTACTCCCACACTTCAAAAAGTTCTGGAGGTAGGTTCATTTTCACACAAAGTTATCTCTTGCCGACGATCGGTTCCCACTGAGAAAAATTCCTGCAAGCGCTGAAGTGGAGTGGTAAAGTAGATAATAACCTATCGTGTTGCACAGCTAACGTGGTATATAACTTTGATACTAGACATCAGTGCTTGCTAGGTAAAAAGAAGCTGTAAAGGTGCAAAGGTAAGGTATTTCAAACAATACACAGACTGTCAAACTGTCTGCGCTTGCGGTTACAATAATAATCCTGCAGGAAGCATAACGTCGCAGTAAAAGTTGAAGAGAAATATTTTCTCCCGAACTTTAGTTTTTTGATATTTGTACAGAGGATCCTGGACTAAGAGTACCTGTATATTCATTTAGATGGAATTATCCTTATATCGAATATCGATTTCATCGACACGCAATTAATCATACTTTTGTACGTTTGTGCGGTCTTTATGTTAGATATGTCAATGATGTGTTGTTGATCCACTACGCGTTATTACATTTTACTGTTAAAGTATGAATTGCATTGGTCTCGGACCTTGGGAATTTGAAGAGGTAAAATGCAAAGTTTGTGGGACGCAACAATCTTGTACAGTTGAATGCTTTCAAAACACAGTACTATACCTTGACAAACAAAACGCATCCTAGCGCTCATCCGGTCTCGATGTATGGCCGAGTTCTGTCAAAGAGCTGTTCATTTCAGCTGGTTTCACCGAGGACTTGATCTCGTCAATAGCGGCAGCTGCTGGGAAAAGGCTAGGGTATTTGTTTAGGGCTAAGAAGTACTTTTCTCCGAATGTCCTTCTCACTCTATACAAGGCCCAGATAAAGCTTAGCCTCAAGTAATACTCACGCGTTTGGGGTGCTGGCGCACCGACTACAATATTTATGCTCGATGCTGTCCGACTGATCGATGACTCTTTTCTAGCAGACAGTCTCGAGACTCTTTCGCACCGGCGGACCGTCGGCGATCTAGCTCTATTCTATTGCTACACCAACGGGCTTTGCTCTTCTGCCAGACAGACCTGCCTGACTTTGGCCTCCCACACTAACCGTGTCGAACTTCGTACATCCAAAACTGGCCGATACGACCGCTCCTTTGTCCCGAGGATGTCGAGATTGTGGAACAATCTACAAGAGGAAGCTTTTCCCAGTTCTACCAACCTTAGGCAGTTCAAAAATCGGATTAACAAAATTTCTTTGGGATCCACATAGCAGCCGCGGTGTTTCGGCATTTA